GACTGCGTTAGCAACGCTGGTCGCTGAGTGCATGGATGAGAGCTCTGGGCACCGCGGAACGAGGGTCCCAGCTGCTCGGTCGTTTTGCCTTCCCTATCGCCGCTTATACACTATGTAGCTCACATCCCCTCCGTCTTCCTTCCGTCTTCATTATATAAAAAGGCTCATGGACTCCCTCCAACCTTATCCCTTCTTTCCTTCCTAACCATCTTTATCATCAACGAGAACCAATCGTTTCATCCCTCTAGGGACTTACATCTCTCGCTTTCCCCCCCTTTTTATATGCTTTCGACCTTCGACTTTCGTTAGCAGATACTGAAACCACACATTCGTTCACAATGAGGCTCGCTCATTTGCTTCCTGTCGCCGGCCTCATCGCGGCCGGCCTCAGCATCGACACCCCCGTCAACGTGAGGGCCGTCCGTCCTCGTGGCGGCTACGGTGACGGCCCCGGAGGATTCGGCTACGGCGGCCACGGCGGAGACGACGGCTGGGGTAACGGCGGCGGAAAGGGTGGTCACGGTGGTGGTGGCCATGGCGGCGGCGGCCACCATGAGCCCGAGCCCGAGGAGCCTTGTGAGACTAGCGAGGTTCCTCCCCCGGAAACCACCCCCTGTGAGGAGGAGACCACTGAGGTCCCTCCCCCCGAGACGACTCCTTGCGAGGAGACGACTGAAGTCCCCCCTCCCGAGACCACACCTTGTGAGGAGGAATCCACCACCGAGGTTCCGCCCCCGGAGACGACCCCCTGCGAGGAAACTACCACTGAGGTTCCCCCTCCCGAGACCACTCCTTGCGAGGAAGAGTCCACCGCCGAGGTTCCTCCCCCCGAAACCACACCTTGTGAAGAAGAATCGACCACTGAAGTTCCCCCTCCCGAGACTACACCCTGCGAAGAAGAGTCCACTACTGAAGTTCCTCCTCCCGAGACTACTCCCTGTGAAGAAGAGTCTACTACTGAAGTTCCTCCTCCTGAGACCACACCCTGCGAAGAGGAGAGCACCACAGAGGTCCCTCCTCCCGAAACTACTCCTTGTGAGGAAGAGAGCACTACTGAGGTGCCCCCTCCTGAGACCACTCCTTGCGAGGAAGAGTCCACCACCGAGGTTCCTCCCCCTGAGACTACCCCCTGTGAGGAAGAGTCGACGACTGAAGTTCCTCCTCCCGAAACTACCCCATGTGAGGAGGAGTCCACCACCGAAGTACCCCCTCCTGAGACGACTCCTTGTGAAGAAGAATCGACCACTGAAGTTCCCCCTCCCGAAACTACCCCATGTGAGGAAGAGTCCACTACTGAAGTCCCTCCCCCTGAAACCACACCCTGTGAAGAAGAATCGACAACTGAAGTTCCTCCTCCCGAGACTACTCCCTGTGAAGAAGAGAGCACGACTGAGGTGCCTCCTCCTGAGACCACGCCTTGCGAGGAGACCACCACTGAGGTCCCTCCTCCTGAGACTACGCCTTGCGAGGAGACCACCACTGAAGTTCCTCCTCCCGAGACTACCCCCTGTGAGGAAACTACTACTGAGGTGCCCCCTCCCGAGACCACGCCCTGTGAAGAGACTACCACCGAGGCCCCTCCCCCGGAGAGCACTCCTTGTGAAGAGTCTAGCGAGGTTCCTCCCCCTCCTGAGTCCACCCCCTGCGAAGAGACTAGCGAGGTTCCCCCTCCCCCTGAGTCGACTCCTTGTGAGGAGACTTCGGAAGTTCCTCCTCCTCCCGAATCTACTCCCTGCGAAGAGACTTCTGAGGTTCCCCCTCCTCCCGAATCTACTCCTTGTGAAGAGACTTCCGAAGTTCCTCCCCCTCCGGAGTCCACTCCCTGTGAAGAAACCACCGAAGTTCCTCCTCCTCCCGCCGAGACTTCCAAGGTCCCTCCCCCTCCGGGAACTGAGGTTCCCCCTCCCGCTGAGACCACTCTCAAGCCCACAACCAAGGTGCCCACGCCTCCCGAGCCGACTCCAGAGCAGCCCACCACCGTCCCTCCCACGGCGGCTGGTGCCAACAACGCTGTCAGCGGTTTCGCCGCTGCTGCCGTCGCCCTCGCTGCCCTCTTCCTCATGTAAGTGGAGCAGCAGCAAGAGGTACAGAGATATCTCCTACGGAATTCCGAAGACTGTCATCCTCACCCGCATCACATACTAGCGGGTGAGTTGAGGCACAAACTAGGGCTAGGCTATTTTGCATTGGTGTCAAGGGTTTATAGACTGGGCATTTTTTGGATATGACCACTTTTCGGGTTTTAATTTTTTTGCTTTTTTTGGACCGGGAAAAATAACTGGGTTGGCATGACTGGAAGAAGAACATATTTTTACAGGATTCACGACTTTCCTTTAGAGACGCCCTTCTATTCACCCTTTTTGGCATTATTTTCTACTTCTTCGGGGATGAGCAGTTTGGAGACCAGCATATTTTTGTTACGATGAGAAGTCGGTCGGGATAGGGAATATGGAAGGATTTATTTGGATGGATACAGGTAGAATAGTAATCAATAGTATATTTATTGTTTAGTTTTTACATTTTTTACTTTCTCCAGAACTCTTTTGTGACCCCTGGTGATGATGGATATTGGGATTTTCACTGCTGCGAGCAATAATACGAGAATGATTTGAGGCATTTGCTCATTCTCGAGTCATCGTTACCCGGTTCGGCCCTAAAGCTTGGCGGCGATCATGAGGTGGCGTCGTAGCAAGCCCAAGGTTGGGAGAGACGCAATGTAACGATGCCAGGGGGGAGGGGGGGTGTGAGTTGAGTGTGCGGGACGAGTTCGGCTCCGTTCCTCTCGGTTTTCTGATCAAAGATTGCCCGATCATTGATGCTGTGCTTGGAAGGATTACAATACATGGTCTACATGGTCAGGGCTGCATGCTCATCTGCACCCAACGCACAATGGACTTGGCTCTATTAGCGAGTTAGAAGCCTGGGGAATGTAGCAGGCACGTGTGGTTGGTGAGGGTTTGGTTGCCAGGGACATCGGATACGAGAAAGCAGCACGAGCACAAAAGATTGGGGAACCCTGATCGATAGGAACGTGGGAAGACGAGGTTGGTGAGCGGGCGTGGGATCGATACGCAAGGGTCGTTTGTGCGGTGGAGTACTCGGAATGGCATGGAATGGAATATTTTACTGTTTTCGCATGGCATTTCTCTCTCGACCAGTTCCTGTTGCTGCTGTGTGGGAATCGACGAGGCATTATCTTGGAGGCGAGGATAAGCATGAGGACGCATCTGCAAGGTGTTTGCTGGCGAAGGAGGTACATGCATACACTATGTCATTGATCCCCGATATTCTGTCTTCGTGGAGTCAACCTTTGGGCTAGAGCGGCGGTCCTGCATTGGTTTGGGGGCAGAAATGGGCTCGATGCAGCTCCAGTTCACAAATCAGCCAGTGGGCTTGAAAGCTTGTAGGCTTGAAGGAGGGGGAAGTCCCTTGGCCAGCTTTTGCTCGGCTGCGGCTTGAATTGAGTTTTGACTAGGAAGAAGGTTCACTAGGTTCTCATGCTAGCTGGTAGCTACGCCCTGCTTTGTGCAGTGGCTCGTCGACGATCCAGCTGGATTGAGCTCGGGAGGTTGGGTTCGTGCTACGTCGTAGCCGTGGTGAAGCTCATCGAGATAAGACCATCATGTCGAGATAACGTCACTTTCCAACAATCGGCAAGAGCGATCGCCAGCAGCCCAGGACCAACACAATGCAGCGTCGAGACCCGCAGACATCTCTCTGCCAACCTCTCGACTGTTGACCTTTGCTGCTCGATGCGGGTTAGCGTCGCTGCAAGGTGCATTTTCTGACTTCGTATTGCTGAGCTCGAGGTTTGGGCTGATTGGGTAGCGTCCGGATGGGGTCTCCGCGCCTGGCTCCGAATCGGGAATCGGGAACGCCACGGTCATGATACGTCATGATAGACTCACTAAGTTGAAGATAGATTAGAAACATCAAGACGGACAAGGAGAGTTACGGTGCCCATTATCGTCATTGTTTGGCAGGGAATCCCCGGTTTGCGGCGTCATTTGATAATCCTATCGCCGTGGAGTGAGAGTAATCACATTATCGAGATCCTGCAAGTGTCTCAAATGCTCACGTAGAACATAAGTTAGCAGTGCTCACTACTCTTCCACTTACACCGCCCATCTTTTTTGGTTCATCATGGCTCTCGGCATCTTCAGCTTCTTAAAACGACAATAACCTATTAAACGCAGATCAGAACTGAGCGGGACGCGGGTCTCAATCGAGATCTAGGTCCTCTTTTAAATTTTTTAATATTTTCCTTTGAAATGTTTTCTTCCGTTGCCAAGGGATCTTCCTAGCTAGTGTCCGGACTTGGTGATCTGGTAGTGGCTCGAGACTGCAAAGAGTTGCCCTTTTCACAGGATTCATTTTATTTCGTCTTATTAGTTTACTTCGTCCTAGTTTAGCTATGCCCAGCCCAGACAAGCACCCGATACCTCCCTCTTACCCTCGGTCACTCCGCGCTTCCCTGCTTGCTCGAGGGAGGATAGGATTGGGGTTGGGTGTGGGCAGATGAGCCAAACCTCGTATTTCCCCGGTCTGGAGCCCAGCGTTGAACCGAGAGGAGTGAGAGGCATGACCAGCCCATGTACAGAGCGGAGTATGCGTACGCATAGTGTACTCGTACTCCTCTTTCCTGCAATCCTCTGCAGCTCTCAATAAGTCGGGATATCGGCACACCACAACTGGCCGGGTCCTCAACTTCTCTTCTCGTGATAGGCGATCGAGTACTCCGTACTGGGTTTTCCATCTCGACCTGAGAGAAAGCAGTCCGAGGGCCTGATGGCGATGATGCGGGGAGACCCTTCTGGTCTGGTGGTCTCGACATGCTCTTTCCCCTCTCCTCTCATCGTCTATTGTTCCTTGCACCTACCGGCCCTTTCCGATCAATCTCCTGCTCCCATAACAAGCAGATAAAACAATTTACTCCATACTTCTTAGATTACTATCGTTTCTAATCTATTACGATCCCCACCAGAGTGATCACGATCGTCCTATTCAATCAACTCGTCAACACCACCCGCAGCAGCCCACCTCTCGCACTCCCTCCGACGCTCCGCAACCCACTCTTCCGACTCAGCGGGGAACAGATACCACTCCCCTCCGCCCTCCATGTCCTTAAACACCTGTTCAAGCTCGGCAACAGTTCCGTACTCCCCGTTCCAACATCGGGAGATGATTCCGTCCTCGGTCGAATCAGATAATCGAGGAAACTCCTTCCGTTGAAACATCTTCATCAACGTCGGAACATCGTATTCTTCCCGGGCATACGGATAGTGCCCACGTGTGAGGCTGTAAAAGATCGAGCCGATTGCGAAGTTCTCGGTATAAGGGCCGGCCAAACCGTATCCTCTCCCTTTCCCTTCTTCCTTGCTCAGGAGCCGGCCAAACGGCTCGGTCGCCACGGGCAGTTGGTTGCCCACTGGGAGCGATGAGCCCAAATCGTGAATTCTTAGGTTACCGTTCTGGTCAATGAGTAGATTGTCCGGGCGAAGGTCCCCGTGGGCGTAGCCCTGCTTTTCCATAAAGGCCGCTCCTCCACATAGCTGGCCCATCCAACGTACTGTCTTTCGTTGGACGTAACTATAGATCTTTGAACTGATCACGTCGCGGAGGTCCCGAACCGCACGCAGCATGAACGTTGCCGAAGGAGTTTGATATATGCACGGGATTATGTACGGACTCTTTCGATCGAGAATCTTGAACATCTTTTGCTCATTAGCGAATTCCTCTTCGGCGTCTTCGATCTTGCGGCGAGGTATCTTGACGACGACCAGGTCGCTCAGTTTATAGATGAGGCCGTAGGCACCCATGCCGAGTAATCTTGCCTTGAAGACATGACCATTCAACGGAATAATGGCGTCCGAATTGGTCTGCGTCGGTATTGGCATTCCAAGGAGGTCAGAATGAAGTATGAAACAGGTAGTGGAAAGTAAGTTATGCTTAGCAATTGATAGGGAATCGACGCTCTCAATGCTGGCGCCTTGGTAGGCTTCCGTCCTTGTTCAATTGTCTTGTCTTGGTTGGTTTACCAGTAAACCAAGTCAGCAAGCTGCTTAGGTCAGCCTACCAGGCCGCCGTCAAACCATCAAACCATCACAGCTTCCTTTATCCGTTGTTATCGTTCTCATCACTGGAGACGAAGGACAGCAATTAAAACAGCTTGGAGCATGCGGTGAATTGAAGAAAAGCATGTGGATATTCCATGCTCATACTAATAATGCTGTCTATGAGACGTCTATCCAGACTCCGTTATCATCCTGCCGCCAGTTTCCAGAATCCTTACAATCCTCGCAAGGCGCCCTTTTCCTCGTAGATCCCAAGACAGCCTGACGGGGCCTTTTCCCACAGGACTTATCAGGCGAGGCCTCCGCCGCAGAGCAATGGGTCTTGCGGATCTCCACCTCGATTATTTCCTCATGGCCGCAAAGAAAGTATCGCTTGCCGGCACCCCACTCGGTGCACCCGTCCTCGCTGCAGTGTGGTATCAGTGGAGACGTAAGGACCGTGAGGTTGTCCTTGGAAGATTACGAGAATTACATACCATGTCTCGGACATAATTGCGAAGTTTTTTTCCGGAGTTTGAAGACGGCCTGGCAGGCAGTAGGTTGGCAGGCCGGCAGGTGTGGTTCTGCCTTATCGTATCAGTTTATGTTTGGGCGCGCGCGCGGGCAAACAGAGGGAACGATCACATCGGTACAGACAAGCTTGGTCTAAAGGGAGGCTGCACATTCTTGGAAAAGGTTCCTGGGAGTAAGTGAGGCCGGAAATGTTGCCAGCGCTGTGCTTTGAAAGACTGAAGTAGCCTCCTCACAATATCGAGAGCTATCAATATATATAACGCGCACCTAGCAGCCCTGTGTTTTTTGGGGCACAATCGTGCGGGGAAGTCGGTAAACATCTATGATGTTTTGGTATTTTCCAGGGTGGATGCTGGACTGGCTGTCTGCTCCTTTCAGCATGTCTCGACTGGACTCTCTCCGTAGGGCGAGTCCAACGCATCGAGTGAATGCATAATGTTGCGCTGCTGCGAGTTGTTAACGTGGGTGACCAATCTCATCTACTGCTTCGAGGAAAGGGGGGGATACGGGATAGGCAGCAGCTGCGTGGGCACCAACACTCGGTTGATGAGTGGTTGGTGATGAGAATTGGTTTTCTTCCACTTCATTTGCGTCGAACCGTCTTTCCGCGTTGTCTGCCTGGAGGACCAGAATTGAGAAAGATCAACAAATAATTTTTCAGGGAATGGAATGCGACTAGCACTGGTGTTCGGACATGATTCAACATTGCGGGCAAACTGGATTCGTCCGTGTACCATATTGAGCGACCCGACCTGGCACTCGATCGTCGTGAAAGTCGACAAATGTACCATCGGAGCCGAATTTCGTCTCGCCTGCCCAAGATGTAATTCCGATATTCTTAATAGGTCGCAGATGGAACTGGATGGGTCGTAGAAAACGCGGCGGCGGAAAAAAGCAGTAGAAAAGCGCCAGTTTGAGACTTGAGCACCAAGGACTGACCACAGTTTGCCTGCCCACTAAGTCAAGACCAGTGTCATATTCATTCCTCATGTCTAATCCTCATAACACTCGAAACCCATAATGCAATCTCCGGTAATAACTCCATATGATACACCGACTCTCCCAACCCCCATCACACCCCTTCAACATCCATCCTCGCCCTCACCTCCCTCAACAACGCCTTCGCCTCCTCCACCTCCACCCCGTCCTCACACAACTCCGTCGCCAACCGATTCGCCGTAACATAATCCTCCATATCAAGCGCATATCTCGCCAGCCACATCCTCGCCTTACTCGTCGCCGCCGTGACACCCGTGCCGCCCTCGTGATCCCCGGCCCCAACAGCGGCGCTCTCGCCCCCTCTGCCGTCGTCCGAAGGAGGAGGCGAGTCGTTGTGTATGGTGATCGACTCTTGGAAACGCATGTCGTCGGAGGATTGGACTCCGCCATCTTCCTGTGCGAGGCAGAGCTCCATGTAAGACTTGGCCTCGTCGATTTCGCCGAGCCGATTATACATGTTGGCAATCTGCAGCAACGTCTCGGGATCCATGTGTCCCGTCGTATTCCGTCCACCTAGCAACTCGCCGCCGCTGCCAAAGCTGCTCCCCACGTCGTAGTATGCATCGGCCAGCAGCGCGCGCTTAAGCGCCTTGATACCATCTCGGTCGCGATCCATCTTCTCAAGACACGAGCCGACGGCCAACCACATCTTGCCGTCCCAGGGCCGTAAGCCTGCCGCCTTCTTGTAGTACCATAGAGCGTAGGTGTGCATTTCGAGCATCTCGTATGTCTGACCAAGACCGTACCAGGCCCGATAATCCCGACGGTTGACGTCCACGGCTCGGCGATACGACTCGATCGCGGCGTGCGTATTCTTCAACTCGACGTACTCATGGCCCATGAGCGTCCAGGCTGACAAGCACGTACGATCGAGCGTGAGGGCACGGCGGAAGTACTGCACGGCCTTTTCGTGCATAGATAAAAGGCTGTAGTAGTTCCCGATGACGACGCACGATTCGGGCCGGAACTTGTCGACGTTGGAACAGAGGTGGGCCAGGAAGGCGAGTTTTGGTCGCATGTTCATTACGTAGAGGATGTTGGAGTAGTGGTCGAGGGAGTCGAGGCGGTAAGGGTGGAGAGAGAGGAGGCGGCTGAAGTGCTGCTCGGCGGCGACGAAGTCTTTGGCGTGGTAGGAGAGGAGGGCGTTGCAGGTGAGGAGGAAGGAGGAGGTGGGGAAGATGCTGAGGAGTTGGTCGAGGGAGTTGGCGAGGGAGGGGCCTTGTTGGAAGAGTTCGAGGGAGGTGTGGAGGTGGAACATGAAGGAGACGATGTTGTGTGGGAGGTGCTTGGCGATGCGGTTGAGCTGCAGGTGGTCAGTCGCTGATGGTGATGTAGAGGAATCGGTTCGTAGACTTACATCTTCCACTCGAGATATTAATGAGGCCATCTCGAGCCAGCAGCCCCAGTTCATGGGGAAGAGGTGCACGCTCCGTACCAGATACTCCATAGCCTTTTCGTTGTTCTTTTCCTTTGCAAGCACCATTCCGTAGCTAGACCTCAGGGCCATACGTCAGCGGGTTGGTTTATGGGTGACAGGAGTAGCAGAGTGCGTCGGCATCACTTACAGATATTCGAGCCAGCCCTGACTTCCCACCGCCTCCTCATCGCCCACACTCCTCTCCTCAAACCACGCATTAAGACACTTGCTCACAAGAAGCAACTGCTTATTCCCCACTGTCCCCACATCATGCGGCCCCATCACCATCTCCGCATCCTCATCTTTCCTCTTCTCGCCCGATATCACCTTGGCATAGAGCGCAAGGAACAGACTCTTCTGGCTTATCTTCGGCAGCGCCGCAGTCTTGCTCGACTCAGCTGCTGCCGTCGCCGCCGTCGCACTCGGTTTTAGCTTGCCCTTTCCCTTGGGAGTTCCCGATGCTGGTTCGGCTTTGGATTCCACGATGCCCGAGAGCATGGACTCGGGAAGGAAGACGGCGGCGCATCGGTCGTATTCGCGGCAGTCGAATAGAGATTTTGCGAAGAGGTATTTGTTGAATTCTTGCGCTTCTAGACGTGCTTCTTCGGGGTCGGGATTCGGGCCGGATATGGAGGCGGACTGGGCGGTTATTGTGTCTTGGGAGGAGGGTTGTTGGCCTGTGGATTCGGGGATGGAGTTGAGGAGCTCAGCAGCCCTGCAAGAAGCTTAGCATTAGGAGCTTGGGGAGCGACAGTCGATTGGGGTTATTGAAATGAACCTGGACGCACCATTTCGCGGATTGGTAGAGACAGCGCTCGAAACATTTGACTACAGCGTCCTGCAGAGCTGCCCGCAATTGGAAGACTTCATTGTCGCTGAGGGACATGGCTCAGGCATGTGGGTGACCTTCTGGTGTGTCTAGAGATTGGGTTGGGATACTGTTGAGTGGTATGTGGGAGCCTCTTCCGAAGTTATGGTTCTTGAGAAGAGATGCAGCCACGGTGGTTGGCGGAGAAGCCGTGCTGATGATTGTGAGCTGTGGTTGTGAAGCTCTTCAGTCGCGTCGACGCGGCGGTTGTGAATTCTTGGGAGCTCAAGATCTCAATCAATACCTTTGTACTTCGTACCTCAGTACAGTAATACAAGTACATAGGTACATAGGTACACAGGTACGATGCCACTAGGGCGGGCAGTGGAGGGGCACAGCACGTGCTCCGGAGTGCTATGTCACGTGATCTCAACCCTACATACTACACGCCTTTAACACTCCAGGAGAACTAAGAACTTACAGTTTCCGCAAGCTGGCACGGCGACATTTTCACTCCAGGCAGTAGGCAGACCAAAATCATGTGGGGGAGTAATCCTATCTATCACATGGCCTACATCCACGGAAAAGGCGCCTGGTGAGAGGATCCAACCTTACACTGAGAACCCACTAGGGTGCGACGGGATGCTCCGAGCAGGCAGGATGAACACGGAGCATACGGGGTTGGTGGGCCTCCCGCGTCTAACCCCTCCGGGCCACCACCAATCCGGGCGAGAGTGGGCATCCCGCTTGCATCGGCAGACTGATGGATTGGCAGATTCCTTTCGTGGCGTTTTGCATCCCTTGGAATGATCAACGTAAATAGCGGAAAGACATTCGCGATCCACATTTTTGGGCAGTTAACTATTACGGCCCGATCTTCCTTGCCCAAGTAAACGCGCCAAGCCGCTCTGCAGGCATCCTTTGAGTGGTTGATGTCATCCCTAGCTTTTTTAGAGCTCGAGCGAGCAGCCTGATAATAAAACATTGTCCACATTGCCGACCGCCGACAGCGCCACTGCGCGATCCGTGATCAGAGATTGTTCCCAACGTCAACCTCGATCCCAGCAACCGCTTGCAAAGCTAACCTACCGGACAGTCTAATCTATGGACCGCCTTTTGCAGTGTAGCTGATGGATGACTCTTGATAGAAGCGAAATACATCCTCGACTGCTCAACCATAATCTGAATCGTTCTTCCACCCCCCTGAACAGTTCCGACATATCCAAGCTGGTACACTGGCAATTCACATCAGATTCGCGGCCCGACATCCTCCAAATACATCTGGGCTGCAGAACATTAAGCAGCCCCTGGTGTTTAGCAAAATAGCCTAATGGACGGATCTCATCGCGAGTTTGATCCTGACGGTGATGTCCTTCTAATTTTACGGAATCCGAATGCACCCTTTGCCGACTGGAGCGAGCAGGAGAAACTTAGTTTTACACCCTCTTTTGGCTTAGGAAAAAGGAAGAAGAGCAGGAAGGGCAAGAGAGGCAAGGCGCAGGTATGACATTTCTTAAGCTGCCACCACTATTTGTTACGCCGAGGCTGAAATGCTGTCGTTGAGCCGCTCTCCGATCCGCTCCCCGATCCGCTCCCCGATCCGGTAGACGTGGAAGAACCGTCACCGAAAGAGGCGCTCGACCGGCCTATAGAAACGCCAGCCACAGAAGATACACTCGAAGAAGACACTGGCGTAGCCATCGGAGAGGTACGACTACGCGTCTCATCACGGCACTTGACCTTGGCCTCAGCCTACTTTAGAAACCTTCTCACCTGCGCCTGGAAGGAAGCGACTACCAGTGCAGATGGCTGCCGATACATATACTTTGAACACTGGGACGAGGAAGCCCTTACGATCCTCATGCACGTCGTCCATGGCCAAACTCGAAGTGTGCCTAGAACTGTCAGCCTTGAGATGCTGGCGAAGATTGCCCTTCTAGTCGACTATTACAAGTGCCATGAAGTTATTGAAGTCTTCTCCGATATGTGGATCCAGAAACTCAGGAACCAACTTCCGGCGCACTTTGATAGAGATCTCGTTCTCTGGGTTTTCATCTCCTATGTCTTCATCCAAGACGATATCTTCAAGGAGGTGACTAGAACAGCGATAGAGCAGAGTCCAGGAGAAGTTTCATCCCTGAGTCTTCCAATTCCATCCGTCATCGGCAAGTAATCTAGCAGAGACTTTTCGGTACAGAGACTAACCTTTAACAGAGGAACTCAATTGTCGTCGCATTGAATTAACCGACCGGATCCTCACCCAGCTTCGCTCCCTTTTGTTGCATTTTCGTGATAACCACATGGGGTGCTCGTTTGAATGTTCATCTATACTTCTAGGCGCTCTTACGAAGGAGATGCACGCGAATGGTCTCCCACCAGTTTTTGGATCTGTTAGCGCTACGGAACGTAGCCTTGCAGACACGATCAACATGGTGCGCCAGTTTCAATCTCCTGAGTGGGGTAGGAGGAATCCTTTCGGCTCAGGTTGGATACAGCACTCCTGCACATTATCATCATTTGTCGAAGAGAGAGTAATCAAGTATGTCAAGGTAGAAGGATTAAGTTTATCTAGTTTTCTGAGGCGTGGCATTCTTAGAAGAAGTGAGCAAGGGGTCTGATACTCACTATAATGCAGTAGCATTATAAAGCGCTGAGTTCCACTTCATCAGCTCCGCTCGTCTTAAGGTCCTGATCTGGAGTTTTTGATTCTCTCTAAGTTTATTATTATTGCTAGGAGTAGTATTTTCAGTGTATGTTCCTAATCCAACCATCGAGATGGTTGTTTTGGCGACTGTTAACCCACCGCGAAAGGTGGAAAACCACCTGCGGCAGGTTCTGCCCTTCCGAGGGAGGAGAGAGGGGTATTCCCACGGGATTAGCAGTGGGGAGAATCCCCATCATGCCAACATGTGTGGGGACATTTCGTTGCCCCTCACAATTGACCGCTTAGGGTGTTCTCAGTCCTCTACGTTAATTTTAGGGACCTTCTAAGTATGTTTTAGGCCTCTCTAAAGTACCCTGGTCAAAATGTCTGGAGCACTGGTTTGATGCAAGATTGCGATCCTGCTGGGGTGTAAAGCCGCAGACGTTGCGTGAAGAACCGTGATATAAGTCCGAGGAGGACCTCGGTAACAAAGTATATACGAAAAACTGAAAAAAAAAAAAAAAAAAAAAAAAAAAAAAAAAACTCGAGCTATTCTCGAGCTATTCTCGGGCTGGTATATCGTGTATAGGTTGTTCAAATACTCAAAAGGAGAGCTATGGAAAAATAAAAATAACACTGCCGAAGGCCAGGGCAGTTACATGGTGATATTTGAAGGGGGCATCAACTCTAATCACGTGAATAATCCCCCTGTTTTTGAGGGCGGTTCCATACATCGTAAGAAGTCACCAAAAAACTGCGGCCAGAATTCCGTGCAGGTGGCTCCGTCTGCTGCCCCATGATCTTTCCCAGGAACTCTTATTTCAAATAATCCCCCAGTTGTGTTCCCAAGCTTATCTCTCAACACGCATTTCGAGAACAATTAAGCTGGTGCTTTAGTAGCTATATTAATATTTAACTACTAAACTATTTACTTAATTTAAATAAGTTATTATTTAATATATTACTAAATTACTTATTTTAAATTATTAAAATATTAATTAAGTTTTTTTATTTTTTTTTTATATTAATAATTTATAAAATCCTTAGCTATTAAGACGGAGCAGTGCAGCCTGCCCGAAACACTACAAGAAACAAGAAAGGAAACAAGGAACAAATGGTGGTCAGATAGTCAAGAATGGTTCCTGCAAGAAGCTGCTGCAATTCCGCCTGTAGGAATGGAAGTAGGACGTCGGAAATGGTTGATCAACGGAAATAGGGCCGTATCACAACCAAAGGAGGCTTCCAAATAGGGAGAAGCCAAAGATCATACTAGTGTTAAATAGGAGACATATCTATATGTAAAATAATAGAAGAACTGTCCGGAAATAGGGCCGGACCAGATTCGACACTTGGTCCATCCATCCCATCCCATTCCTATTTTAAGCTCGTCCTAAGTTTCGCAGTTTTGCAGTTTCGCAATAAAGACGAGTAGATGTTTTATAGGCAATGAGCCAATGCGCTGAGGGACTCGGTCCGGCATTGAATGCATGAATCCAAGTCGCCGTGTGCGATGCAAGATTACCCGCCATATTGCCAAGGCACTACTTCAAGATGGACAGTTTTAAATCCCTCACTCAAGTGGGCATACATGGAGAAAACTTGGGAAGGAAAGAAGAAATGGATTGAGAAGGTGAAATCTCGTGTCGCCCTACTGTGCCGCGTCAAGGAACAATAATGTTTCCCCGTCTCTGCTGGTTCAGTCCCCAAAGGAGGACTGCACCTTTTGCGCTGTAAGTCTGTGACCACCTTTTCCCCATCGCAGTGCTCATTCTGTAATTAGCACTGTGACAAGGCTCTCTTAGATGTTGATGTTCTACGGGATCCGTCGTAGAAGGTAAGCCGTGAACGCACCTGTGTTATACGGACTCCTCTTCCTCGTGAGTTCTGCTTATCCTTTGTACCTTTCTTGGGTCTAGTTGCTTAAAATATAATAAGACACGCCTTATGACTGTGTCCGTTTTTCTCTACGAAGGAAACATATAAACGCTCTGGTGCAAGCACCACCGCTGTAGTTTAACTTGAAATGGAAAAAAGGGAGTCGGCGGGAGGTCTGGTGTCGCTCGCCACACCATCACCGCTGAGGGGGGATCACGGGGCGGGACATAATTGGCCTGAAAATCATGGTGGGCGAGATAAGGCACCGACGGCTCAAAGGCCTGGACTCATTTCTTTTTGATTCCGTATTCCGTGGGGTCTTCTTCACTTTCGATCATCATTTACCCTTTACCCATCATCCACCATCCCGAATACCCCCCTCTTGCTAGAAGTTACCCTCATCTCAATGGAGCGCGCCGATCCCATAGAGTTCCAGTCCAATAAGCCTTCCGCTCCCCCCGGACAAGCTTCTGGGGTTGTTCAGGAGCCGACTGGTTCACAGATTCCCCTTTCTTCTATCATAGGCGACGGATCCCAGGGGCAAACTGCGATTGTAAGTAAATCCCAAAAGCTCTTCTGCTCCTGGGCTGGGGTCGAACTGACTCGTAGAACGCTTTACAGTCCAATCCTGACTCGGAAACGAATCGAGCCTCGACGCTACAAACTCGGCTTACCAGACCTGACCTGTCAATTTCGAGAGACCTATGGGACGTGGCATACGATGCTCTCCAAGAGTCACACCCACTACTCTTGAATGAATATGAAAAGATCTTGTCCTCTAGGCTACGGGGTCCAGAAGATGATGCTAGAGGAGAGCAACCGATCAACTTGATCGACCGCACTGATAACGATAGAAGACGGCAACAGATGATCGATGTTATAAGGCTAGGAATACAGAAATTGGAAGAAACTCTAAAAACGGCTCTAGAAACCAACCACGGCAAATTCATCGCCCGAATGAAGGATGACATCCGCTCTGCGATACAGGATACGCCTGAGGTCGCCATTCCATGGGTTGGATGTGTCTTGGTCTTAAACGTGGGTGTTTGTGTGTTGGAAAATTCTTGATAATTAATTGCTAAGCTCAAGCAGGAGTTACCACGGCGAGGGTGGACGGAGTGGACGAGAAACCCTGACCAACGCAGAGGTGCCTCTCAAATGCTAGACCTCTGCTCTACCATGAACTTCTTTTGCGATTTGCCTAAAGTTCTTCTTCAAAATGGCTTGGCGGAATATAACGACCGCTTCTCCCAGGCGCTGAGAACAGATATCCGCGAGTTGATTCTAAATCAATACCGGGCAATCTTGTTATTCCAAATCCAGCTCCTCTACTCTTGCTACCGGACAAGCGGATTCCAACTCGCAGACCTCGGCAATATATCCGCGGATTGGGGTCCAGTAGCCCTCGCGAGGGAAAGCCTAACCCATGGCCAGCGCGACTTGCTGCCCCATTCTGTTGGACTTGCTGCTGTCGGGGTTTGCGGAATTTGCGACAAAATCCGCGAACTGTTGCTGTTGGCTATCTTAACGTTGGGGGTACGGACCGCTCACCTACATTTAAGCCAAGGCGGTGGCAATGACGATGACACAAAGGCAACCGATTCAACGTTTATAGACGCTCTCTCAGAGTTTGTCGAACAGTTCATAAGCTCTCATCCTCCGGCAATGGACAAGACCCTCTTCGAGATACACTGGAGCTTTTCCAGCTCCAGGAGGCTGAGACCACCAACATCGGTCATTACTACAACGTGCTTAAGGGTGGCTGCCAACATCATCGGCCTCGAGAGTTTATTGCGCCAGATACAGCAGCACTACGCCTCAACGGAGATCAGTGCTGAGATTGCTGAGATCACTGAAACACTGCTCCAAAGTCTGCTGCCGCAAGGCAAGCAAGCGGTGCGGGAATACTTCCGGATCTATATCAGAGAAAGAACGTCAATGGCATACACTCTAGACCCCGTCATTAAGGACACTTCAGTGACGACGGAAGTTAACAGCCCTTGTCGGGGAGGGCCGGCTGCCTTGTCGGCAGATGCCACACAACCCGATGCGGCCAAACACAATGTTATAGGGCTAGTCATAGCTGTAGACGGCGACGGTATGACTGCGGCAGACGGTAGGGATTTCATCAATATTTTTGGGCCGGGGGACTGGAACCAACGTCTCGAGGCTGTGGATAATCGGCGGGTGGTAAATCACCCCAACGTCCCGGCTAGCGATCAGTTTTCGCTGCCTCACCCCATTGTTGCCCGTGCGTTTGTACCAGAGGCATGCATTCATAGCCATAGGCCTCTAAAATTGCCACTCTCGACGAGAGTGCTGATTATGGAGCATGACCATCAGGTGTGGACTCCTAGCCTGATGCAACTGACGACTGAGGAAATTGACTTGTCAGACGGTTCATCTGCGCCGGAATATCTCGCCTTTTCATACTCATGGGGGGATCAGAAACCTTCTGTTCCCGTATTTTGCGACGGAAAGCTGTTATTCGTCACCAAGAACTGCCAAAGGCTTCTTCACAATTTTCACCGGCTCCATAGTGTCTCCACACGCGAATCTCAAGACCCTGTCACTTGGCGCGTATGGATCGACCAAATTTGCATTGACCAGACTTCGAAAGAGGAGAAGAGCCGACAAGTCTCTATCATGGACAAAATCTACAAGCGGGCGGGAAAGGTGCTCGTCGACCCTGGACAATGCGACCTACCAACTCGGAGACTCGTTCATCAACTTAGTAGGATCCCAGGTCGTGAAGACCCACATAGCAAAATGAAGTGTTTTGATGGTGAAATTCTCGGTGAAGATTCCACCTCATCGTCGAATGGTAAGTTACAGGGCATAACTTGTTGGGAAACGACTGGCTAAGCAGTATGGTAGTAGAAATGACCGACGAGGAATGTTCATCAATGTCTCAAATACCCTGGACAAAGGAATTCGCCGACCATGTCTTTGGCGAGCAGAAGAGGTTGTCGTCAAATGACCGAATCTACCGAAGTCAAGTTACTAGGCTTCTCGGAAATTTTCTGTCCAAGTCTTGGTTCACCCGAACGTGGACGATTCAAGAGATCGTCCTGTCGGGTCTGGGAAGGCAATTCATAGTCATGTCTGGAGGCGATTCCATCACATGCTGTTATTTTACTGTATTTGCTTATGTCGTATGGAGCCTTGGAACTAAATTCAGACTTGCAGCTCTGAAGATACCATATCAAGCAGCTATGTATCCGATTTGGATCCAGTCCATGTTGGGTAAAGAGGATGATTTTCAGCTACGCCTATCCCCCCTACTTCTCGGTCCCCGGTGGAGAGAATGCCTAGAACCTCGTGATAGGATATTCGCCCTCTACGGAACACTCCGAGACCACTTCCCGGACTTTCCGAAACCCAACTACAAAAAGTCCGTTGTTGACGTCTATACCGAAGCGGCGGCTTTCTGCTTGAATGTTGATCGAGAAAAGGCCAAAAACTTGGATCTCCTCTATGCTGCCCCAAGATCGGCCTATGGTCAGCGAATCGATGGACTCCCATCATGGGTACCTGACTTTAGCCAGCCATCCGTGTATGCTCACCGCACCGACAGAAATGCCCCGAAACCGGAGGGGTTCGATTTCCCCGGAGAGGGTGGTTCTAAGTTTCACTTCAGCGCGAGCGGTACTTCGTCTCCATGCTGCCACATAGCGCTTGACCAAAAAATCCTCAGATTATCAGGCAAGTTTGTCCGAAGCATTAAGGCGGTAGGATGGGCTGCGCCGCCAAGGGATCACGATGATGGTGCCGCAAGGCTTTTGTTTGGAAACGCTGTTAACCATACACTACTTCAATGGGCTCTCATGATCGACTCCACAGGAATGCCATGGCGCGGGGTATTGTACAGGTACCAACGGGTCGTCCATGAATGGGCGAAGCATGATCGTATTTCTCGGTCACAAAGATACGGTCTGGTGACAGGACTCCACCAGCTATTGGTCGAACTTCATGAGTCTTCTGTGCCCTTCAACCCTTATCTTGGAGAGCTTTTGGCTAAGGATCACGTAGAGATCACACCTCTAGGAGGAGTATCCTGGCCAATCGCCGCGGAACATAGCCTGGTCATGGACAGCGACAATCAGATTGGGCTTGTAATGGGTGATATAGAGGAAGGTGACAAAATAACACTGATATCTGGTATGGAAATCCCAGTTATTCTACGAGAAGCGGGGAACGGGAGGTGGACACTCACAGGATACGGTTATTTTTATGGATTGATGGAGGGTCAGCAGTGGGATGATCAAGCGAATCTCGTAGATATTGACATCATTTAGCCGCCGTGCGACCACTAAAATATAAACTTGTCTTGTCTCGGCTTACGCAAATGCAGGGAAAGGTCGCCATTATACCTCTTCTCCATAATGTCGCAATATAACCCTATCTGCTGTAACGTCAAAAGAGGTGATTGCTCTGGATGAGATGTATAGCGCAAATCTCGTGGGTTCCTTTCCTGTACTAGTGGTTCCAGATTAGTGGTTACAGGCTGCTTACTGGTGCTGGCTATGACAGTATTGATCGAGGTTTGGAGCGCCACATATTGTCACCAAGGTTCAGTACTGATGAATGGATCAACCCAAGATCCGGTAAAAAGGCCAGCAGTACAGCATAGTGATGATAGTAACAGCTAACTCTAGGGTCAGGTCAGCATACCTATACCAGGAGGCAGTAAGAAGAGGGAATGGGTAGAGTTGATGTTAGATTTAGACCACTACACCAAAAATGAGCGACATGCCACTCTATAGTGATTAGTCATAAATCTATTATTTCAACAGTTGACTTGTTCTAGATCGCCCAAAGTGTAGTAATCTGGATCGTTAGAAGGAGACCGCTGGCGAATCTATACCAACATCCTATAGCCTCTCTCTAGATCTTCAATTTCAAATCCATCTTCCGGAAAGTCTTACATATCTATCTAGAAGCTAGAGAGCTCCTATTTACAGAATTTCTTCTATTGTAACCACATCCGAACCAGTAATTTTGGTTCTTCGAGTTCCATCACGTGATATACCAGCCAGGCCAACGGAAGCTAGCCAGCCGCCAGACGTTGGGGCCGGATGGGAACGACTGCGCCGTGAGATGTGACAATTGACCTCAGACCTGAGAAGTAGATATTATGGAGGGAGCTTTACGAAGTACCTCAACGCTGTTTTCTGGTGGGACAAGAGAGTGAATTGAGCCATATACCGTTTCAGTCTGCCTCCCAAGCGAGACGAATATTTTCCTAATGGACGAAATGGACGAATCAAGGTGCCCCGCCACACCGCTTGAACTGCAACGCTGCCCCTGAGCGAACTAACGCGATGGCGACCGTTTTTTGGTCCCGATGATTGCCCCTCCTTCTCAATTCCTCGTCGTCCCTTGCTCCTGCCCCGCTTCCCAATCTTCCCAATCTTCCCAAATCGGACCCTGCGCTCCCCGAGAAATTGTCGAGGCAATTCAACAAGGAAATTCAAGGGTCCAATTTCGCCATTCTCCACCCCTCTCAACGTCCATCTTGAGCCTCCTCCCCAGTCCAGTTGACGTGCTCTCTTCTGTTGTCACCACACCGACGAAAGTAAACCCACCACCAGCCCCGATCCAGATCCCCGGAAAGACAAAATGGCGCGCAAGACGAATCTCAAGGAATTCGAGGACGTGTTCCCCAAGCTGGAGAAGGTCCTCCTCGAGCAGGCTGCGAGCTACAACCTCCCCAAGGCGCACCTAGAATGGTATCAAAAGGTAAACCACCAATTCCTCCCAATTGAACCCGAGAGACGAAAAAAAAGCTAACACCCTCCCCCCCTCTCCCTCAGTCCCTCCAAACCAACACCGTCGGCGGCAAATGCAACCGCGGCATGTCCGTCCCCGACTCGACCTCCCTCCTCCTCGAAAAGCCCCTCACCGAAGACCAATACTTCCAAGCCGCCACTCTAGGCTGGATGACTGAGCTCCTGCAGGCCTTCTTCCTCGTGTCCGACGACATCATGGACAGCTCCATCACCCGCCGCGGCAAGCCCTGCTGGTACCGCCAAGAGGGCGTCGGCCTCATCGCCATCAACGACGCCTTCATGCTCGAGACCGCCATCTACTCGCTCCTGAAGAAGTATTTCCGCCAGCACCCGCGGTACATTGAGCTCGTCGAGCTGTTCCACGACATTACCTTCAAGACGGAGATGGGCCAGCTGGCGGACCTGCTCACCGCCCCCGAGGATAACGTCAACCTCGACAACTTCTCGCTCGAGAAGCACTCGTTCATCGTCATCTACAAGACGGCGTGGTACTCGTTCTACCTCCCCGTCGCGCTGGCCCTGTACCTCCTCGACATCGCCACCCCCAAGAACCTCAAGCAGGCCGAGGACATCCTGATCCCCCTGGGCGAATACTTCCAGGTCCAGGACGACTACCTCGACAACTTCGGCCTCCCCGAGCACATTGGCAAGATCGGCACCGACATCATGGATAACAAGTGCTCGTGGCTCGTCAACGTCGCCCTCGAGATCGCCACCCCCGAGCAGCGCCGCATCCTCGAGGAGAACTACGGCCGCAAGGATGTCGAGAAGGAGGCTGTCGTGAAGAAGTTGTTCGATGACCTGAACCTGAAGCAGAGGTACGAGGAGTTTGAGGAGAAGAGGGCCAAGGAGATTAGGGAGTTGATTGATCGTGTGGATGAGAGTGAGGGCCTGAAGAAGTCAGTGTTTACGGCGTTCCTGGACAAGATTTACAAGAGGTCGAAGTAATTATTGCGGAAACTGAAAAGAAATTGTTTCGTTTTGAGGGGAGGGGGGAAACTTGCTTTTTGTTTGGCATACGACCAGGGCATTCGATTCGAGCAACGTTGAAGGGAGGGAATGGTACAAAATGTAAAGGAAGTAGTTTAATAAGATAAGTGGCCCACAGCTATCGGAGGGCAACTGTCTAGTATGAGATAATGAAGAAATTGAAGAGGGAAAAAAAAGGTGCCGAATATGGCGTATGCGAAGTGAAGATGTCGTAGACATGCGAGATGGAAAAGTCATGAGCCAAACCACCACCGGCTCTCTAAGCCAGCCATGTCTTATGCTTGCTCATCACCCACCAAAACCATATTTCCCTTCCTCGTGAGATAATTCTCTATCCTTTCCGTTCATCTTAAAATCCGAAACCGACCCTTGCCGACCCGATCCTCACTCTACTCCAAAAGGGAAAAGAAGAAAAAAAAAAAAAGCAACAAACAAGTGCCTCTCTTCCTCTTTATCTCACAGTCCCACTCCGCCCCCTACTCGTCCCCGCCTGCCTCGCCTCAATCTTCCCGACCAACGTACCTCCCACCATCCCCGGCAAAGGTGGCACCGCCGGCTCCTCCTCGTACCGATTATACCTGCCGTGATACCTCGACGAGGTCGAAGCAACGGACTGGCTCCTCGCCAGGGCGCCCAGTAACGTCTCGTTTCCCTGCGGCGATCTTGCATAGTGATGGAACTGTTGCTGTTGTTGTTGTTGTTGGTGCTGATGGTGTTGTCCCGCGGCGTTATGGGAAGAAGATGCGCTCGATGAAGGGGCTCGCGCGCGCGTGGAGGAACGAGGCGAAGATGGGACGTCGTACTTGTTCGCCGGACGGCCCGTGGCTAGGTCCACGAGAGGCACGCCGACGGGGGCGCGGACGCCTTGGCCTCCTCGTTGGGTCCTCCAAGACGTCGCTGGTTCTTCCCCATTTTCGCTGAAATCAAGGAGCGGTTTCGGCATGGGTGGTTGCTGCTGTTGATAGTGGTGGTCGGAGGGCGCGCGGTTCGTCGTGCGGATGGATGTGGGGCTGCCTGGCCGCCGCAGACTACGTTGACGATGAATTTCCGCCGCCGCCGTAGACCGCGCGGTCGAAGGGCGGTACCGCGAGTCGGATCGGCGCAAGGGATCGGAGTGTTGTTCCTGGGCGGAGGGAATGCTGTTGAGGAGACTGGGTCCTTCGGTGAAGGGGCCCTCGGAGGATTTGCGACGGCGTTGAGTTTCGGTGCGGCGCAGGCTTTCGAGCTTCCGCTCTTCGTACTTTTCGCCTAGGAGACCCTTGGAGTCGAAGTCGGGCTCCTGATCGAGGTTGACGAGTCCGTTTGCGTTGGCGTTGGCGTTGGGCCCTGAGTAGTTTGACGCGGACCGGCCGCGTACGCTTCCTTTGGACAAACGCTTTCGTTCCCTGGAAGGTGAATTGGGGGTTTGCTGCTGCTGCTGCTGCTGCTGCTGCTGCGTGGGCTGCGTAGGATCGTCATACGCTTTATCGAAGATATCCATATCCATGAGCGGCTTGAACGAACCAATAGCATACGGCGAGTTATCCATCGACTGTCTCGGCCTGCCCGTCGACGCCTTCCTCGCAAGACCCCCTCCGCCGCTCGCATCCCTCGTGGGCGGTCGCCCCGTATCAATCTTGCGATTGACGAGATACCAACTCCTCCACCCGTGGACCTGCTCCTTGAACAACCGCGCCGTCCTCTCGTCATCGGTGCAGAAGAAATGCACAAAATTCTCCCCCGTGGGGAAGACGTTGGACTTTTGCTGGCTCTTGACGGCGTAGCAGTATTTCTTGGGCGGCTTGAGCACTTTCCGAAGCTGGTGCTCCGTGGGAGTGTACAGGTCGAAATCGGACAGGTGGCACAGAGACACCGAGTCCTTGTCCGAGGGCTTCGCGCCGGGCTTCTTCGCCGCGTACATCTGTCCGCTGTCGAGGAGCGTGACAATGCGCTTCACCCACTTCCCTACGCGCGGACAACAGTATAACTGCAGCGTGAAGGCGTAGGGTGCGTCGTAAGTCCTCGGCACGGCGTCGATCTCGAGCTGCTCATCGTTATCGGGAACGGGATCGGGATTTTTGGAATTGGTGGTGTTTGTGATGCCAGCGGGGAGAACGACAAGGGCGTTGAGGTTGTCGCGGTCCCACGAGTTCATCACATCGCGGACGAGCTCGTAGCGGCGGAGTCGTCGCTCTAGGCCGTATTGGAGGTAGGATTCGACGACGATGCTGGTGTCTGGGCGGATTTTGTGGGTGATGAGGTTGGCGGCGGAGTGGAGGATGTCGACGGGTGTGGTGTCCGTTTTTACGGGGAGGGTGATGGAGGAGTTCATGCAACGGACGACGACACGCTGGGAAGGATTAGCAACGAATACAAAACTACGAAACTATTCTGCTCTAAAGAGAAAACAAGCAGAAGGAGAGAGGGGAATGCAAGGGAGGACAAACTCTTTCGCCGGCATTGCTTGCGCTCACAGGGGCATCAATCTGGGGGACGATGCCTTTCCCACCAGCGGCGATATAATTCGCAGGAGCCATATTCGTCCGACTCGCCTGGGGCGATGTAGGCAAAGAAGCAGGAGAAGGCGGCAGGCTCGAAGCCGAATTCTGATCAGCCTTCCGACTTCTCGAAAGAAAAGCAAAAATGGGACTCCTCGTTTTCGACTTGGGCGATGCGAGCGGTGATGTGGTGTGTTCCTGGTGATGGTGGTTGTTGTGATACCTCCGAATCTCTGGCTGCGATCCGCCAAAGCTCGTGGGAGCATCGACCCAGCGCGTGGTCGAGGTGGTCATCTTGTTGTCGGCGACAGCGACGGTGGCTGGCTTGCTCGTGCTCGTGCTCGTGCTCTGGGAGGGATAATTGGAGCGGATGGTTTCCGTCGTCCGTTCGCGAAAGGACTTGCCCGAATCTCTAGTGCGCACGGTTAGAGTCCTCTTTAGCTCCTCGTTGTCGTCGTTGTCGTTGTCGTTATCGTGGTCGTCGTGATTGCTGGGGTCAATCTCATAAAAGTGGTGATGATTTTTTGCGACAATGTTTTCGTTTCCATTTCTGTAATAGAGAGGTTCTGCAGATCGCGTGACGAAGGAGTTTAAATTGGCGGATCGCGGACCAAGGGGTAATAAAGCTGACGACGCTGACGCTGGGAAAGGCAGTGGTGGAACAGGGGGCGGGAGTAGTGGTTCTCCTGCGTGGGATGGATCTCGCGTCGATGGTGCCGATCCTGACCCCAGCGCATCGGCATGCCTTGGCCTTGGCTTCAGGTGGTTGGGATTAATATTACTGGACGTGTCGACGACGCTGGTTTCTCCGCTGGAATCCGTGCCCGCGAAGCTGGCTGACCGCCGTCTGTATCGCGATGGCGCCTTTTGCAAGCTGGGAGTGATGCGAGCGGTGTCGGTGTGGGCGGCGCTAGGGTCGGCGTTGGCGGCGGTGGGCGAAGAATAAGAAGAGGCGGCGGTGGAGGAGACGGGCACAGAAGAGTCTGAAGACGGGACGATTTCTTGCGTTTGTGCTCGTGTTTGTGCTTGTGCTTGTGCTTGTGGAACCATTGCATGCATGGGGCCGTGGGTCAGAGTTGGACTCTGGGCATCGCTGAAATGAGATGGAGCGGCATTGGCATGGATGTTGGCGTTGGCATTGGCGTTGGCATTGGTGTTGGCGCTGGAACTGGTATTGGAATTGGCATTCTTATTCTGGTGGCGACGTGATCGGTATCGAGAGAAATAGGCGGGAGCTGAAGCGGCAGGGGCGATGGAGCCCGGCGCTGGTGCGATCGCAGTCGCAGTCGCAGTCGTGCCCATGTTTGTCGTCGCTGTCGCTGCCGCCGTCGCCGTCAGCTCGGAATTACTTCTCGTACCTGCGTCTTCCATTTTCGCAAATTCCATCCAGCCGTTATCCCCCCGCTATTTTATTCCCTCCTTCACAAGCCCTGTAACAAAAGGAATCGAATTGATTGATTGAATTCGAATGTCGATTATTTTAGTTCGACGATGTGACGCTGTTAAGATTAAAACTTGCAGCAGGATCTTCCAGAATCCACAATCCCCCATCAAGATGCCGGAATGATGGCGCCACCGCTGGGTCCTTGGGACTCGACTCCTTTTTCGGGTTTAGCGAGGACGATGGGAGAATGAGAAGATCGGAAGAAATGGACTGGGAGGCTTGGGGAGGATTTGCGCTAAGGTTCAAAGTAAGGTTTCAAGGGAGGAACAGGAATAGAACCACGATCAATGATCGAGGATCGTCATCGATCGAAGTCGAAGCCGAAGTCGAAGCTGAAATCGAAATCGAAAGCCGTCAAACTGACGTCAGCGAGCTAAGAAAGATCGGACGGACCCTGAACTTTGAATTTCTTTGCGCTTTGGCTGTGGTTTGCTGGCGCCGAGTTCAGGTGGGCGAAGGCGATGTCTCGATTGGTTCGGGCACAGCACGGAGATGGACGATTGATGCAATCGCACAGCAGCACAACACGTATGGCCTGCATAGACTTCAGCTGGACAGGCAAAAGTTGACGAAGAGATCTGATCTGCGATTTTGTTTTCTCTCTCTCTCTCTCTCTCTCTCTCTCTCTCTTCTCTTTGTGCCCTTTTTGGACGGCGGCGATCGGAGACGGGACAACGCGATGCGTTGACTTGGAGATATCTTCCGAGACAATAACAAGCTCGCGCGGAGATTTGGTAGATGGTATGTCTTGGATCTATCGAGATTGGACGGATGAAGAAAGAGGAGAATAGAGCCGCTCTTAAGACCTTTTCTATTAAAGAAAAAACAAAAAAGAACAATCGAACAGGATCAATAGGCTTGCCAAGGCGGGCGGGAGATACTGGATAGGGAAACCCGAAGCAGATTGAATCGGATCAATCTGTATCGTCCGCCACTAAGAAGAGGGAATCTCGACGTCGCTAGCTGTCGGTGGCGATCTAGTGAAGAGTAGTGCGCTGCAATGCTGCAGTTGCGCATCAAATCGGCGAAAGCACGATGATTCTCCTCGGCGCCGCCGTGATACTTGTAGCCTTTTGTCGAATCCAGCACGGGGACGAACCGCTGGCTAACACGGCACGGAGGCTCTGGCTGCTCACTGGCTTCTCATACCGAAGGTAGTGACTTGAGGATATTCTGGCCTATGCAAACAGTGTTCCAGAGGCCTCGTTGTTCGTTCCAGGACAGGGAGCTTCTTTATTTTTCAGCTGCGGACTCGATGATGACGACGATATTTTTGGCGTCTCCGGTTCTAGGCTTGCATAGCAATTGTCCACCTCGACGTGAGGAGAAGAGCGAAGACGGAAGACGGCTTTCTTTTTATTCAATGTTTCGCAGCTTGTTTTTTTCTTCAGGAGGCTCGTGTCTCATCACATCTCGCTTTGCCTCGAAGAATGAGACGAAGTATGAGGTAAAGTAATGACTTGGATATGCGCACGCGACAAACAATCCGCACATATATATTCGAGTACCGATAATTTCAATAATTGCCACTTTTACTTGTCCCCCTTCTGCTAATCACAATGCCGCGTGTGTTCCCTCGTCTCCGAGAAAAAAAGAGATTGATGCGACGAAACAGAATGCGCATAAACAACGCTTAGATTGCTGTCTCTCTTCGAAACCATGGTTGGCTGCCATTCCTCCTGGTCTGGTTCCACGAATATGGGGCTGGGGTCTAGTGGTTTGGCAGGACATCCTTGAATTTAGAAATTTCATTGATCAATGGATTCATTAATAGGATCGAAGGACTAAGGGTCCGACGTCGCTGAAAATTGTCTTTGAGAGACTGTGTGTGTGTGTGAAAACTGAGATGTTGTCTTGGTGATATCTGTTCCATCATCATGAACAAACACGACATCCAAGATTGAACTCTCTCCTTCAGTTTTGTCACCTCTGAGACATCGCCACGTGCTGTGGCCTAGACAATGGACTAATATGGATCCCATCGTCATCGACAACGCAGGCAACAGACCATCCCTTTCGTCATTTGGATCTGGATCTGGAACACCTTTCCTCCCCCAGCATCAACATCATCTCTACTTCCTAAACGTCAACTCCCTCCTCCACCAATGCTCAAACTCCACCGTCCGCACATCAATCCCCAACTCCTTCAACGCCCTCGTGTTCAAATGGCAATCGTACGGCCGCTGAACGCTCGCCGACGAATCATTCCCCTCGTCGTTCCGTATCACGTTTTCCGTCGAGATCCCCATGATGCGTCCGAAGAGTTGGCACATGCCATATTTCGTCGTTTTATCCTCGCTCGAGAAGTGGAGGATGCGCGGTAATGTCGACTTGTCCTGCGTATCGAGGTATTTCGTCGCAACGTCTGTTCATCAAAGGTAAGCCCACTCTTCTGAAAGACACGGCGGTCCTGAGAGAAGAGTGAAGAAATAAACCTACCGGCCACAACCCGCGCCACATCCTCCGTATTGGTCGGATACCTCACCGCCCAATTATCCATCCTCACCTTCTCACCCCCTCTCGCCGCCCCCCAAACCGCATTCAGCAAAACATTCACCGCACTCTCCTCCGGCACCTCCGCCTCCCCGTACAACACCGGCACCCTCAGCACCACGCCCCACCCCCGCTTCCCCGCCCTCTCGAACTCCTCCAACATGGCCCGTTCTCCGCCGAGCTTGGTTTCGCCGTAGAGGTTCGTCGGTGAGGGCTCCGCGTCGACATCGTATGGGGCCTCGCCGGGGCGGCCGGGGAAGACGTAGTCGGTCGAGATGTAGATCATGAGGATGGAGCGGGCGGCGCAGAGGCGGGCGAGGGTGCGTGTGGCGGTGATGTTGAGGGCTTTTGTCCCCTCGGGATCTTTGTCGACTTTGTCGGGGAAGCGATTTGCTGCGCCTGAGGGGAGTTTGTGAGCTTCATTTTCTGGAGCAAGAACGGAGGGGGTCCAAGGTCGTGAGTAGCATACTGTGGACAATGACTTGCGGCCTGATATAAGAAGAAAATAGAATTTAGCACCTTGTGCGGTTGCTTGGTCTGATGGGAAAAAGAAAAGAAGGAGGGCCTCGTACTTTACTTCATCGAGAGCTGCCTCAACCTCGCCCACCTTCTGAAGATCAACGCGCAACACAGAAACCCCATCTGCACGACTCAGCCCAGTCCCCTTGACACTCCAATTCCTACCCGGGTCCTCAAACCCCCGGACAAGCTGCCTCCCTAGCAGGCCAGTAGCGCCTGTCACGAAAGCCGTCCGCGTCATGGCCTGAAACTGTGACCAGCTCAGATGAGAATCCCGTTGCACTCAAGCTGGAGTGAGAGTTACAATGTTTCGAACGGGGCGAATTCGATGATGGGTACGGAGAGGTACGCTTATTCGAGCTTGATGTTAGTGTCGCTCAAAGCTTGCAACGCTGATCCCCTCTGGTGTTCCTTGTGTCGTCATGGACGGATTGAATGCCCCGCGCCAAGTTGACGGACCCAGTTTGAGGGGTGGTTTCCCCATTATGAGATACCCTCGTTACATGCATACGAAACCTCATGATGTTCCTCGCACTGGAACAAGCTTTGGACTTGGTCGGCTTGATGGGGGCAACACATCTCTGACACTGCCACTTCAAGGGGCAATTCGAAAAGATTGACGTAACATAATTCAATTCTATATGACCCCTAGCTAGGTCAAAATGCTTCAGCTAAATGAAGAACACAGGCAGCAAGAACAGCGCAACGCTTTCTATACAACCCTCACAGTAAAGTCCTCCCCAATCGCCGCACCAACCCTACCCACAATTGCAAACGACGCCTTACCCCCCTTCCCCTTGAAATACTGTACGGGCGCCTTCCAAGTCTTGCCGCGCGACTCGACCTCGACCTCCTTCTTATCCCACGAGGCCGGGGCGCCGACGATGACAATCTTGTCGACGGCGACGTCCTTCATTTGCTTCATCCAGGTACCCGGCTTAACGGTGCTCTTGGCCTCGCCGTCACCGTCGACGGAGGTGATGGATGTTCCGTCGAGCGCGAACTTGCGATAGATGTACTGACCCTTCTCGTAGTCGAACGAATCTCCATCGTCGACGTAGAGCTCTCCCTCAGCGGCGCCCGCCTTGGAAACGGACACAACGAGCGTGTAGTCGTCGAACCTCATGAGGGAGCTGGACCGTCGAGGCCGGTCGCGGCGCGGGAAGATGTGTCCGCCCCTCATGAAAAGAGGAATACTCTCCAGCGGCGCGTCAACGGTGACGGTCTTGCCCTTCTGCGTGGGAATGACGTCGTAGGTGAAGTAGTCGTAGTAGACCTCGTCGTCGGGGATGTAGACGTCGGCCGTGACCTTATCCTTCTCGACGACGGGCTTGACGAGCAGACCCGTGCTGCCGAGGAAGATCTGGTCGTCGATGGCGAAGCCGCCTTCCTCGGTGGGGTGGGTCCAATACATGGGACGCACGATGGGGCTTCCGTCGCGGTGGGCGTGGAAGAAGGCCGTGTACCACGCGGGCAGAAGGCTGTAGCGGAGTCGGAGAGCGGAAGAAATGATGGTGTTGTAGTGCTCTCCGGTCAAGTACGGCTCGCGGCGGCGAGAGTCGATGTGGGCGTGCGCGCGGAAGAAGGGGTAGAAGGCGCCCGACTGGTACCATCGCGTGAGGAGATCCTTATCAGGGTTGCCGAAGAAGCCGCCGACATCAGCACCAGAGAAGGGGAAGCCCGCGATACCTTGGCTGAGAATCATGGGAATGGCCGCGCCGAGATGTTCCCAGGAGGCCTGGTTGTCGCCCGTCCACATGGCGCCGAATCGCTGAGAGCCGGCGTAGAAAGAGCGCGTGAGGACGAAGGGTCGGCGGAGCTCGCCGGACTTGCGCGAAAGAAGGGCTTGGTAGGTAGCGTTGTGAAGCGTCATTCCCATGAGATTGTGCACGTCGCGGTGCTCCCAGTTGCCGTGGTGAAGGTTATCCTTGGGCATGGTCGTCTCGGGTCCGTTAAATACGGACGGCTCGTTCATGTCGTTCCAGATGAAAGTGTTCTCGCGGGTGCCCTTGAACTTGTCGTACTTGAACAGGCTCTTCCACCAGTCAATTGCCTTGGGGTTGAAACTGTCGATCCAGTGCGAGGAGCCGGGCCAGCACCATCCGTCGAAAATATTGCCCTCCTTGTTCTTGACGGCAAGATCCTTGTCTTTGAGCTCCGACACGACGTGATAGTCGTTGGTGTTCTTGATATGGGGGTCGATAATGGTCACGAGCTTGCGACCCTGCTTTTCAAGCGTCTCGCCCATGCCAATTGGATCGACAAACCTGTCCTTGTCGAATGTAAAGTATTTCTTGTCATCAGTGTACTCGATATCGAGCCAGATAACGTCGTAGGGCATGCGAGCCTTGTCCATCTTGCGATTGACGTCCTTGACATCGTCGTCGGAGACGTAGTTCCATCGACACTGATGATAGCCGAGGGCAAACTCCTGAGGCATGGCAGTAGTACCCGTCAGCTCGCTGTAGACCTTGGAAATGTCCTTGGGAGTGGGGCCGAGGAAGACAAAGACGTCCAAGAGCCCGCTCTCGGAGATCCAGTGGGTGTTGGTATTGGTCTTGGCCTCCGCACCCAGAGCGTTGGGGTTCGTCGCGTCCTTGGACTTGGTGACATCGACCCAGGTCTCGGCGGCGTTTAGCCAAAACACGGCGACGGTGGAGTCCATGTTGTGGGCGTGCATCAGCGGGATCGATCCGTAGAGGGTCATGGGGCTGTCGAGAATGTACTCGAACACATCGAGGTTGTACATCCTGTACGGCTCAGAATAATGGCCATCCTCGCGGCCGCGGGTCTCCTTGAGGGACAGGGAAGTGGCATGAGAAGGGATGCCGAAGACATGGCTGTAGCCTAAAAAGGTAATGTCGAGGGCTACGCTCTCGGGTCCCTTGGCCTTGGAATCGGTATTTCCACCAAATGTCTCTTCCCACCAGGTGCTTTCTTCGTCGCTCTCAGGTTCCGCGTCCTTGTTCTCCTCGCCTTCCTTCTTCTCCGGCTCAGGCTTGTCAACCTTTGGTCGCCAGTGCTCGACGTTCATCCAGCCCTTGTCATTGAATTTGATGTGGGAGACGCCGTCGCGCTTAAAGTCGATGGAAAAGGGCGAGAAGTTGACGTGCGCCTCGTGTTTTGACCCTCCGTATTGAATGACCATGCCATTCGAATCTTGGGAAGTTACCTTGGCGTCCTTGTCGAGGGTCAAACCACCGACAATGGCAAGCTTCTCGACCTCATTGAACCGCTCCTTGCGAGCTTGGCTGTCATGGCGAAGCACAATGTCATTCTTCTGGCGCTTCTCTTCATCGACTACGACACGAGCGACACCGGACTCGAGGAAGGAAACGGTAAGCGGTAGGCGGATGGATTCGGCGCCGTCGGCGAGGGACTTGAGAATGGTGCCCTGGAGCTGGCCGTCCTTGAAGGAGACGGAATCAGCATTGAGGTTGTAGGGCGCGGCCCAGGTCGAGCCCGCAGCAGCGGCGGAGTCTGCGTATTCTCTGTTTCGTTTACAGAAGCCGGATTGATGGCATTTCTTGAAGTCGTTCTCCTTGACGGTTACTGCATATCAGAGGGCGGGGGGGTGCTGTCAGTACGACGACGCTCTTGCGCCTAGGAAGCTCACGGGGATAGAGAGGATGGAGGGAGATGGGAAAAGGCAACTTACAGACGGGAATGAACAAGCAACTGAATGCGACTAAAAGATAGACAAGGCTTGTCCATGTCCGTGGCATGGCACGGGCACGAGGGGAAGACCACATGGTCAGGAGGCGCCTCCAGTAGGCGAGAGACAGGACACGCTGGCTGTCCAAAGACGAAAGGAAAGGAATAAACACTTAGAAAAAGAATCACCAGGATGCAAAAGACATCGGAGGATGTACGAAGACCCGGCCTTCTCAGGAATCGTCAGAGGGGGCTCAATCCGTCGCAGATGGGCTGAATGAGAGGTCTTGCAGGAAGACAGGACACCAAATCCAAGTCAATGTTTTGATGCTTCGAGATGGATCTAGATCTGGGAAAGGCTGAGCTGGCCCCTTGGGAAAGCTCTCAATTGGGTTTAGCGTATCGGCACAATCTAATTGTGGGTGTCGGGTAAAGTCTCCCGGGGAGGGGCACCGCAATTAGGCAATACACTCGATAAATGGGTACCCATCGCTATTCCGGGGCTATTCTAGTCCTGTTTTGATGCATACGAAGTAAACAGGGAGTCAAGATGATGATGACGTCTCTCAGGCAAGGAAGGAACTCGAAGACGCAAGGAATGCAGGGAGAAGAGGTGCTCGGGCGGTGTTATTGCAGCGGAGTCCAAGAAAGACAAAAAGTAGACTAGCTTACCTTGGTCGTTCCAAGAATAGAGGATAATTTGACAGTGTAGTTTGCCCGTCTTACGAAATGTCTTGTCTCATTCCACTGACGCTGGTCGGGACAAGACCCCTAACGCTCGACAAGTAATACGAAGTACGAAGCCAACCTGCGTTGTCCACTGAAAAGACCACTCCCCAGTTCATCATGGAGCTAACTGAAAGCAGACTGAGTGCTGCGGGCGATGATTGACACTTAACATAAAGTTAACCAACAACTTGCCCTGACGATCAGTTGATCCCGTCAGCTTGAGGACAGCCTGATCTAGGAAACCTGCGGCTGAACGGCGGTTCTACGATCAAGGCCATCCGTCTTCGACGCCGAAGAGGTGGAACCGAAATGGATTAATTGCCCTCATAAAACCGATCATTGATGTTGGTGCTGTTCATCGTGGTGTCTGCCCAGAATCTCCAGAATCCTGCATTTTGGTTGCAGCCGGTCGATGGAGCTCAGTGGGCCCTGCCAGTTGGTCGACACAATTGAAGCCCACTAATTTCCTGGCCCCGTTCTATAATCTGCACGTTCGGACAGGCGTTCAATAGTGTACAGTAGTATACAAAGCAGTGTAGTGCAGCTTGACTGTGACAAGTTCGAAGTACCTTTGTATCGTGGTATTTGACAGCGGCGGAGTTCTTCCAAGTTCTTTCCATCTATAAATATCACACAGTCGAACAGACAAAATTGGCTGCACAAAACCAATGGAATCACGCCAATATCAGACAGGCCCCCAACTTCAGATGCAACATTACCCGATCATGGCGCCCCAATCAACCCTTCAAGTCTGCCTACTTAGGCTACTTTTTTCAATGGGTCAAAGGGTTAGCCAGACCCGCCTGGCTGGCTGGCGATCCAGCAGCTCCTGTGCCAACCCCGTACCGCTTCCCCAGACTTGATCTTCGACGTTAGTATTAGCCTGGCGTGCAAGAAGGCCCCCGGCACAATGGCCAGACGGGCTAAAACCGTGTCATCTCATCTATTTCATCTCCGACTGAAGACATGGCCTCGGATGGTGTGGGCCACGTTCTTCCTTGGACGGAACGGTTGGGCGCACCATGCGTCAAATATTAGCTTGGATCGAGGCAAGGCTGCGCAGAGGCTATCCGTTTGTAGCATTGGTCTTGCAGCTTCGTGCATTCTCGTTGCAGGGGTGTGTTGCTGCGCCTTGTCCATTCTAACCTGAACTCGGAACTCGAACACCGACCTCTGGCCCCGCCAGACCTTTCTTCAATGCTGTCACGATTTTTGTAATCTACCCACGTTTCCATTTCTCCTCTCGTCGGGTTAATTTTTATGTGCTGTCTTCTTGACCTCGATCGTCTCGTTTGTATGGCGGATGCTCTCCTTTGATTGCCTCCCGTGCTGCCATTGATCCTGGTGCTCTCCACCTCGAGCTCTTTGTCGCACATGTATACTTCATAGTGTGTTTGTCCTACTCGATCTAGATCCTCGCCCGACCGATCTCCCAACTTCGACCGACGTCTCTCCGGCCATGTCCAACCTCCCCCCAGGCTGGGATATCGACTACGATGGCAACCGCTGGTTCTATCGTTACAAGCCCACCGGGTTGGTCCAGTTTACCTTCCCCAAGGAAGGCGACGAGTTCCCCCAGTATATCGATGCCGCCGCCCCAGCACCCACCCTTGCGCCCGAAGAGAGGCTCGAAAGTCAACAGCAAATAAGGAGAAAAGCGACGACGCAAGGCGCGACCGGTGTCGCTGGGAGCTCATATGGAAATAATCGGGCACCAGTAATGAGCGCCACTGGCGGGCCAGTGAGCACCGCTTGGGATGATAATTTCGACGACGACGATGACGACGGCACGGCGTACTTCCAGCCCGAGAGCCTCATGTACCTAGGTCCGGGAACATATACTGATATTAGCCCGTTGGTAGACGAAGAGGAGGCCGAGGCATCTGTGCTTAAGGGGAAGAAACCACAAGAGAAGGCCACGCCTGAAGCTGACAAGGGACTTGCGGCGTCTCCTCCGGTGAGCTCTGTCGCGACGCCATCTGTTTCTAAGGGCACCCCCGTTATCGAACCGTCCGAAGCTTCAACGCCGTCACCGCCCGAAAAGCCCGAAGTCCCGACAACCCACGCCGTCTTTATCGTCGACGCTGACATCGTTCTCCCTCCTACCACCACCCACGATGTTCAACCGAAGGAGCAGGACCCAGCATCCGCCGACATCCCCCCGCCCGACAACCGCGACCTCCCACACGAGCTTCCTGAGACCACTCCGTTCGACCCTGTTGGCAAACTAGCGGAAATGCCTACCGAGATGACCGCCATGGCCCACATTGAGCTCCATCCTGATCCCGTTGAGATGGCCGATAATACTGTCCTTGCACCGATTGAAACTTTCTTGGCCCAGGCTGGCGTTGCAGAGCTTCCCGCCCAAAGCCCAACGGCTGCGAGGAACGCCGCTCCTGAACCGCCCCGTCCGAGGCGGGTAGAGACCGCACCTGTCCAGAGAGTCTATCCCTTCCAGCCAAGAGACGATGATGACCCGAATAGACCACCAACGCCGCTACGGCCTTCGGCTCCCGTTCAAGGATCAACCTCGCAACCCCCAATCCAACAAGGCGCTGATCAACCGCGTGCATTTACGCCTTTCCACCTCTCATCCCCGGCTCCCGTTCAGACGCCCAGTCCCCCAGTACCTTCATCGGTAGTCCAGGGAAATCCGCCGCCGACTGTTCCGACTCCTAGACCTTCTGCTCAACCCCAAGCTACTATTGTTACCGCCACCCAATCCGGTGTTCCACAGCAGCAGTTTAAAATCAGTCGCAAGCCCACTAATGCGGGATCTCAACCTCCGAAATTTAAGCCCTGGGCTCCTGGTATGACACCACCTACCTCCCGGGTAGGAACGCCGATGGAGGCCCAAGCAACGACCCAAGTAACGACACATAGGATCCCGGTCACTAGCAGCCAGGATGAAGTACCAATTGTGATGACCTCGCAGCCATCGCAACCAGTCACTCAAGCGGACGCACCTGCCGTTCTAACCCCTCCTGTAGCTCCGCCAAAGGTGCCTCTCGACGCTGACCAAGACACGCCTCAGGGCAACCAACATCTTGTTCGACAGTCTGTCCTGCAGCCTCCTAACCCGCCGAGAGAATCAGTCGGTGGAGCACCGCCCGTGCCAGCGAAAGACAATGTCCCAGCTCCCCCAACTACAGCCGCCCTTCCTCGACCTCCCGCCATCGCGGGCATGCCCTCGGTTCTTCGACCTGGCAGACAACCTGCGCCGCGTCAAGTCGACCCTCGCCAGACACCCGGCCAGCGCCCGATGTCTTTCCACCGGGGTGTTAGTCCTCAGCAGCTTGTAATGACAGGGCAGGGTCCTCAGGGACACTCTCACCTACACCACCCGATGCAAATTGGCCAGATACAGCCGCCAGGAGGGTTTGGACGAGGTCTAAGTCCACCCGTGGACCCACGTACAGGAATACAGCGAGCGGAGACGATGCCCGCCCAAGCACCTCAAATTGAAGGGCATGCGCAGCACCAGGCATTTACACAACAACCCCAGGGTGCACCTGCTTTCAAAAGCGGGCCGGTTTTGAATAATAACCAACAGCAACAGCTCCAGCTCGCACATGGTCCAGCGCTAGGACAAGCACCTGGACAAGGCATACCAATCGGCCACGCCCAGAGGCTCCAGCAACGTCCTCACTCCAATTCGCTGCCGAGCTCCCACCCACCTTCTGGCCAACCCGGGCCCGGATCTCCTCAGCTTCTACCCCGGGGAGTAACTCCCCACATGGTAGCTCAGCAGGGCGGATGTATTCCCTCGCTACCTGCCCACGTGCTTGCAAATCAGCATGCAATGATAGCTCACCCTCATCCGCCTGTCCCTGGTGCGCAACAAAGCCCATCAGTCCCCACGACTTTGGCTCCCGGACGCCCTCCTGTTCAAACCGCGGCTGGCCCACAAATACGGACTGCGCCTGTCCTTCAGCAACAGGTGAACCAACAAGGTGCTCCTGCGGGCAGTCAGGCCCAGATACCCTCCACTATTATCACTCCTCCTGCCTTCCCACCGCATTTACAACAAGCCCCCAGGGCTGTAACCCCCGGAAGCGGAATCCCGCCGACTCAGGCTTCTGGCGGTGCGTATCCTGGACATCCCCTTCCGACGCCGAGCCCGCCCTCCCTAACCGGCGTGTCACCTAGCTCTGCACAACGGGCTCTAACACCAGCTACGTTGTCCGCCGGATCGTCTCCCTCGCCACACTTCGAAGCCCAAGGTCAGGGCCAATTGGCTTCTAGAGTAGCCCCGGGTATCCAGGCGCCTAAGAATGGGAGTCCCGCGGGTCCTAACGGAACACCCATAACTAATCAGCAAGGGGCGCCCCAAACGGACTCTTACTTTCCACCGCAACCACAGCCCAATCCCGGGCCTCGTGGACCGTTCCAGCAGCGCTTAGCGGTACAGGATAGCACTGACAGACGACGATCGTTGCCGCCGGAGCAGATGATGCAGTTGTTAAGGGGCCAGGGTAATCAGGGCCAACCTCTCCAGCCCGGTCCCCAGCCGCTAACTGGTAGGACGGTTTCTGGTACTCTGCCACCAGCTCAGAACATTCCTCGGCGATCACAATCCGTGTCCGTGGGAGCCGCCCAAGCGTATCGAGCTACTCAAACCCCACCGCGGGGTCCGACTCCAGTGCAGCCTGTGACCCCACAGCAGCATCAGGCAAGCCCTCCCCGACCTGCTAAGGAGCCGATAGAACGGAAGATCCCCGCTGTTGCTGCCCCAACCCCACCTGCCCAGAACGGTCCCGCGCAATCTTCGCAACCTGCCTCCGCTCAAGTTGGCCCTGTTCAAGCCGCTCCTACTCAAGGAACGCCAGGCCAGGATTCACCCCTAGGTCACCAGCTTCATTCTATTCGGGAACATCCTGAGCAGGAAGATGCCCGCGGAAAGCTAAGAGCTGCGTCTCCTTTGTCACAGCCGTCCGGAAACCACCGGTTGTCGTTACCTGTGCAGTTGCGTGGTCCTGCTACTCCTGACGGACAAGCTCGCCCAGCTGGAACGGCGCCTCAAGCTCAAGGACTGCCTCAAGTGCACCCTCAAGTAGGGCTGCAAGGGCCGTCCCAGGCTACGGCCCAAGGAGTGCTCCAACCTTCTTTCCAGGCAGTACCGCAAGCGCCAACGCAACCTGGACAACCTCACCCAGCTCAGCAGATCCCGGGACAGTTCCAGCAACCACTGCCTCAAGGCCAGCACGGAGCCCTACAGCACGGGCAACAAACCGGTGGACCAGGAATGTTCGCCCAACCCCCTGCACTGTTCCCTAACGCAATGCCCCAGAGTATGGCCAGCCCCCCAGCAACACCGACAGTTCCAGGACCACAGGGCAAGGAAAAGTCGAAGTGGTACTCGAAGTTCCTAAAGTCTGGTAAGACCTTGCAGAAGACGCCGCCACCGCAGCCGCAGATGCCTCCTCCCCAGCCCACGGGATGGATGCAGAGTAGTATGGGCCCCCAGGCATTCATGTACCAACCACCAAGACATCCTCAGCAGTTCGCTAAATCCGCGGGCTTGCCCCAGCTGGTTCCTGGTCCAGGGTTCCAGCAGATGCCGCCCCAACAGTTCATGTATGTTCCCGGCCCCGTTCCAGGCCAGATGGTGCAGATACCTTCTGCATTACCGTACCCAGGAATACCCGCTGGAAATCAGGGCCCTCAGGCTGGAGCTCCCGGCGGTGCTGTAAATGCCGGACCGCCCGCTGCGCCTGCACCCCCTGGGAGCCCGCAAAGTGCTCAGATAGCCCCTCCATCTCCGGACTCTGTACGACAGAGGGCGCATTCTACGTCGAACTCCGTTGGGTCCGCCACGACCCATACCGCCCAGGTCCAACCCCAGAGGCAAAATACCGAATCCGACAGAGGGTCAATCTCGACCATGGACGTCTCCGAAGCTCAGGCACAGCCTGTCATGAAGCCGCAGATTGTCCAGGTGTCTAGAGTGCCGGTTGCGCAGAGTCAACAAGCACCGAGCCTGCACCAGCCGGGTCCCAGTGCGCCTCAACCTCTGCCCAAAGATTCAGATCCACGCCCGCCTCAGGTCCTAGTGCAGAATCCCGCGGCACCAGTCGTCAGCACCCAAGCTCCTCCAAACCAAACGGCGCCAGCCTCCAGCGCTCCCGGAGCTCCTGCTCCGGCTGTTGCCGTGAACAGACACGATAGCCTACGACCAGCACCACTATTCGCGGGCCGTAGATCTGCGAGCCCTCCCACCAGCGCGTTACCCTCACCCTCGGTACGGGAAAGTATGGTCTCCGAGATTAGCTCGGCAGACTCGACAGACAGCCGGCGCGTGAGCGTACTTTCGACTTCATCAGGCCCGGCGGGCGCAGCCGCGCAGAGGAACGCGGAGTTTAGGGCTAAGATGGCGAAGAAGCCTGTTGCGGATTATTCTGGAGGCGGATGGGGAGATCAGAGCTGGAGTTGATCAGCTTGCGGGCTTTCTGATGATCTTTCACTTCCTTCTTAACATTCTTTTCTTTCTCCTCTTATTCATGACGTCTTGGCACCCTCGACCGTTTCGGGTCGGTTCATGATCTGTTTTCACTCTACATATTATACCCATTTCTTAGATCAGATAAGCCTTGAATAATTCCTTTTACTCGATATTCGAGACGTCCATCCTAAGGCTTCGTCCATAGGATGTAGCTCCATTTATTTAGAAAACCAGAACTCCTGTGATAAGAATAACCCTCTTTGCGCAGGTTGAAGAGCTGAACTGCAAGACATTAATGATGCTTCACCTAGACGCAGGTTATACAAAAGGACCGTAACCGAACCGGAGCGCAGTACCGTCAGCTTTCACGTCTCCCCTCAAACGAGACGAATATCATCGAAATATCCTCTATCATGTTGGAGTCCACACTTCACCAGAGATAACCTCTTTCCAACCACAGAAACCGCAGATACCCAGTCAACCCTCCGCATTTTTTCACCCTCTTAAGCTTCCCACGCGCCCTTCAAGTCCCAATTGTCGATTCTGTTTTTTTCTTCATCGCCAACAGGGTTAAAGGGTAAGGTTGTTGCCGCTGTTATGAAATCCCCGGAACTTCGGTCACTCAAACGTGCACAGGAACCCCCTCGGCCACATTTCTTATGCCGCAGTCTGCGCCATGGCTTGCTCGGTCCCGTGGCGTCTATTTCAAGATTGACCTCCTTGTCAGCCACAAACCTCCCATTACTTTTCGCTTTGAAAAGGGACATATTTCGGACTTACTTCTCCTTTTTGCGGGTAAAGGTCTTGTACATGCCAAGAAGGAAGTTGATGAGGAAACAGATGCCTGCAATGAAGGTGAAAGCAAGAAGAGTACGCCATAGGTTGCACCGAAAACCGTGCCAAGCAGCGCCCCAGAAAGTCCGGTGCCAGGTACCTCTACAGCCACGACTCAACTATTATGCTCTTGCGTTAGTTCCAGTACACTTTCTGTCTGCCAAGAAGCCCATGGGGAAGTGAGAGATCAGTCGTACGTTTGTCAACAGAGCAAAGGCCACCATCCACATGACGAAGAAGGCAAAGTCCAGCGGGAACGCCCAGAATGTGAACATGAACGGCAGCAACAGGAGGAGAGCCAGGGGTATGCTGAGAGTCGCCAGGGAAATGACGTAGATGAGCTTTCTGCCATAGTGTCTGTGGAGGCGGTGGAGCCTCCAGAACATGCGTCCTAGAATACCTAGGACAATGACGGAGGAGATGAAGGCTCCTAGACGGGCGAGGAAGGAGAGGATTCGGGCGGCACCGCTGAAGAGACCCATGTTGACGCTTTTCTTTCCGTCTTTCCTTGACTCCTTTTTCTTTTCTTTCTGTCCTACTTCCGTTGGGAATGGTTGCCTTGGGGCAAGGACCTCGGTGATTTGTTATCTGTTGCGGTTTGGGTTGTGAGTTCAACAAATTTACGCCGTGAGGCGAGGCATCGACGTGTGATTTTCGTTATTGAGACTCAAGGGAAGGAGGAGAGAACAATTCTTCGAACCAGAAGGGAATGTCCCTGAAGTCCAGGGTTTATAAGTCTGAAGCTTCGGCAAAGCTTCCCTGCATATAAGGGCTTTGTCGAGTGGGAAACGAACAAAGGCCGTCACCTCTACTCTAATAGATACTCCTGCTCAGGACCATCCTCACGAAATTCATGATTTCCCATCTTCACCCTTCGAAGTATGACGTGAACTTTCGCCGCGAAAACATATAATTTTCTCGATCGACATGGCTTGCCTCCGGAGGTTAGTGAGAGTCGCGTAAACCTTGTTCCGTTCTATACAGTAATATCGAGAAGCATTTTGTGAAAATACCTAGCAATATACACCTCCTTCGAGCTTGCTTATGGCTGCGGCTTTTAGCTTTAAGAATATCCCGTTGCAAAGGAGCTATGTCCCGTATGTGTTATACTCTTGCGTCTGGGTCGACAGACTGTAGCCGAGATGTGTACGCGTTCTCCTCGCCCTAGATATCAACGTGAGGCTTAGGCGGAAGCAAGTACCAGTGAAGATGTTTCATATCGGAAACCGGTGCTCAAAAGTACTGCCAAATGATATGGGTTCTAAAATCATGAGACCTGTCAATGTCAAACTTTGCACCGGGCACTTGACACCCGCTTGACAGGCCCCTTAGAAAAGGGGGTGGGGGAGGAAGGAAATGGGCCGGGAAGTCTGACGACATGTAAACAAATTTACTTTCTGCATTTTCCAACTTTCTTATATCCCATTGATTGCAACAAGAGCTGTTCGCGGAGAATATCACGACCGAGTCGCATGATAATGGTGACTTAAAGACGCGCATGTCAAGCAGCACGTCAAACGCTATTCACAAAGCCTAAAATACAGCTCGGTTCCAGGTCGGGATTCCACGAGGCGGATTTCCCACCCGTCGCCCGTGTATATGTCGACGAACCGGGATGGGAGGGGAACCTGCCGCGAGGGCGCTGAATTCAAATTCCCTGTGGAAGACGGCTTCGTCTTAGCGGCTTCAAACACAGTTCTTCCTCGGAATTTAGTCTAGCGAGAGCCAAAGCGTCATCCGGCACACTCACACCAATGTCCCTATATCTAGGACTTGGGAGAAGCATAGCTCTATTAAGTCAGGGCCAATGGTGCTCGTAAGATCGAGATGTCGGAACACCACAGTCTTATGAATGGCCAGGACTAGACACACCTATATAGTAACTTGGGTCGTAAAGGGCCTCGCGATTGATATGCCTATAGTTATTCCTGTGCGCCGGAGAAAGTGAGGTGTCGTTGAGATACTCAAAATTACTATCGCATCGCCTTTTCTTATGGAAAATATATTTCCAACCGGTCAACGGGGGCGACATGAGAAAATATGGGTTCTTAAACGAGGGTATAAATGGTGAGAAACAAGTGGATCATTCAACTATAGCAAGCCAGTCTCTCAACTCTCCGTATGTAGCTAATGAAAGGGTACATTTTCACGTTGAATTAAATGAATAGCTCGTGTGTCTCATCTAATTATATTTCAAATTCGGGGGAAATCATGTAAATGAACTCTATAGTATGCCGGGCTCTTCATCGTCCTCAAAGAATAGCAACTTCGGCTACGAGATGGGAACCCATTCTGGACCGAGATCACTAGCAGTGGCCTTTTATTTGTTCCCGAAGTCTAAAAAACCAAGCATAGACACGTTCTAGAGATACAGCTCAATGTCGATATCTTCGCGCTGTGCTGTCACTTTAATGTTGGTCTCTTCTGCTGTTGCTGTTTTGAGAAGAGTAGCGCCCTGAGTTTTATCTGGTCAAAGTGGAAACCCAAAGTCTCGCGACACACTTCCAGATACTGCCCGGGTATTTGGTAGGGAGCAGTTAAGGAACTCAAATCACAAACACAATGCTCGCCATGGCGGGGCCGGCTACGTGCACCTCTCAAGCCCATGCCCTGTGTTAAATCAACTCTTGGTCAAAGGCAATATTAATCGTACAATCTTCAGCCGTGTCTGGGGTGATCTGAGCTTGTACTACCGAAGTCGACTTTACGTGGTTTCTATTGAGCGGGGATACTATTTGGCCTTAAGATTATTGAGTCCTAGGGATCGGATATTTCATAGCCATGTAATGCAGACAGAGATAGATACGATATATTCCCCGACTTATTTTCTTGTTGGTGGGTTCGTTGAATATTACATTCCTCGTTTCTAACCATGGCTACCATGTGTCGCGCCTCTTTTCAGTTCTAAGTTACTTGTCACCTCAAGGAACAATGAAAGTCCTGTGACACTGCCCGGCTGTCTCAATATATCGACAAGACACACGCCTAGTCCTCCATAACCGCGTGACTGCGTGCTAAATACATTGGCCCCAGTCGAGTATATTCGATGTTTTACGTAGGTAGCTAACCCTTGTAATTCCGTCTTTACACCCGACTAGGACATTATGCAACACCACTCCGGGAGCTGCACTTCCCTAGAGAGCAAGCTTATTCTCGCTCGGTCTGGACATGCCATACACCGCTGTGGGATATCCACTATGAACGGCAGCCTGCCGTGCGTCTGCGCCAACAACTCACAACATTCCGCATCCGAAAAGTTTAATTCGCCATACCCTACCACGGACGGACTCCTTTGAGCGGGGGCATCAGTTGCTGAGTAGGCCGTGAAAAGTTTCACATGGTTATAGGCGTTGCTGGACTGATCGATTTGGAGGACAGGGGGCTCCGGCGACTGAGAAGAGGTGGATGGAAATTGTTGGCAGGGGCCATCAGGCCTAACAGGAGGCAGGTGAGAATGTACATCGCGGACGACTGGTTTCTCAGATGGTACTAGCAAAGAGAGAGAGACAGATAGAGGAGCCGAGTATTGTTGACTTGGCCAAGAAAGGACACCAAATTCCACGCCGAAACGGAATCCGATGACTTCAAGAAAATCCGAGGGCTTGAACGGGCCGAGAGATGTGGATAGTTGTTCAGATAAGCATGGAGGGACCAACGTCGCATCTTATATTCAATATATGCAATAGGACCCTCCTTTCTGCAAGGAGGTTACGTCCTTTGATTTCACTGATCAACACACAATTTAGGATGAACTTCTACCACGCCCTGGCTGGCATTCTGACCTGACGGCTTCCTCGCTGAAAGCCGACAGATATTTTAGGCTTGCAACAGAGAGACGGTCAGCTATACCTTGAGGGATAGACTCGTCTTGCATATAATTGAGGGCCGCATGAGGACATAATCAACTGAGCATGGCCATGCGTAGCTTGAACCATCCAGGGCATGATTCCTGCCTCCTGGGCTTGAGGATCGTGTAGGACACTCTATTCAAACACCCGGCCCGTACCCCCGGGCTCTCTAGGTTCATATCCTGCCTTCAAAATGATCGGAAATCCCCTGGCATCAATAATATTATCCGATTCTAAAACGGATTGACAAAAGTCTCGACCGGTTCAGCGGAGCTCGCTTCGTCGTCATCCTAAGTCGCAACTGAGTCGTCGTTCACGAATCTGCCGAAGATTCGCCGCGGTCAGCAATCCTTCTTGTCGCGCCTCTCCTCGTCAAGTCGTAAGATCTCAGAAGCTCTCTTCATTAACAAACGCTAATTGCTCGACCATGAAATCGGCATCAAAAGAGCTGTAGCGACAGCAATCCAACCACCCACCATGCTCTTCTGCCGTATCACCCGCGCCCTCCGTCCACGCCTCCATCTCCCGTCAGCACCCTTCAGAACCTCCCGGCCCTCCTCGACAACGCCAAACACACGTGCCTCGAAAATCCTCTCGAAGCTCCCTCCCTCTCTACAAAAATACACGACCCGCCTCCGGAACGCGCCCGTATCCCACGTCGTCGCCTTTCTCATCCTGCACGAGATCACGGCCATCGTCCCACTCTTCGGCTTGTTCGGCGTGTTCCACTATACTCAGTATGCGCCGGTGGGGTATATTACAGATCACTGGGGTGGGTATGTGAATGATGGCGTGGCTCGGTTCGAGAGATATTTTAAGAGGAAAGGGTGGTTTGGGTTTGGGGATGAAGCGGTCGATGCAAGTGGCTCGGAATCGAGGGGGGATACGAAGAAGCTTATCACGGATTGGGAGAATGCGGATGGGAGATACAAGTTACTGGCTGATGTAGCGTTGGCGTGGGCTATTACGAAGGCGATCCTGCCGCTGAGGATATTGGCGAGTTTGTGGGCGACGCCGTGGTTTGCGGGCGTTCTCGTCCGTGGCCGAAGAATATTTACGAGGAAAATATAACTTCTGCCAAATTCTAAGAATAAGCGAATACCAGTTCGACCTTACTAGAGATTCACCCATCTTCATGATGTCGGTGTAGCATGACATTCCAAAGACACTTTTCTTTTGGTGGTCTACCTTGCGTGCTCTGTACTTTATTGTTCATATTACTTTTCCCAAATCATCAAGACATGGCTCCAATGGCACACAATGGTGCAATTTAGGCCTTCTCGTAGATCCAGTCGAACTGGGCAGTCTTCCAGCTGACGAGCTCACCCTCCTTGAACCAGAGAGCAATCTCCTTCTTGGCGTTCTCGACGCTGTCGGAGCCGTGGCAGACGTTGCGGCCGACGTCGATGGCGAAGTCACCACGGATGGTGCCGGGGGCGGAGGCGAGGGGGTTGGTGGCACCGAGGATGGCTGTGGTAGAGAAAGGACTTGGTTAGCGTTTCACAGTACCTGGAAAAGGTATTCCTGGTGTTATGGAAGGAATTGTCTCCTTACTTCGGCCGGTCTTGACGGCATCACGGCCCTCCCAGACCATGGCGCAGATGGGGCCGCTAAGCATGTCTAGTGCGTGTCAGCTGATATGTTCGAAATGTTCGAAGAGATTATCGACGAGTATTAGGGATTCGGGTTATATCGGATGCGTACACTGAACGAGACCGGGGAAGAAGGGCTTCTCCTTGAGGTCGGCGTCTGGAAATAGATTGGTTAGCAAGCCAGATGTTCCTTGCTGTTGACGGAGGGGAGGGTTTGATCTACTCACAGTGGGTCTCAAGGTGCTCCTTGGAGGGGCTCACAAGCTTGATGGCGACGAGCTTGAAGCTGGGAGTCTGTCAGTGTCTTGCTTCGGTGGATCGAGATGGCCTGTTGTAGATAGCTTACCCTCGGTTCTCGAAGCGGGAGATGATGGGGCCAATGAGTCCACGCTGCACCAATTAGTATCGACGGAGTCAATGGATCAATGGATATTTCAGATAACATACCTGGACACCATCGGGCTTGATGGCAATGAAGCTGTGAAAAAAAAAAAAGGAGCATTAGATCGGCCCATTGACACCGGACTCGCCCAACGCGGGGTAACCGAAAGCAAGAAAAAAAAAAAAAAGTAAAAGCTTCGGAACTACTCACGTCTGCTCGGCGGAAGACATGTTTGCGGGTGGTTTTGGAGAAAGGGTAGGAGTTTGAAAAGAGGTGACTGTTGTGGTGACGGTATGGATGGGAGGTGATGGGCTTGACCGAGAAGAAACAAGAGGGGAAAGTAAAAGTCCAAGGAGGAGGAAGACAATAGCAAGGGAGACGACGAAAATTGGCGGGGTCAAATTTTGAAAGGTCGTGTGGAGTGGTTGCTCGGGGCTGCTGCCAGTCCTTGCTTGCTGTGCAGCTGGCGGGGTTCGTGTTTTGGTGGGGTCCTCTTGCTTGTGCTGCTTATCGCTTTGGGCTTCGACCTTGTTGGGCATTGGCGTGGGCTGCTCCTGGGAGCTTGACTGGTCCAGCTCAGCCATTATCGAATCAGTCTCTGCAATTGAGTGAGGGGCGGTCGTGGCTTGACCCTCAAGGTGTGGCCACACTGGGAGTTGAGGACAATGGAGTGTCAACGGGTGTGACGCCACTGTAACCAGCTGTAGACACTTCGACTCTGAACACGTTGAGAATGACTCTCACTCGTCACCCTCCCCCTGAAGGTAGTTGTCGTAAACTCTCTCGTAGACTCCTCTCCGCGATTTAGAATTGTCAGAGATCCTGATATTAGGGATAATCCGTAAGCTGGGGTTCACTGAAGGGCTGCAACTCCATCCCCATCATCAGGTATCGAGGGACAAGTTCTGGATTCAAGTGACCCCTCGGAATAAATGAGACTGTTACAGTGCGAATTATGTATTTCACACTCAATCTGTGTAGGGTTCGATTTCTCGTTTCTTGTCCCTCCTGCCGAAACGACCCAGGCAACGCCGGACGTCAATGTCAGCCATCCTGGACACTCAACCTTCGCTGCTTGGCATGGATTGGGCCCGGATGCGTAAATATTTCAGCTTCCTGAGCGCCCCTTCTACAGACAAGTCCAGATTCGCATCCTCATGCACATGCGTGATTGAGCAAAGTGCAGCCCATCTCATCTTGTTGACTTCCAAAGAAACCAGTCCCGCCGAGGAATCTCGATCGGGTGATGATCAGATCGTTCTCAAGCGCCACAGCTAGCTATTTCTGGACCACACACCCAATGGCAGCTCTGTAGGGCTGAGACTCATCGTGTCGACTGAAATAGACTTAGGCGAGCGAGGGTTAATGTTCCGAGAACGCCTCGGGCACCTTGTTCGGAATGACAGCTCCATTTGCAAACCCTGATCCCAGCCATGGCCTCAATTAAGGCAAACCAAGAGAAGAAGAAGAAAATTTTTCGACACATCGGAAGGGCATCAGAGGCACCGTTGACATCTATAAATAGACGGCAGGCCTTGCGCACCTCGCCACAGCGGTGAGCAATACCCAAAAGATAAGGTCCAAGACGGAGCGAGTATCAATTGATGGTGTTGAGGATTCCATTTTAGGGGATCCACCTCTATCTACCCCTGGACTTCTCCTTTTCAGTGCAGTGATGGATCCCAGCCGATCAATTGGGTCCGCCGAGCATGGGAGCTTTTTTAGTGCGTTAGGTTAGCAGCATTAGCACGTTTCTGACCCTCGTGGTCGAGCCCGACATTGAGGATCCTCGACCGAGACATGAACTGTTTGCATGTGGATGAACATGGTGGGCATCAAATGCCAACTATGTACCTGGTAGTGGGGGGACGTAGTCTGTTGTCTACATTGCTTGAACAGGGGCGGCAACAATCCATCATGTTCGGCGCCATGGGAAAGAGCACAGGACATGCAAAAGAAACGTCAGTTAGTCGCGGCCACCACCGCTAAACTTGCCTCCAGGCTATCCCTACATTTCTGGACAGTATTTTCTCACCCCCTCTCTTTCTCCTTTGAAAGTGAAGGTGTAAGTAAGGGTAAGAGAACTGTGGTACACCATGGACATACTGAGGTACAATCAGCAGATATCCAGGCACGGTGCAGTCAGGTACGGGTGAACCAGGTGAGTCATGACGTCAATGGCTCGAAGCTCTAAGTCGAACATTGTTCGTGGACACGCACGAGCACTGTTTCTTGCGCAATTGACCTTCCAACAATTATGCACGGCAAAGTACGTATCAAGTTAGACCCAAGGGAAGGCGAGGAAAAAAAGAGAAAACTCGTGGAAAGGAAGGAGAATTCTTCCGTTGGGCAAAAATCTTCTCAAACTTAAAAACGTTAAAACAAAAGTGTAAATAAGGTTTTCAGGAATTCAATTTGGCAGGGATCTCTGAGTTGCATGATGAGAATCCACGAGAATCCGTGACTACTGTAACTAACATGCCAGTACGAGGTACCTTCCCAGTTGGACATGACAAAAAATTCTGTTATCGCCACTGCCCTTGCCTCCGTTCGGATTCTCATCCACATGGATTCTCCGACGTTGAGGTACTTCGACCACCTCCGAGTCCTCTTACTCGTTGCAATCGAGTGGTTCGGTGGAGCCGTCGACTGCTGCTGCCCACCATTATCCACGCAACCATCATCCACTAGAGCGTCTCAAGGCCGTGGGCCCTGGGCGACTCGTGAGGATCAATTGTGCATGTATCCTAGCTACATGTGAACAACAATGGACCAAATGTTGCAATTGTGAGCACACCCGTTAACGCCAGGTCCCCTGCTTCCCACCTCCTATCAATGACTCCATCAATCATTGCTCCGTACCGCCAGAGCTTTCCCAGACCTTCTTACCGTCCCTCTCCCCTCCACCAGCGGGCCCACGCAGTAGCCAATTGCAGACGAGGACTGCACCATCTGTTTTTATCAACCCGAACTACCTCCGTGTCCAGGTTTTGGTGCGTCACATCGCACCATCGACACAACGGGTTACTTGCCATGCTCATCAAGCTCTAGGTCCCTAGACACGTATCTTGTAGATATAGTGTAAACTACTAGTAGAATCCTTGACGTACCTGTCCCTGTCCCGAGCCGTAAAGCCCCACCGTTACGCCCGTGGTAAAAGAAGCAGTCAACCCGGGATGCCGCCGCCCGTTCTTATCTAACCGGTTCGGCGAACATTCTGCAGTGCTCCTCTCACCCCCTCCTCGAATCGAATCCAGGAACGCCCCCACTCTACAGAGTTCCGCTGTTGCTATTAGACATTTGAATTGGAGAAGCGTCTTTGATATCCCTCAAATAAGACCAGGAAGGAGCAACAGACAGGTCCGCTCCTTGGGATTATTAAAGCATTGTCTACGTACCTGTACCTTTTTAACCTTCCTTCCTTCCTCCTTCGAGGCCAGGTCCCTGGAAAAGTCTCTCCTTCCATTACCCTCAAACTTTTAACTCACTCCCCAGTTGTTACTTCCGTCAAGACCACTCATTCCTGGCCTCTCCCTGCCGCCGAGTCGAGTCACGCCAAGTCGTGTTCTCTCCTGATTCCCTTCTCTCTGACCTCGCTTCGATACCAAACCAATCCACCCTAATCGAAAGGAGACTGTATCGTATTCTGAACGAACACCGAGCATCATTGCATTCCGCATCATCAAATCATTAATCGAACAGCATCGCTCCGACATTCGTCTCTGGTACCGATAGCCATCTGCATATCTTTTGAGGCTTTCTGCCCTCTTTTCCATTCTCCGGCTCTATCCCATCAGTCTCGAGCAAGGCTTGTCCCGTCCATTCCGACCAATACTGGGCAATTAGTCTTCTGCCTCGAGAAGTTGCAGACACCCGGTCTCCAAATCCCCAGCCTTTGTATCATTCCCCTGATGGCTTAAACAATTCCCAAGAAGAGGCCGGCTACTGGATAGCTTCCATTGCTTTGTTACCCGCGAGGTTGCACATATCCTCACCCGGAACCCCTTGAACGGCAGCCGACTCGAAATCCGACTATTATCACGCCTTCGTCCGTGCCGCGCCGGGCTGTGCCAACCCGTCTCGTTTCAATATGCATCCGCCAGGGCACCACCATCACCCATCCGATATTCCTGAAAATCCCTTCAACGAAAAGTACCCATCGACACCCGCCACAACCTTTCTCCCTCCCCAGAACGGGAATGGGCCGGTCTCGCCTGTCGGTACCCGCGATCAAGATACCCTGCTTTTCGATGAAGTAGAGCTTCAGCGAGCAGAGAGACTAGTCTCCACCCGCGAACACGAATTGACGATTAAAGGAACCAAGCTCGGATCCAAGCTCGGAACCAAGCTTCGAACTCAGGAATCCGATGATGTTGACGATAGCTTCGCGCCTCCCGAGACTCGGACACGAAACGAGCCTAAGAAGGGCGATTCGCCCGTCTACCGTTTCTGGCTGTCCCTTAAGAAGTTTCCTCGCTTCGTTCGTTACTTCCTTTACCTTCTTCCAGGCGCCGCGATCCTCCTCACCCCCGTCCTCATCGGCCATTTTGTATCGCCAGGTTCGAATGCCGTCGGCGGAGAGGGCGGCGTGTATCTAATGTGGTTCGGAATCTGGTTGGAAATAGTCTGGTGCACGCTGTGGGTCACACGCATGATTACAAGCATCATGCCATGGCTCTTCAACGGCTTCGCCGTCATGTTCGCGTCCAACACTCCTAAGAAGTGGAAGGACATTGGACGCCGCCTCGAGCTGCACACGTCCCTGTTCTTATGGATGCTGGCTGTCCTCGTCTCCTTCCAACCAACCCTGAATAAGCACAGGGTCCCGATGCCGGACGGTAGCCCGCTACCCGATCTCGTATGGGTTAAGGTCGTCAACAAGATCATCATCGCTCTCTTCGTGCTTGCCGCTCTCAACTTTGTCGAGAAAATCCTCATTCAATGGATTGCCACTTCCTTCCATCAGCGAACCTACGCGAACCGCCAAGAAAACAACAAGGCAGCCATTCAAGTGCTCGCGAGGCTGTATGAGTATTCGAAGAACAAGATGCCCGATCTGGAGGATACAGAGCCGGGTAGCGGTGCTCGAACTCCGATGCAGGCCTTTTCGGCGAATGCCCGGCAAGCTTGGTTCAAGGTTGGAGTCTTCGCCAACAAGCTGGGCAGAGACTTCATCGGCAGAAAGGTCCATGTCAACCACCCTCGGAAAGTAGTTCAAGAGCTCCTCCGCGAATCCAAGTCAGCACACGTCCTTGCGCGAATCATCTACCGCGCCTTGCGAGCCGAACACCGGGAAAATGTCTTGCTCGAGGACATGCAGCTCGTGTTTCCCGATCCCGAGGAAGCCGATAATGCCTTCGCCATCTTTGATAGGGACTTGAATGGGGATATTTCGATGGACGAATTTGAGGGAGTCTGCAACGAGATCCACCTCGAGCGCAAGGCTATCGCCGCGTCGATAAAGGATCTGGACTCCGTCATTAAGAAGCTGGATAATGTCTTCATGTTTATCAGCTTTGTGATTGCCGCCATTGTCTTTATCTCGATAATTTCGGGCTCGGCTGCCGCCGCATTGGGTTCGGCCGGCGCCACACTTCTCGGTCTCGCGTGGATGCTCCAGGCTACGGCACAAGAGTTCCTCCAGTCCATCATTTTCGTTTTCGTCAAGCATCCCTTCGATGTTGGAGACCGCGTTACCGTGTACGGCAACACTGGAGCTCTGGGTCGCGGCGACGACTACTACGTCACTGCTATTTCGCTCCTCTACACGGAATTCAAGAAGATGGAGGGCCACATTGTGCAGGCACCGAACTCGACCCTTAATGCTCTCTTCATTCTCAACCATCGCCGGAGCAATGGATTGGCTGACCCGATCGAGCTCAAGATTCGGTTCGGAACGACGGAGGAGCAAATCGAAGATCTCAAGGCGAGGATGCTGGAGTTCTGCCTGGAGAACAAGAGAGATTATCACGCGCGCATATTGACCGAGGTTAGGACACTCGATGAGTTGCGGTCGGCGACGATGAACTTCATCTTCTTCCACAAGAGTAGTTACCAGAACGAGCTGTTGCGATTGTCGCGACACAATAGGTTCGCGACGGAATTGATGCGACAGATGCTGGAGGTTGGCATCCAGGGACCGTACAGGAACGAGCCTGGTGGTAGCCGCGAGTACCCCATGTACTGGCAGGGTATGGCCCCGCCCGCTTACAGCGGACATGACAATCACACCAACACCAATGGCCGCATTGACACCGCAGACCACCAACCTTCCCACCAACCACATCCGTACGGCGGATTGGGAATGGAGGAGCTTGGGCGAAAGATGTCGACGGCGACGGGGCTTACACGGCTGCGCACCGGACCACGGGTGGCAGAACTGTCGGAGGAGCCGTATACCGACTTCCAAGACGTTTATTCCAACCGCAGAGAGTCCAATGTGAACCGAGGCCGTTCGCTTCGCGATAGCGTCCACGAAAGACGCAGCAACGACATCAACTCGTTGGCAAGCCCGACGTTAGATCGGACGGGCACGGTCCACAGCAACGGCACCGGAAGGCGATTGTGGGGACGCCACAGGCAGGGGTCAAGGCCACCTCCGCCGCCACCCCCAGGGTCGACTTCCGAGATTGTCTAGGACTTTTCGGATTTTTTTTTTTTTTCTCTTTCGAGTTTATTTTTCTTCTGTCTAGACTCTTGCATCGTTATTTGCGCTTGAACATGGATAGAACCAAGGATTAGGCGTTAGGCAGGTTTTGACTGTTTTTCTTCAGTCCAGCCCCGGCAATGATAAAAGGGGGGCTGGGGGCGCATGGATTGTAATGACCGAATAGATAGATTATTGTTAACGAAGAAGCATTTTGTGTTTCGTGCGAGGAAAAGAAACCACGCCACACTACAAGTCGGTTTGCGCGTGACCTGTCGTGGTTCTGTAGGCAAGTAAGTCGATGGAGGCGGCGAAGTGTCGCTGCAGAGCGGCAGCTGGCGAAAAGTGTGACAGACACCTATCCCTCGATCTAGCTCCGGAGCATGCGATGTTACCTATTGAGAACATGTGTTGGACTGGTGCAAGTTCTAACAATTTATATCCTGGTAACCAGTTGCTGTCTAATAATCAACAGAAAACCTCAAGTCAGGCAGCTCCCCACCGCAGATGGTGTGTCAGTGTATTCGAGGGTGATCGAGATAGATCCTTGATACTACCGAGGAGTCCACCAGAAGCCCACCAACTCCAGACTCCTATCCCATTATATATTCCTTCTCTTATCTCCAAAAAGGAGCGCCCAGTTAAATGAATGTGATTTGGCAAAACTATGACAGAGAACTCTCCCGCCATCCACAATGGGACGGACATCCCAAGCCAAGGAGCGAAATCGGAGCCCTTCTCGCTTCCAGGCGAAGCCTAAGCCTAGACCTTGAGGGAAGACCTAACCTCCTTATACTCGTCCAAAATCCTCGCGGCCCGCTCATTGCTCCTCGGCCTAATATCAATAGGAAACGGCAACGGCTCCAGAATAACATTCGAATTCGTAGCCTGGGTATCGAACTCGACGACTTTACCCGTGCAGGCGCACACCTTGCGTCCGAGGTCGAAGCCCCAGCAGACACCGGCGCCGGCGACGAAGAGCTCGTCGTCGACGAGGGTCTGGCCGAGGCAGGTGCGGCGGCCCCAGCCGAAGGTGTGCATGGCTTTGCCGTCGCGGAAGTTGGGGTATTTGGTGAGGGGTTCTTGGTAGGTTGGCCAGGAGGGGGAGAGCCAGCGTTCGGGGCGGTAGGTTTCGGGGTCGGGGTATTGGGAGGGGACGCGGTTGATGTTCCTAGGGCGGGATTAAATATTAGCGTGAGACAGGAGTGAGTGAGTGAACGGAAGGAGAATGTTACCATTCGCAGGCGAGGACGATGGTGCCTTTTTCGATTTTGACGCCCATGAATTCGGAGTCCTTTTCGCATTGATGGGGGACACCTAGAAAATGATGTTAGCTTGTTGGAACGAGGGTCGTTCGGCTGAAAAGTTTTACGTACCGAGAGGGACACCGGATCGCCAGCGGAGAGTCTCCTTGAGGCAAGCTCGAACAGTGGGTAAATCTGGGAAGTCGTTGATGTTGGGAATCCTATCCCCGCAGACGCGGTCAATCTCCTCCTGACACTTCTTGAGCCACTCGGGATGCAGAGCCATACACATGAGGAAGAACTGCATCGGGCCAGAGATGGTAACGACGCCAACCAGGCACTGGAACCCAAGCATGCAGCTCGCCGTCTCCTCGTCCGTAGGACTCATTTCGATCTCCGTATTCCCAGCCTCCTTCAACTGCTCAAAGTACCGATAAGTCCAAGTATCCTCCGGCAGCTCACCGCGCAAATACCTAGCCCTAGCACTTCTCAGCAGCGAAAGCCACCAAGCCTTGAGATTCCTCTCGCGCTGAACCTCGAACTTGCGCCAGGGGTTATACCGCACAAAGTCACTGATGTGCCACAGCGGCGTGACGGTGTTGACGACGGGGCCCGACACGGACATCTGCGTGAGGGTCTCGATGGCCTGGTCGCCGTTGGTCTTGCCCTGGCTGGCGTCGTCCCAGGCGAGGCGGCTCATGATGCGGCCGGTGAGCTCGCGGACGTTGGTGTGGAATTTTTCGGGGTCGAGGACGAGGGTGGTGAGGAAGCGTTTTACTTCTTTTTCGATGTGGCCGTAGAAGTGGTTGCTGTGGGCGTTGATCATGGCGGAGTGCACCCATTTGCGTTGGTACTTCCACATGTCTTGAAGAAGAAAGTGGTTACCCCGTCAGTTCGTGGATCTACTTAGGAGTAGGATTCAATTGAACTTACCATGTCGGTCCATGAGGGCCGAGTAGACGGGCCCAGCCTTGTGGTTGATCAAAGCTCGGATCTGCGGTCGCCCAGCAAAGTTGTTCCCCTTCTTGACAAGGAGCTCCGTCGCCATCTGCTCATCAGAGATGATGACGAACTTTTGCCCCAGCATACTCGTTTGGTAAATGGGACCGAACTCATCGGCCCACTCCTTAAACTTGAGCCATAGTCCGAAGCGAGGAAGATCGTGGACTCGGCCAATGATGGGATACTGCTTAGGCCCGGGAAACTTGCCATCCTTGATGGACTTTGCGTCTCCGCGGTCGAGTTTGGAGAAACGCTTGAGGGCGCCGAAGACGATGCCTGGTATGACGAGGAGGCCGATGTAGATGAGGATTAGGGGAAGACCTTGGGAGGTTGGGACCTCCTCCGCTGTGGTGTTTTTTGGGTGGATGACAGGGGATTGTTGTTCTGTGAAGGCCTCCATTTTGGATGCGGGTAGGGGATGAGCCCTTTACTTTTTCTTGAACGAAAAAAGTGTTTTTAGGAGCCAGGGAGGACACTTGACAGGCAATGCATGGAATGGAATAGCTACAAGGGGAAGAGAAAGAGAGGAGGGAACAGGTCTGGGTTTAGGAACGGGGACGGGAGAGATATGTACGAGCTAGATGTACCGAGGGTAGTACCTGACGCTGAGGACCGGAGACAGGTACCTCAAGAAATAAAGATCCGAATCGTACGAGTCGACACGGAGTATCTATTATTACTCCAGGGAGAAAGTTTTCTGTTCTCTGGGGTCCAGGTCGGGGTTGGATGTCCGTTTTCAAAGCCGAGCCTTGAACTGAGCCCCAGCTGACTGCTGCAAACCTGGCGTTCTTTGTGTGAGAGAACGGAAAGGGGCCGCAAGTTCCCCAACTACACATCCAAAAGGGGGAAGATGTATCTCCTCGGCACTCTGGGATGATGTCTGGTATTTATCGTGCGAGAGCCACGGCGGGTTTCGTTGCTTTTTCTGGCAGAAGTCGATTGTTGTTTTAGTCAATCGTGCGGTGCTTGACCGAGTAGTACTTCCTACTACCTGAGTGATACAGGCAGAGGGCAAAGCATCGGGATTAATACCGCCTGTGATGGATTTCCTGTAACTCTTCTAGACGGAGATGGTATAATCGCGAGACCGAGATGTCACAGCGGAGGGTTGCTGGAAAGGCAAATTGCGAGACCCAAGACCCAAGGTTGCTGCCAGGTTTGAACGTCTCTGCATGTTTTGCTCCACAGATTTGGGTGTGCACATAGAAAATGCGACAATTCCTCCACTCTCACTCGAATGAACCCATCTTGTCCGGCGCAGTCGCCACGAATCGATCCACTCTGTCTTCATTCAACTACATAAATCGAGCCAGTAAACTGATGCATGGAATGAAATGTCGAAAGGTCCAAGGTGAGAGAATTCCTGTTGTCCGGCCGGCGGACACAAACAGAGCAGGGCTGAATGGTGCCTTCCGGTGGCACACATCCCTATTTTTGGAATCATACTGCATCGAAAGGGAACAATGAAACAAGGAATAAAGTACAAATGTGCACCTCTGAACAGCGCACAAGTATGGCTTGCCCGTAATGTACAACCCGAGTATTTTCTGCGGAAATCCCCCGACGCGGACTGGGGAGCCGCCACCACGGACGTGGCCCGTGGGGATGTCCGGTGAGATACAGGGATTGCTGTCTTGGACTGCAATAATGCTTATTGTGCATGTAGAGATGAGAAGGATATTATTGGATTGTGTGTCTTGCGGATATTGAGATGAATTAATTAGGGAACTGAGACAGCATGACTCAAATGCATCTCGATGTCGTCCCACGGAATGGGGCGTGGATGGGGAGTTTAAGACTGGCCTAAAGGGATTTTGCAAACTTAAGAACGAGGACTGAGTATATAGTCATTTATGATAGAGGATAAATATTAAGTTGGCAGGGTAGGTGGTTCCGCTCGGGGTTCGAAATAGCAAAGATCATATTGACGTTGGGATCCGTGGCTCTGGGACGCTCGGGTCCGACAATCGCGGTAGCGTTGATCCGTCTGGATTGCGTTGTTTGGACCCACACCCCACGGGCATTGGATGCTCTCGGGGATCGGCCTCTCACTTTCCGAAGAAATGGCCGAGAATCCGGTAACACTAAATCAAATAGCTCGCTGCGCCGCGAATTTGGATCGCGGTTCTAACCCAGGAACCCAGGAATACTGTGATCTAGCCAGTCCTTAGGGTACATGCTGAGGACATTGATGGTTCTCTTTACTTAGATTTCGGGAAATTAAGCTACTTCATAGCACTACAGAGCGCGGGAATGAGAGTGGTGTCTTAAAAGATGCTGCCAACTGGTTTGTAGGTTGATTTGAGGTGCCACTGGCGGCGGAAAGAAGTCGACGCGAGATTCACCTAGGCCAATTAAATAAAGTTGCCCTGGCTAATTTCACCCTCATACCTGCGTGGTCCTGCCATACGAAAAGCCATAACCAATCCACCTCAGACTAAATCTCACTGTACAGCATCTCGCACTTATCAACCTTCCAACTCAGAACATCTTCTGTAAAGTCGTTGGCCTGTATACCGCAGCCGCTCACGTCTCCAATAGCCGAGCCTGGAGAACATTCGTCATCGTTGTAGAAGGTGAGACAGCAGCTGTCGCTTGCCTCGTCGTTCAGGTACTCCTCAGAGGTATAGCCAAAGTAGAAGCTATAGCCTTCGGGCAGTTTGTCGATCACAGCAGTATTCACCACACCAACGGTATCCAGCGGTTGAGAGGTATCCACCACTTTCACGCAGCCTGTGTTGGCCGTCATCTTGCCTCCATTATCCACGACAAGATAGTTTGGACTCCTGGCGTGAAGAGTAACGGCATGCTGAGTGTACACAAGGTCCCCGCCTTCGGCAACGCCGGAGAGTGGTGTCCGAGAGCGAAATACCCAAACTCTATGAGGCGGGGGTCCCAGCCGATCGCCATTCTCATCTAGATCGAAGTGCGGAACGTTCTCGGAAGGGCTATCTGGTACTCTGTTGATGAGGCAAGAACTTGCATCCATACACACAGATCTCTCGCCCGTTGGGAGCTTGGCGCAAGCGTATCCAACGTCACAGTCCCGATGAGACTCGTAGTATTCGCCGTTTGGTCCAAGCGCAGAAGATTGATATTGGACACAGAACCCGGAGAACATATTGCCGCTGGCGCCTGTACAGCTTCCTGCGTTAATGCCGACGCCGCATTTCTGGAAGTATGGAAATAAGCCAGTCGCATCACACGCATCGGCGACGCAGCTCCCGTGGATACATGTCCCGGACTTGCACTATAAAGGTGTGTCAGCCCTAGCATTTCAAGTATTCCGAGCTTGATATTTTACCTTGATCCCGCATTTGCCGCAATTGCCAGGATCGGTTAGCCGGAAATCACTGTTGTCAGCACACGAGGGCGGGCAAAACAAGGACGAGATCTTATTCAGTCCAGGCGCCGGCTTAAGTCCCAGTTCGAGTAGAGTAGCAGGTCGACCGCAAACGTCGCGAAAAATGTTGCCAGGGTTGTAAGTCTTGCGGATTTTGAGCCCTGCATGAGGGCCGCCACTATCCTGTCGTTCGTCCTTTTCTTGACCGCACCGAAAAGACGGTCCTTCCAAGTAAGGCTCTGCAGCTTACCGACGGCAGCTTTGCAGAGCGCGTCATCGAAAGATGTTAACCTTGAGTTCTTCGACGAAGCTTTCCCTTTGGATCCACATAGGACTATCCTTGTCAATGTGCTCGGCGGCTCTGCGGGTGTACATCTTTTGTAGCTCGTAAATAATGTCCATCAGGTTGATGGTGTCTTTAACTTTAATGGTTTCGCCCAGTCGATTTCCGCCGCAACAGCGCGTTTTTCCGGGCGCGGGATCGAGACTGGTTCTCCCCGGGCTGGGGTTGTAGATTGATCAATAGCATGTGTTCCAGAGACAAGGTCCGTAAAGACAATGAACGCGATCAGAAAGACTGAAACCGGACTGACACGCAGCTGTCTGGCACTGCTGATGGTAGCGGGTTGCGATGGCCCAGCCGTTGAGGTACCAGTTGAGTCGGTTATAGTCTGACCAGTGGGTGTAGAAGAATCGGTCTGCCCACCTGTATTTCCGTCCGCCAAGACTCCGCAAGTATCTTTATCAACCATAACAGGAGAACTGGCATCTGCAGAGGACATTGATATTTCACAGTCTTCAGAGGTGGTGTGCTCTCTGAAAGACACATTCTCATCGCTGATAATCCATTCTGCTGTAGAGACGATATCTGGGGTGCCTTTGCATTCCACGCCGTTGGAGCATGACAAGGTGTCGCCGTTCATGACACAAGTGGTGGTCGGGAAATCATAGAGTAGGTCACAGCCTTCCCCTCGGCACGTGAAGCTGAACGAGAAAGACTCGTCTCCTGGGCATATCGCAAAAGTGCTGTTCCAAATAGCCGCTGCCATCCCGGCCCGAGGCGTTTCCCGGCGCGGGTGGTCGACTAGGGCGGGAGTGATTTCTCCTCGTCGGTTCTTCGCAGAATCGTGGCCGGCGAGCTCTGCGTTTCCCAGAAGAGGGAGGATCATGACCAGGAGGGTAACTGGGCCATTAGGCTGCATCTTGCCGAGCAAGCGTGAAGCTGAAAGAATATTTGTATGAGCCGTTTACGAGCGAGAGTAAGGCTAAAAAGGATAGTGTTACGAGATGTTTGGGAAGAATATCAAAAGGAGTTGGACAATGTCGAGGTCAAGATCCATTTTATATACGATGAGCAGCACTTTAAGATTTTGTTTTCTAGTACGAAGGATCCAGTAGATAGTTTACGGATCCTCATCACAATCTTTTCGTGGAACGCCTCAGCTCGTATCCATATCAACTACGTGCGCCGAAGTGCGTCAATGTCCCGAGCCCCATTAAGAGGATGAAGGTCTAAACGTTGGGTTGCCGTCATATCGCGTTGAAATCAGCTGAAGGTCCATATCTGGACCAAAACGAGTGGGAGTGCTCCATATCCGTCCGTCGTGAAAGATGGTAAATAATGAATTACAATAACTGCGAACGGGAGAGTGACGGGTGGATTGAATGGGCTTTCGAATGAATGTTTCAACACACAGGTGCACTTGGCTTGGTTTATTGAATGCTAGAATACCGGGTGGTTCGGGGATCCGTTTGCTTGGCAAGATCACAGGCTGGCCCCCGGCCCTGGGCTAAGTCAATTTTGATCCCGAACTGGGCTTTCATGTTAAATATTACGGGACGGCTAGAAAAGAGATGCCGATCGCGTGTGGAGTCTTAGAGAACACTCCCAACTAGTGTATAGGTTTCAACATGGGTCGATGATATTTGGGGTCTAGACTGAAATTCGCCCTGTCTTCTTCGGCAATCCATTCTCGCCAACACGCAGTTCCGCCTCTGGGTCCTCACACAGCCTCATCACACCTCGCCGACAAGTCCTGGATAGGTCTGTACGAACGCCTCCTCAGTGGGGAACAGCTTAAGGTTGTGCCTTCTCTTTTGCCGGATCCTTTCAGCCATCATATATTTAAATTCCTCTTCCCCAAACTTCTCTTCGTTGGTATACCCTCGTTCCCTGCTGGCCGGGTTGAAAGGATATTGCGGCAAGTGGACTTCGATTATCGGACTGACTGATACTTCGGTCCTGAAATAATTATAGCTTAGGGACAGATCACATACGGCAAAGCTCAACTTAGAAGCAAGGGGAACTAAGAAGCATGAACCATCCCAGTTATACGTCGGTGTCTTAACCTCTCGAGAATCAGGTGGGCCAGTGTCCACGAGAAAAAACCATCGGACTCCATCGCAGTCGAACCGCCCTCAAGACTGGATCCGGTCCTGGGTATTATCGAGGTTCCTACTCCATATACGCTGCCAAACTAGGTTTGCTATGGTTTGCGACCGTAGTTTAAGGTCTCCTGGGATTTGTTGTGGCTATGATTCACGTGCCCATGATGCCTCGGTGAAGCGGTGAAGTAGTGGATGGTCAATGTGAGTTGAGACGCTGATTAACGAAATATTGCCTGCTTGAACCTGGACCCCTGAATTGATTTGCACGAACACCATAATTCATTAGCTACGCGTCCCCTCCATCAGCAACTAACCACCCGCCCGCCTCTCACATGTGAACCCAACTCATAGTTGGAGACAACTTGAGATGCAGAGATGCAAAAGAGCGGGATTATGGCTCCGTCTCGCGACCGGCGGCTCAGGGAATTCATGCCATATAGTTGCTTTCTCTGATTTCTTATCTCTTTTCCACGCCTTCCGGTCATCCTAGCCTGCGTTCATTCCGTTGCTTCGGCAGCCTAGATAATAGTATTAAACACTATATAGTTCTCGGACCCGTTTCGTGTTTTCCCTTCCGGAAGCATTACATGGCTGATTCTGGCATTGAAAGGAGTGATACGTAAAACAAACCGAGCTATAAAGACTGAGAGATCCCCAAATAGGCTCTAAGCCGCCTTATGATGTTATCACCCACAGTCAGGGAATCCCGAGCAGGCGCTGGCTGGCTGGGCTGACGGGAGACTGGGACAGGGCTATGAGGCGGGGGAATCATTATCACGACCGAGAAACTTCACAAGTGTGTGCGACATCAACCCCGCAATCCCGGCCCAGTGATGCAATACTACGAACTCGTACAGATGATAATAAGTAATCCTCATGGACTTCCTGCAGTCTGAAGCGGCAGTTGCTAACTTTATTACTGCATAAACACACTTCCTTGACCGTTTCCGTGACTACCTCCTAGCGCACAGCAAAACCAGGGCGCTAGGCTACTCCAGCTACTCGTCATGATCGTCGTTACCAACGGACGCCTTCCATGGGGTGGCACCGGAAAGGTGACTCTTCCAGAATGCTTCCAGGTCCTATACCGCCTTGTTAACTAAAACCCGCATCGCCCACAATATCGAAACCGCACTTACCTCGAATACATAGGGACATCCGCTGATGGGTGCTTGTTGCGTCTCATCATCCCTCTCGAACCCCACTTCGAACGAGATCGATTTCGTTTTCGGCTCCGCGCACTCGAAAGCCACCACAGTTTCGGGGTTGCCTGAAGTCGATCGCTTCCAACAGGGAGTGACATTGATAGTGATTTCACCGCCAACCCTGACGACGAATATTTTCGTCTGTTCCTCCAACAAACTCCAGGATCTCGCCCCATCAAGCCCCACGGCCTGCGCATCGCCGTCTTCCGTCGTCCGAATGCGGCAACCTATTGACCCGCTAATAAACACGGCTGTACGGTTAGCTGTGGAGTACTCAATGTTGCTGAGCCGGAAATAGAACAAGGAAGCCTTGAGCCTCGTAGCGACCTCTAACAGCGAGTCCTTGTTCTCAACTCCCATGACCGCTTCATGGAAACGCAAAGTCCTCCAATCCGGGGTAAAGCTGTAAGTGCGTGCCCACTCCTTCAGCGCATTGATGGTATTCGTGGAGTTGTCGTCCAGATCGTAGCGCTCCTGGCCTAAATGGACGTTCAGGCGCCGAGCCTTCTGCCTCTGCCTCTCGTCCCACGAATTCCAGCACTGCCAAAACCTCTGCTCCCCATTCACCGAGCTGAAGTAGTTCTTGGCGAGCTTGCCCACCCAGCCAGGTACGTAAGAGATGTTGGGGATGGTGTTATCGCGGTAAGACTGACCCGACCCAATCGAGAGGAGCGTGTCGACCCGCACATTTTCGGACCACAAGTTGCGGGCTTCCAGCCTGGCGATGTCAACCGGGTTATTATCCTGCAGGCCGCCGTCGATGAGTAGGTCTCCGTCCTGCGCACTGCGGAATGGTGTGAAGTAGTAGGGTGCCGCGGAAGTAGCCCTGGCGCTGTTCAGATTATGGTGTTAGTGTTAGTCGAAGGTGGGACGTAATTGGGGTCAGTACTTACGCCTCCCAGGTGGGTCGACGTGATTCAAGATGACGCTTCCCATCGCCAGCGTCGTAATTGGCAATGTAGTGGGTTACTCCGTTCCGGTTAGTCGTGACGGCGACCCGTGGGAGGTGCGACAGGCATCCAGATTCCCGCGGACGAAGGCCAAAGAGGGTCGTGGTGGCCGGAAACGCTCGCTTCAATGCCTCTTCGAGTGGCTCAGGCTCGTATATGGATTGAAGTTTCCGCCTGTAGTACCAGCCGAAAAAGAAGCTGTCAATCCCACTCCTCTTCATGAAACTCTTCTGGCTGAGGTCGTCAACTTTCGAGACCGCAGTATCGATGTCCCAGCCATGCACGCCCAGACCGAGGGCGATGAGGCCACCTAATCGAACCATGAACATCCTAACCCCTCTTCGCTGCATGGAGTCTACTTACCTGCGCTAGTGCCGACAATGAGATCGAAGAAGTGTCTGATAGGAATCTCCAGACCTATCGTTTTCTCGAGTCGCTGGAGTATAAGTACCTCAAGGATCCCGCGCACCCCGCCTCCATCTAGCGATAAGATCCGAATGCCCGCCAATGGGGGCACCTGCTGAATCACAACGGGCCACGCATCTTCCGGCTCGTTCATGCCGCAGATAGGGCAGCTCCAGTGCATTGCGACGGCGGACGGTTCCGCTGAGAGTTGGGGGTCCTGGAGTTGCTCAATACAGACATGGCACAGGTAGTGGCCACAGGGCATGCGATATTCTGGCCTCCTGAACAAGCACGGGATGCATGGCAGGTTGTCGACGTAGGGCCTGTCCCTGTCGGAGGCTGTAGCCCAGAAGTCTGGCCGCGGCGCCGTCTGAAGGGTCTCTTTATGCCTCTGCATGGCCCAGACTTTGCGGTCGCCTGTGGAAGCGAATTGATTACAGGAAGACGTGAACTCGCGCGTGCTTTTTTCGATGGCCCTGACGAACTCTCCTGGCGTGTAATCTCCGAACTCAAACATGCCAGGCCGAATCAGCGTCGTGTTGCTAGGACCTCGGTCCAGTTGGTGGCCGCCCTCGTGCCCCGACCTCGTGTTCAAGCAGCGGGCCCCGGTCAGAGGGTCTCTATACGCGCATGTGAGGTACCTGTAGAAGAGCGCTCTCGCCGCGACTGTGCAGTCCTCCCGAATGGCCTTGGTGAAAACGGCATCTGGGGTCGGTGCTATATCTTTGCTTCCTGTCAACGCATGCACATCGCATCTGTCCACCAGTGCAGCCCACCTACCATAGCCGTTACTTCTCAGTCTCTCGATTACCAACGACTGTGCGATGAGGGACGCACAATAGGCAAAGCCTTCCTGCATCCCTCCAGAAAATGTGATCCTGCAAAATCGCACGAGGTAGTGTCTGAAGGTCGGCGGAGTCGGCACCTCCTGCTGAGTGTGATTAAAATTGAACGGACCACTCCTGCTGGTTACGAGGTGCTGAAAGGCACGATCAAAGACTATGCTCATCTGATGAGAGTCCAGTCGGATCCAATTATGCTCCCGGCGGCGATGAACATTCCACGATGCCTGCTGGAGACAACGTGAAATTTCGCCGACCTTGCTCCACACGTCTGACGCTGTTGTTAGCCTTTTGCCGCCGTCGTCGGTCTGTGGCATGGAGTATATATGAAACTCGGAGAAGTGGACGTTAAGGAGCTCTCGCATAGTCTTGGCACCACACTGTTGCACCGTCGTTAGCTGCGTCTTGTTCGTGTTGCCGAGGATGCCACCCCTGCAAAACTCACGTTTTCTGCTAGTATCTTCATCCTTCTGTCGCTGAATAGTTCATTCTCTCCTATCATCAGGAAGGCCTCTGTCAAGTTTTTTCCCTTACTCCTGGCCCATTCCAGCATGGTGCTGTCCATGTTTATCACTATAAGTGCGGCAGGTCGGGCGTATCGGTTGACTGTGTTCCCTGCGCCTATCTGGCTCCACTCGAGCAGCCGGGCGACCACGCTTGGCAGGGTTTTGGTGTTCTTGACTACCATGCAGATGACGTCGCTGACTATGTAGAGAAACCGGGGGTAGACGTCTTCCACCGCATGCTTGCGGTCTACAGACTGTGCATGCTGTCCTTGAAAGGTGTAGAGTCTAGACCCTTTGGATTGTTGCCAGAGACTCTGGTAGTCGGCCGCAAGCGGCTGACCACCACCGAAGCCTTCACAGTCGGCGTAGAACAGTGGAGACTCCGTCCCAAAAGTGCCAGGATCCGGGTAAAGATTGACTTCCCCTGTTGTGGGCCTTGCGGGCTCTTTGGGGTCTGCAGGTGTCGGGGCTTGTGTCCGTTCCAGGTCGCCTTTGGCTGTCAATGAGATAAGAGCTCTAACTGCATCCGGTCGAGTTAGAAAATAGCGGCCAAACATATCACTAGGGGATCGACAAGCTAGACACACTCATTGTTGACTTCCCGGATCCCGTCTTGCCCACGAAAGTAACAATCCTTGGGAATTGTCTCCTGGGGCTATCCTCGCGGAGATGCCGCGACTGGTCGACTAGAAGCGAGAACCTAGGAGTCTCGATAATGTGTCGGAAATTTTTCGCCTCCAGTGCCATCTTCCCTTCACCATGTCTCCCTCTTCCATGGGTATCCCGTGGGTCGTCGTATTCCGCGCTAGCATCGCTTCCCTTGCGCTCAAAGTAGAACCCGAACCATTTGGCGCTTTCGTCCGTGGCAAAAGCAGCCTTCCAGTTGGCAATTAGGCTGGGATACTCGCCTCGTATCCAGGCTATTGGCGACCACTCCTTGTTGGGGTTCTCGCCGTGGGCTTTCTTCCGGTGAGCCACGAGACACTCCGCGCAGAAGACCTTCCCGCACGCACATTTCGGATGGACGCCGGAGGCGTTACACAATAAGCAGGAGTCGCTCATACTTCGCGTTTCCTCCGGCAATCTGGCCGCAACCTCTGAGTAGTTTTTGGAGGCAAGGTTATTCCGGTGTACGGCAACGTGCTGGTGTCAGGAGTGGCACAAGCCGGGGATGAGGGGCAGCCGGTTGTTCTTACGATGGTTTTTCTTACGATATAGAGTTTTTCAATACCAAGGTATGCAAGGGTGCCCAAGGTTACACACGGCGCCCGTTGGGCTACATTCCATGAACTCCTCGTTTCTCATCACGTCCGAACGTAGTTGATAATCTCATGCGCCAGACTGTAGTAAAACGACAATCAGTCATCCTGCGAGGCATCCGCAGACTCTGGATACTTCGACACGCATATTTATAAGCGAGCCGCGGACCTTGCAGCTATTCCGAACGCATGACGTTATATCTACAGTTGAGCTATACACTCACCGCTGAGAAGTACCTTCGCACAACCAACAAACGCATTACGCTGTCGAAAAACTAAGCTTCAAGAATGCCCGACTCCAGAGCGGTGGGCTTTTCGTTCCAAGCCGATGTCGTGAATACAGCTTCGTTGGCCCATCTTCTTACCGGCCGTGTCCTGAAGGCCATGAGCGACGGTGGGGTAGACGTGTACGCTGTCACGGTATCGATGTGCCTGGGTAATCTCATTCCCATCCAGCCATCCCTCGAGAGTGCTGTTTTTCAACATATCAGGTCGCTCAAGAGCTGCCAGGGTATTGTGGCCAAGGCACTGAGTATTGGCTGGGGCCATTCGCTTATCCCATGCGAGATGTCTCGGACTAAGGCCGGTACATCATTGCTACTCCTGGTCGGAGCACTTGCTACCGGCTCTAACGCCTTCTCCGCCGCTCACTGCTTATCCGAGTTGCTGACTCTCTCGGGGTGCGAGCCCGGGAGCGTTCCCAATATCGATGTCCTGAAGAACATGATTACATACCTAGCACCCTTTGTCCAAGAACTTGGATTTTGCAAAGTGCTCGACCATGTTACTACGACGTGCCAGAAACAGATTCTCCAGTCCAACAAGGACGAGGCAGGCCTCGTTGCCTGTGGCGATAGCCCTGTCCTGGCCGGAGTAATCCATCAACTTTGCCTCACTGCGAAGAGAGAGGAGTCGATATATCTCATCGTCAGACAAAGGGGAGCATGGATTGCAAGTTTCGCAAGTTACCTCTTAGGACTATCAGTTGAAGTTCTCCTGGAAGACACCGTGCTGTGGGCGTCAGCGGGGAGCAGCGGGAAAGTATCACTACAGCTCGCTCCTGGCTTCACGAGCTCCGGTGCGGTACAGCTGCACGGCCGCCATACCCTGACTCTTGTTCCAGAACCATCGGACCCGGCTGGAAGGACGCCTCTGGTTATATACTATGACCCGGCGATGGCTCTTGACGCTGAGCTGAGCCAGATTCCTGAAATCCCAGCCTCCCGTTATGCAGGAATCCAGACAGCAATTGCACGACTGTGTCTTGCCGTGCTCGAGAAGCTGTGCGTCGCGAAGCCTACCCCTGGACTAGATTCTACGCAGTCTTCTACCCTACCATCAACCAGGAATAGGCTCCTGAGCTCACAGCCCACAATTAGGCTTCTCTCTGTCTTTGGCATCCCTGACCAACTCATCGAGATAGGGAAGAAGGATTTCAGAACATACGAGTCTAGAAACTGGGATTATGAAGATGACTCTGGAGCCAACGGACTTTACTATCTGGATTCGGACCAGAAATCTTGGTTAAAATCAGTCTGCCCCAGCGCCGCCTGCATCCACTTGGTGGGATCATTGGAAGTAGCTGGCTGTCTTTGTGCTCGCGTCGGTCACATTATTGGCGGCTTTGCTTCCACGATTATAGCGTTGGGTCAGTGCGTGGCTGATGTCAAGGATCTGCGGCTCCGTGCCGATGTTCTTAACGGGTCGGTCATAACTGAATGGTCGCGAGAACTCCTTCTAAGTGCGAGCGTGATACATGACCTTATCGGGCACCTAGGCCAACTTGTAACCTGGAGCCTCTCTGACGTTGACGGCACGATCGAACGATCTTCCCAAGGGGACAACCTTGTTCTTGGCGTCAGTGCGGACGCTCATACCATTACTTACACAGCTCTCCTCGGTGACGAAGCTTTCGATGATCATGGACGCCTGCTCACGATCACCTCGGGGCGGGCTACAGTCGACGGTCTGTTCAGGAATTACCTTATTGAGAGAAAGATCGGTTTCAGCAGCAGTAGCGAAGATACGCCGTCCCTCCTTGCCCATGGCTCTTTAATTGAACCACACTACTACCCCGGGCGCCTTCGGGTATGGATAGAGACTGGAGTCATTGATGAGGGAATTCTCGTTGGTGCCTTTCTGGGGCATAGCGAACAGAGCACGCGAATATCTCTAGTGAGGTGCGCCGAGTCTATGAAATACATCGTCGTGCCGAGGTGTGAACACCCGAAGTCCCAGCCGTATCGGGTTCCCCATTCCCAACATCAATCAGATACCGGCCAGTCGCCACAACACTTGATATCACCATTCAGCTACGGGCCCGCTAATGACTCCGGGATCATGATTTTCCCTCTAACAGGCAATCGTTTGCAGCAGCTTATTCAATGCGGTACTTTAGGCCTGTACCTTCGAAGACAGAGAAGATCGGTAATACTCCAAATGCATTCCTGCATCTCTTGCGCCGTCCGAATGAGACCCGAGCCTTCTTGTGTTATTCTAGGAGGCTAATTAATGATTGCACGAATGGTAAACGGCCAGCAATGACAACGGGGACCCGGACGGATCCAACCGGGTTTGGAATGAACGCCTCTCTCCACCGAACGGGGCACTTGACTTGTTTTTATTGAATGTTAAGACGAATCCCTCAGGTTTCTACTATCTTGAGAGTTCGTCTATTGGCTATCTGTCCCTAGGAATGCCCTCCTGCGCTGGCTAGGGGACCAGAGGATGCTCTTGAGTGCGACATACTACTGGGAGGATTGGGGCGTTCTGTAGCACCTCAATGCCTTCGTGGATCAATGCTGGAGCCGAGGTTTCTACGCAAGCCTGAGACTTGCGCGGTACCAGGCTCTGGGCTTGGCACAGGAGGGTTAGATCACAACCGGTTCGTTCAACCCTGGACTGAAAAGTGGGACACTGGCTACATTAGAACACTTGATACTAGCCATGCAGCAAAGGATCTAATTAACAGACACTGGATAGGGAGAATGGTCCTCGGTCAGGTTGTTGCTTTAGCGCTCGATGTAACGAAACCTTCCATGGTCTATCATAGAATAGTTGATATCACTTCGACTGCCAGCCATCCTAAAATTACATCCCAAGGTGGCTAATTCACGTTCGACACATGATTGAACAATTCTTCTTCGTTGCTACCGATCGGAGCTATCGTCCCCCCAAGAGTCCCGTGGTCGATCTTCACATTGATGTGATTTAGTATAGTCGTAGATTGGATACGCATAACTCACAAGCTACGAGGCCGCATAATAAATTCCGGAGTTTCAGGTGCCGATGTGCCGGCCCGAGGCTCGTGAGTGCGGGCCGTGCAACACTGGATCCATCTCGACGCCTGGGACGTATCAATGTTCTTGATGCTATAGAGGACGCGCGGGCCGGGATTCACCTCACTCACAAACGAGCTGTCATACTGGTAGTACTCTATTTTCTCCTGATATGGCTGTGAGACGCCGGTGGGAGAGGAGCCGGTGATGTCCTGTCCCAAGTACCTGTTGCGCGGTAGCTGCACGGATTGGGCGGCAACATCGGCGAGATGGGCGAGATGGGAAGCATGAGCACTGTTCGCCCGTATGGGGCATAGTCGTGAATTGCTTGGCTTTGTCCTTTAACACGCTGTTACATTTTACGGTGCTGGGGTCGTCGTCGTCAGCAAACTCCCCGCTGAGAGGGGCGTCGGCCGAAGAAAATTGATATCATGATATAAGGCGGCTGGGGGATATTCCCGGGATACTTTTTTTTTTTTTTTTGGGGGGGGGGGGAAAGCCGTGGGGTGACGACTTCGAAAACTTCAAGAAGCCAGCCGAGGGCATTAAGACTACAGTAGGGAGAAGTGTATTGGTGTGTTCACATTGAAAAGGTTGGGGGGTGGCTGTTCAACGAAGGCGGTGTACACTATCGCTTCTTTTAGGGATACTTTAATGCAGAGGCAAGTATCTTGGGCCATCTTAAGTCGGAAACTAACAAAGATCTCTACTGCGCAAGCTTTTATATTCCTTCTTGGTAGACAAATTCACCTAAGATCGATGGGCTGGAGCAGTTGTAAAGGGTAACATACCAACCTCTGGTTGAAATTGGCTACAGGGGGAGAATCTGGAAATATTCCGATTGGGATTGCCAAAATCGCTACTTTAACTTGGATGCCGGAGAGGTTCTCTTATAATGAAAACGTCATAACGTGCTATATATACCTAGCACCAGGACAATTGAGATTCCAATACTCATCAAATTGGACTCTCCATTCTTCTTCAAATCCATAAGATTATCGAATGCACAAATTAGGAGTGCCGTAACTAAGCTGCGACCTCGGTGGCCGGAAAGGAGCCTGCCGGATGAAACCTCTTAACATCATTCAAGCTACTTCTCATCTACCAAAACTTGACCTGATGGGGGTAAGAGCACTTGTGTCATGGCTCTCCTCGGATTCATCCACTTTGGTATTATCGTCTCCCAGAGTTGTCCTAATAGGCGTAAGGGCGCCTGTATCGTGGTTCTCCAGCGGTTCATCGACTCCAATATTGTCACCGTTAACCTTGGCGGCTGAAGCATTTTGATCAAGCCCCCCATCACGAGGCACAGAAGAGCTGGAATCTGGATGGTGTTTCTTGAAGGAACGTTATTCGACAAAGCTGGGCGATCTAGAGTTTGAGCGGTGGATGCACGCTAATGGCTAGTCTTCTGTGAGCTACTACCTTGTACGTGTCTTGCCAGCGTCTTACCTGATGGCTTTATAGAGGCTTTGGAAGAGAGCCCTGGTCCGGTTGATGGTTAGAACGAGCCAATAGACAAACCAAGAGCGGATAAGGTATCCAGAGGCTTTCAATTGCCGTGCAATAAGTTTGAAAGTGGTCCTTAGTACCGATTGCCAATAGCTGAACTCGTAGGTGTATTCTTGATACGCCTATCTCAGGCTGACGGTGATCATATTTATCATGATATTTAGCGACGGGAGTAGAGGATTTGTACTCGTCCTCTTTTTATATCCGACGAATTCACATCTAGCTTCACGTAAGTTGTATGGCCAGTTTGCCTCATCAAAGGCAATAGATACCATATAATACCTGCGTCGATACCCACAGACGTGTCTATCACCTCCCCGAAGCATCGAGCTGTGGCTGGTGGCTGAGAGGGGCGAAGTCTAGGACCCAAACACTTGTGAGAGGAGAGAGACGGGGCGAAGAATATCTTGATTACTAATTACTGCTCTCCTTCCCGACTGAAATGGATCAGTGTAGCCTCGTTGTTGATGAAAGTCAAGATGGCAAACGATGGTTGGAGAACCAACTGGTAGGCTCTCGACCAGAAGTAAGTGAAGGGATACATTATAATGCCTTTTCATGGAAATAGACTCGGGGTAAAGAACGGAGTGGTCATGGTAGAAAGAATGTAAACCCTTCGAACGTTTATTGTTTATTTGGCGTCCTAAACTCCGCCGGCGGCACGAGTAAACTCTTATTCTCGAGAATAGTCTCATCTTAGAAGCCCAGCCCAAAACCGCAACGGGCTTTTCACCTGCACAACGTTCTTAGTAAACGTAGAACACAGCCGTCTCATCATCGCTCTGGCGAAGCTTCCTATTCCGCCTAATCATAATCGCCTTAGCCAACCACGCCAAAGCAGCAGTCGCAGCGCTAAACGCAGCACTGCTCATCATGGCAATCATGTACCTCGGCCCGTCGCTCTTGGGCCACAAGTAAGGTGTCCACACGAAACTGACGTTCATGACGGTTGTCACTATACTGATAGCGACGGCCTTTTTCTCCTTCGTCTGCCCACACACGCTGCCGCACCATCCGAGGATAAGGCTGTTCACTCCGTACGTCCCAATGGTGAAAATCACCATGGCGACGTAGCGGCCCGGCAGGTTCGGGGCCAGCGGGGCGGCGATGAATCCGATGATCGCTACGGCCTTGGATATCGTGATGTGCCACGTCCGTTCGTTGAAGTATCCGGAAGACCAAGACACCGCGATGGTAATGGCTCCTGCGATAAGGTAAGGCGGGCATGTAAGAACCAGAGTTATGGTTTGCGAGAGGCCAAGAGTCTCGACGACGGTGGGGAACTAGAGAGGCATCGTCTTAGCATCTAATCTCGCAACAAAAAAAAAAGGAGGGGAAATTACGGTATGAAGCACTTACAAAGTTCTTGAACCCATTTGCGGCAAGATGCATGTGGGCCATCAAAGCGAAGATCCACACCATCGGGTCTTGAACGGCTTGCATGAGACCAGCCTTGGTACTAGTCTGGCCCTGGTTGGCGACGGTATCAAGCTCGATTCGATTGTAAGCGAGATCCCTTTCCTCCTGGGTAAGCCACTTGGTAGTCAAAGGGAAATCAGGAAGCACAAAGTATCCGATAAGGGCAATGCCAAAGGTGACGGTGCCTTGGAGTATGAACAGCCACTGCCAGCCAGCAAGGCCTAGATGATCATCCATGCCGTGGAAAACGCCAGCGGCTATCAACCCGGCGAAAGCTGTGGCGAGGACATTGCCAGTGTAGAGGATGGCGATGCGGGTGGCAACCTCCTTCCGGTTGTAGAAGATGGAGAGAATGTAGACGGCACCGGGGTAATACGGCGCTTCGGTCACGCCAAGGAAAAATCGAGTGACAAGGAGAGTGGTGTAGTTATGGGCCAAGGCTGTCAGTGCGCTAACCGTTGCCCACAACATCATCATAATGCCCTTGTGTTGGAATACATGTCAGAGTGTGTCCTCATCCACGACATGCTCAATGATGCTATGAGGGTAGAATTGTCGACATACCATGTATCTGCTCGGTCGAGTTCGAGTGAGGAACATATTGGACGGAATTTGACCAAGAATATAACCGACGAACAGAATCGAGACACATGTTTGGTACTCTGATTTGGCGTTAGACACATACTTTCGGACACTCAAGTGTTTCATTGTAAGGAGTCATACGGGTGCTGGTTAAATTCAAGTCTTTTTCTAGATCGTCGAGGCGAGCAAGAGCAATAGCATTGCGGTCAAGGTAGTTGAGCCAATACATGCTCCAGAGCATTGGCTGGAATCTCTGGTTAGCCGAACCGATTGTGGGACAGTTGGCACGAGGAAGAGGGCTTACCATAATCCATCTATCTAGCTTCTTCACAAGGGCAATTTCCTTGGGGTCTGTTTTAGCATGAGCACCTGAATAGTCGACCTTGTCAACCGTAGGAACTGCCTTCTCCGGCTCGTCATGGACAGTTTCCGTTCTGAAGATCTGCGGGTCCTGTCTCGCCTCGACGGCTTTAGGTTCTACCTGGTTGGACATGATGGGCAAGCCCCGGAGGAGGGATTAAACACAATCTGGCTGTTGGGGAGTTGGTGAAACGGCCAAGTGCCACTGATATGTAAAATGCGGTCTAGACACTATGCAAGACAGGGCGTTCTGTCGGTCTCTTTCGCTGGGCCGATGCTGGTAATTATATATCTACTAAATCTAATCTCAGTATAATGTCTCACGTCGGTGAATTTGTCGATCAGCGAGATCGGTCATACGCATCTGCCGTACAGTCTCATACCTCCGTTGCGGTGAGCTCATGTACTCCGGAAGAGGCAGCTCATTTGCTTCCTTTCCGCCGTGATTGGCCCAAGACCAGGAAACCAGCCTTGCGTTTAGCTGATGCCAAGGCCAGTGAGACCTTTCCCCGCATCCCACCTCATACATACCATCGGGGTACTACCCGCACTTGCATGGTACAGAATCAGCCCAATTGGTACAAGTAAGACAAGGAAGAAGTATAATAGCGCCGAGAGGCTCATGCAATGCAACAGGATTGCGAATTGACCAGGATATCGAGAACATTGCTTTACTTGGAGTAGAATCTCGCTCTGCCCCCTTGATGCCAAAACGAATAACGTTGGGCTTTTGCCATTAACGCTGCCCGCAGAAGTGAGAGATCCTGCGAGAATTTTCCCCAGCTTCTCTGGTGTATATTTCAGAACGGTACCGTTGGAGCCATACAATGATACATACAGCGCATAAGCAGTATCTCCGGGTGAGAAGATGTGGGCAAACTCTGTAAAAAAAAGAAAGGAGAAAAGAAAAAAATTACAGGGGCCGAAGGGCAACGGTAACATTAGACAGTAAATTGCGGAGAAAGTTCGGAGTAATGAAAGAGGGAGTAATCGACGTACTTTGTCCCAGACTTGTCTGGCACCGGGAGACTTCAGGATGTAATGTCGGCGAACGTGCTGGGCAGTTTGTTCTCTCATTGTTGCTTTTGTGCCCAACCACAGCTACTTTTAGGACCAGGGAATTACGTCTTATCACTAATTTTGCCATATTCCTCGGGTGAGAGGAAAAAAAAAAAATAAACACATGATGGGCTAACAAAAATTCCAAGCTTGCTGCCATCCTGCACAGGGCGTGATACTTTGCTTTTGGGGGAAGATTTTCTAGCTCTGCAGTTGACCGACGATCCTTTTCGTGGTGGGTATTCTTTGGGTATTCATTGGGTTAGGATTGCCAACAAGAGCCTAGTGGCGTTACATGCGGTGGACCATGGTAGTGCCCTGGTATTCGTACCCCACGAAACCTGAGCCGCCAGACCAGCTCTTCCTGGTCGATCCTTTCGGACGTTGTGCACCTGGACCAGCCACATTCCATATCAGGATCAAACCTCCGCTTGACAGGGGGAGTGGTAAACTTCCCTGACCGACATCTGGAAGTCTGCTCTTATTACCACCGTACTTCGTAAACCCAAGTGGGACGAGGTAATCCCGGGATCCTCCCCCGACAAGCTCCGGGTCTTTTTTCTTGGTTTTCAGGCCTGGACTCAAGAACTCCCGTGGGGAAGAGGGAGGACGTACCACTAGGTATTGGCACCTTGAAAAATTCCTCAATAACAAAGGAGGCAGCAACACCAGCGGCATTCGTACCTCGTGGTCCTACCCCGCATCTTGATCGTGGAGTTTGGATCTTTTGTTTACTACGTACGATCTCTACTAAACTTATATCAGTGCGTGGCATGCATGTAGTATGTAGTTTAAGTGAGATTTCGGAGAAAATCCCCTTGCGCACTAATTTCCCACTACCGGGTACTCCAATGTTCTAGAAGCATCAGTTCGTGCCGTGCCTCATACCGAATATATAGTAGATTTTGGATGGCAACTCGGTCAAAGGTGTTTGCTGTCCGATGCTCAGTCACTTCCGTGTTGATTGTATATGCCGCATGGGCTCATGTCTTACGATCAACGACTCTTTTATCTGAATTCTAGTCTGATTGATACTGGGAGCTGGGGATAATGCCCTCATCTCCGCAGAATTGCAAGGTCACTTTCTAGAGGTGGGATCGGGATCTATGCTAGCCAGTCCCTAGAAGGAAGGAGAACAAGAGAGGCATTTCTATCCACTTATGACAGGTTCATTCCCAGCCTTGATGTTGCATTTTCCACCATTTGCCAAGCCCTACAAGTGGTACTGATCCTCGTTTCTGCACAAAGGCGAGGGCCAACAAGACAGTCTTGGCCGCAACAAGGACATGCGTGCGGAGGAAATCGGATCAAATCTGATTTCGGTAGTGGTTTGATAGAGCTTCAATAATGTCAGTGTATCCCTGGCAGAAAAACGCCATCCCGTAACTTTACCGTGCGATGGGACATCGTCTCCAACTTTCGGGAGTTGAGGAGGAAGATTGGGGCGGCTCTCCAATTTGTAGGCCGGCAAATACTTCGCACTACGCGTGCGACGTGCTCGAACCATGTCTTAAGGCTTAGCTTTATTACACCCTTGGTAGTCCCACCTTCTGATGACCCTGAAATATAATGTTAAAAAAGCTTCCAATACATTTCCGTTCGATTCTTCCTCTCGCAGGTGCTCGGTCTGAGACGAGATGCTTTCAAGGCTGAATCTCCTCTGGAGGGTTCTTCTGGCTGTTTCAGAGTAAGAACAAGAAGACAGGTAGGAATGTTATTAAGCATATCTCTCGCGCGAATCTTCGGTGCTGGTGTCTCACCAGGCAATAATATCAACGTAACAAAGAACTGGAAGGACGTGAAATGGAAGGATCCGATAGTATTCGAAGAGTCCTAGATACCTGATCTAGGAGCCTCCCAAATATTGCAATATCAAGAGGTGTTCGGCATGTGGGGGAGTACCACCGCCCCCGGGCGTAGATCCCCTCAACGGGGCCTGCAGTAGTCGTCTTAGTAGACCCGTATTATAAGCTGCCTCAGTCATGCCCATGTGCCCCATCCATCATTTCACAAGACATGAGACCTCCACCGGCTGGTGATGTTTACTAGTGCCAAGACAACATTGATGAGACCTTCTCCAATAATGTGGGTTCATCGGCGCGGGGCACAACATCCCCAGCAACGCCTAATATAACGCCCCCGCCCGAGGGATTCGACATTGGTCTTCAACTAGGACGGCATCGGAGTTACCCTGTCCGTCGTGTCCGAATCTTAATATTGCCATTAGCTGGGCGTCCTGCAACAGTGTCACATCGTGCTCACTGTCCCTACACATCTCGGATGATGTCGGGCCCTTAGGTCGAGACTTTCGTAAGCTCGTCTTTGTACAGAATGAAGCTCGGGATATTTCGTGATGCTGTAAAGTCCCAGTCTGTTGTTTTCTGTCAGTCACGTATGTAGATCATCCTACGCCTCAGGCCCCGGCCTCCGCGCTGCTTCTGAGCATGGCACAAACATGCCACCCCTCAGGAATGTCCTCATTAGAGGAGCGAGAGGCCTCCTCAGGAAGCTTATCGCCACAGCAGTACTGTTATCGGACCGGCGGAAGAGCAGGAAACCAGGTGCTTGAGCATTTCTGTGTTCATGGCGCCCAAAAGGGGGGGGAAGGAGGGTGCGAATGTTTGAGGGTAGCACAGATATGGCCGCACTACTGCGGCCGCACATGGCATGGGGCTCCGCATCAAACTTCATTCTCGGACATCCTATCTGTACCGTGGGATACACGTGGGCCTCTAGGGTATTCTTATGTCTTACGTCCCTCCTTGGTGGAGTACTCCGAGGTCTCTAACATCTCTATTGTGAGCTGGTTTTGCTCGGGAGGTTGGGTGAAAAGTTTGGGTAGGATAAAGCAGACACATATGGACACACCCATCTCGCTCTAATAAAATCGTCGGTATCTGTCTTTGTCTGTCCAGTTCCGCCACCGCAATTCGAGTGTGTAAGTGAAAGGTAGAACGGACCGGGAGCGCAAGAGAGTAAGTTTTGACCGAGATATGCTCCATGTTATCGCGCTGTTAACCGGTATTAAATTTGACTCCAATAAAACAAGGTAGGGCACGTGAAATCCCTGTAATATCTACTCTACCGCCTTCCAACTAGGTTCAAGTTCAGCCATCATCAGAGTGAGCTGCTGAGCCTCCCTCATTATGCTCTGATACTTCCTCTCCAGCTCATTCACCTTAATCTGCTCAGCGGTTCCGTATGTCCCGGTCGCACTATCCCAGTATTTCGTCGGGGTAGACCAACTATCGAACTGGATGTTGTTGCCGTTGTCCCTTATCCTCCAAACCGACTGCCACATCATAACATTCTGCGCTTCGGCCAGTAGATTCTTGTGTTTTTGCGACAGGGCCTGCAGCGGCGCCCCGTACTGATCGTAGATGGCTCTTCTGGACTTCGCAAAGTCGAGGAAACTTGCAAGATCACCCTTCTGAGATGCCTTCGCCCACTCGTCACACGTGCGGTTAGTGCCCAGGTGGCACGGTATCGGTTCAGTCCGCGTCTCGCCATGGAGCACGCCCTGACTTGCCAAAGATGTGCCCACGACATCCCCATGCCAGCACGTAGGGCAGATTGTACAGTCGTCCCATCCATACCAGGCCCCATCCGGCCTCCCTGCCATTCCCGGGCATTCGGGAAGACTTGCCACATTTCTTGCAAACTCGTCAAACATGCTAAAACTTCCTTTCTCAAGCGCCTCGAACAACTTATTAACTAGCGCGATATAGCGCCGGTTCCTCCCGACGGCGTACAAGCTGCAGTACTGCCGCGCCTCCGTCTTGGGCGGCTGGTCGATACTCTGGAAGTACCCGCCCATACCCCACGTCTCGATAATGCCGGCATAGCAGGCGCCGCATACGGCAAAGTCGTTGGCATCGCCGCGAAGCGTGTACCATGTCGAATTAGGCACGTCGAAGAGCATGCAGGGCGGTTCATTGGTCAACTTCCGCGCGGCGGTCAAGAATACGGGGAATCCTTCGCTGGTGTACTTTGCGGCGTTGAGGGCGAAAAAGGTTGCATTGTGCCGGGTAAAGTAGCACGTCCATTTGTCACCGAACTGGGGAGGTGGGAGGCTCACCTCCTTAAACTGCGAGCCGAAGGATTGGTGCGCCACCCAGCCCACGTAGCATGATTCGCATATGGTGAAGTTTTCGATCGGGCAGACCGTGGTGAACATGCGTGGCGGGGATTCGGGATATTCCCAGTCTCTCTTGCAGGGTGGGAGTTCTCCGCGGCGGTTCATGGACGAGGCAAAGCCGGGCCAGCCATTAGGGTCGGAGGAGAAGTGCTTTAGGGTGTCGCGGCGACCGTCGTCTCCGAGGGTGCACATTGGGCTACAGGATGAGGGAGGTGCGGTGCTAACCTCGAACTTGACAGTGAACTTGGAAGCCAGTAGATAGTCTTCGTAGCATGCGCCGCAGAAGCGACCATCTGGTATCAACCCGTCGGAAGCAGCGTACCACTGGTGCTGCTTCCCCACTTTGTCTGATTCATATCCCACACACTCCGGGATTAGAGCTCGGGACCTCACGAACGCCCTCAGGGGCTCAATGGTTCCTTCTCTCAAGACCTGGGGCCAGAAGACATCAATAATTCGCGGGAGAGCGAAACGGCATTTAGTTTCGATTCCACGCGGCATCGTAACTTTTTCAAACTCGTGGGCGAGCGGCGAATTTTGCACGTGATCGACATAGCATCTGCCGCACGCAGTGAGCCACTTCTCGGTTCGGTCCTGGTACCAGACCGTCTCGTACATGGTGGCGACTGGACACCATGGCGGAATCTCGCTTGGGGGTCCTTCCAAGGACCTGACGGCGGGAGTTGCAGGAGCATCGCTGGATTGCGATGCTGAAGGCTCGATGGACGGAGTTTCAGTACTCGGGGTGGGCTGCATTGCAGATGGGCCCACAGATGTCCCAACTGGACTGGCATCGGACTTTGTCGCCGAAGGGCGAGCCGACGCGCTCGCTTGACTGTCATACGCCGGATACGTCTGCATTGGTTGTGACGACACTGTCTGATACTCCTGATGCGTCTGCGATGGTTGCGACGGTGCAGTCTGATGCGTCTGATACGTTTGCGTTGGCTGAGACGGTGCTGCCTGATGCGTCTGATACTTTTCCGTTGGTTGAGACGATGCTGTCTGATGTGCCTGATACGCCTGATGCGTCTGCATTGATTGCGGCAGTGCCGCCTGATACGTCTGATATGTCTGCGTTGGTTGAGACGATGCTGTTTGATGTGTCTGATACGCTTGATGCGCCTGGTGCGTCTGCGTTGGTTGTGAAGATGCGGTGTGGGAATGTTTGGACAGTGCCGCCTGGCCAGCGATGGCGAGGCTACCAAGTTTGGAGACTACAGATGACAATAGATCTCCACCCGTCGTGGCAGCCATTTTAGGTGGTGGAGGCGGCTGTGGGACCGCCTGTACGGGAACTGCATGGACTGGGACTGCCTGGACTGGGACTGCCTGCACCGGTTGAGGGATACCTTGAGGCGGCGGTTGTACCTGATTAGGCTGCGGCGTTTCTGGCGTTGAGGGATAGGTATACGCAGTATAAGTAGCAGGCAATGATGGAGACTGTCCGGCATATGGAGAAGAGCTAGGTACAGCTTGCTTGGGTTGGGGAGGAGCCAGTTGCTGCCCTACCTGGTGATATCCTGGCTGTGGATATCCGGGCGTTAAATAAGTAGATGTATAGGACGTTGTTGGATGGGCCGTGTATTGAGTTTCCTGATAGGTTGACACCGGGCCATTCTGCGGTGGCTCATTTACAGCAACGGGTGCGGGGTGAGGGGCATAGTATCCTGGGGCAGGCGGTGGTTGGTAGTTTGGAGCTGGGGCATTCTGATATCCACCAGTGGAGGCATATTGGGCAGGCTGGTATCCTGCGGCCGGTGTGCTCTGGGGGGCTTGGGGGACTTGGTAATACCCAGTACTGGCTCCGGGTTGAGAGGATTGGTATCCCGTGGCTGGCCCATACTGAGGCACTGGGGCTGGGGGCGGGTATTTCTGAGACGTTGCATAAGGAGTGTATGGAGAATATTGAGGCTGTTGCACTGGCACCGAGCCATACTGAGGGGCAGGAGGTGCTGACTGAGTCCCATATTGAGGAGCGGGATATGCTGCCCCAGTGCTGTATTGAGAGCCTGGAGTCCCTCCATACTGCGAAGTCGTGGGCGGCGGAGGATGCGTCTGCGAGTTTCCAGTCCCGTCACGGTCGGAACTTGATTGGGCATACATTTTTACCTTGGGGGGCCAGGATTTCTCAAAGACAAAAACGACACTCATCGGCAGCTTAAACTTTAGAGTTAAAACACCCAAGAAGTGTCACTTGGCAGATCTGGGGTTCGACCCCCCTTTCTACTTGTAAGTTGGACCCCTAACCCCTGATCTCGATCGCGCTTGTACCTTTTGGGATAACGTCGCGAGCTGAGGGCGTGCGGCTGAAGACCGTTAATGCAAGCTACAAATAGTCTGCTCGTCCGTGATAGGCCCCGTGGGATCGGTGTAACCCCTCGCTTCGAAGACTTCCATTTTTGTTCCATCGATAACGCAGGTGACAGCAGTCAATCCACTTCCAAATTTCCAATTAATACATAATAGGCTACTTCGTCGACCAGAGAGACCATAGCTCAAAGGCTAACTCTTTGAGCCACACTCTGCGGAAAAACATCAGATGATAAGGCAGAATCGGAGGGCACGGACAAATATTACTTCCTGCTAAAGAAAAGAGAAGAGGGGAGGCAGAATTGCAAGCGACGCAACGGCCGATTATTCTTATCCTGTCATTGTCCCTTCATATCAATATTCACGCGAATGGTTGCAGCTTGCAACGGATGCTGAGTCGAAGGATGGCTTTGCCGATGCACGCCGACGATGTCGACGGACGGTACTAGTTTCTCGGGTCATTTTAGGTCCCTAAATGACTGCATAGTTGTTCTTTGTATCGACTCGGGAGAGCCCGGACCGAGGCACTCGAATATCGCCTCCTACCATTTACATTACAAGGTAGTATTGAAGACGCGTGCAAACAGAATGGAGAGCACACATGTGAGAAAACAACAACGACATTATTCGCCATGTGGATACACATCGATGATGCCCCTTAGATTATATGAGTCTGCTATCAAATACCTCGCCATCAACGTAGTTTATCATCTTCTTGACCCAGTCCAGCTTGGTTCTGCCCTGCCCAAATGACATGCCCTTTGTAAGGACCTCCCGGTAATTATCGCCAGGATTTACCTTTCCAAGGACCCAGGGCCTCCTTGTTTCCACTCTATCCGGAACTGGGATACTACGGCCAACTACGGCCTCCATACCCTGCCAGGCGAAGGTAACGGCCTCCTTAGCACCCGCCGGGATCCCAGCCTCATCAAGCATGCGGATCTTCACACCGGGAAGGTTCTCACGCATGTAGTCCGTAATATTGGGGTTAAACGCCCCCCCGCCGCACATGAAGACCTCCTCGACCTGCTTGCCCTTGGGGCCATACCGACGCCAATGATCGACAATGGCCTGCGAAGTAATCCGGGTGACCGTGGCGACAACATCGTCAGCAGACATGCCCAGAGCCTCAGCTTCAGAGATAAGCTTGTCTGCGAGTGTGTCGCGGAAGACCTCTCTACCGGTCGTCTTGGGAGGATCCCAGGAGAAGTAAGGGACCGAGGCAATGAACTTGTCGACAAGTTCTTGGTTGACCTTTCCGCGCTTGCCCATGACGCCGTCTTTGTCGTATTCTTGCTCCCCATTCGTGTAGTGACGTACCACCGCATCGATCAGGCAGTTCCCGGGGCCGGTGTCAAAGTCGTAGGCAAACTCCGGCCCCTCCGGGGGGATGAAGCACACATTGGCGATGCCGCCAATATTCTGGCAGGCTCTAAGCTTTGTGGGGTCGTGGAGAAGGAGAGCATCGAAGAAGGCAATGAGGGGGGCGCCCTGCCGACCGGCCGACTGATCGGAGACCCTGAAGTCAGTGACGGTTGTGACTCCCGTCCGGGCGGCAATGATGGTACCCTCGGCCATGGTCAAAGCTGACCTGGGAATTCCCGGAGCGGGCATGCTCTCCAACCAAATGGTCTGACCATGGGAACCGATTACATCGATGGTTTTGACGTCAACCCCATGCTGTTTGCAGAACTTGATGGCGGCGTCTGCAAAGATCTCGCCCAGCAATACGTTGACCTCCGAAAGCTCGGACGCCGATGTCTTGTCATGGTAAATGATGTTGAGCACTCTCTTTTTGAGTTCGAGGTCCATGGGCACTTCGCCGTACTTGAGAAGTTCAAAGTGCATAGGAGCCTCTGGAGCCTCCTGGCGGAAACGGCAAAGCACAATGTCTACTCCGTCCTGTTTCCCCAAGTTTAGAAAAACCATAGCTATAGAATTGAACACGTTTACGGAGTAGAACTTACCATTGATGTACCACTGTTCATGCCTAGTGCCAAAATATCGAGGGGTTTCCCGTGGCCGGTGCCATTGGAGATGGCAGCTCCGTTTAATGTCATGATCAACGTCTGAGTATTGTACAGATGATAATCAAATCAATATCGCGATTAGGGGTCGTTCGGAATTAAGTAGAGTAAGTAGGGTAGAATGAGGGAAGTTAAAGAAAGTTGTATCTATGATTTTTGACAGCACGGTGGAACATATCCCTGGTTCCTCTGCGGATCGGGAATCCAGGCCGTCTTTTGGGCGACCGTCTTATATGCACGAATTCATGACTTCCTCTCGCCCCGCTGGAGTGTTCCAGCCCATTTTAACATGGGTAACCGGTCTCTTGGCATCCGCGTCACACGAGGCACAACCAGTGGCATGGGATAGGCTACCAAGGCAAACCGCTTACTGCTCCGCGTTCCTTTCCGCCGTATCCATTTCCATATGAGGGACGGAAAACCATTGCCTCGGTGTCGACGTTGAGGATAAACGCTTACACGGTTATTCGGTGACTTGCAGAAAGCCTAAGCGGCTACGCGGTTATGCTAGGGTGGCAATACCCACTTCGAATCTCCGAATGGGGACGGGGATCGGCCCATGGCCCAATCACGGCTTAACATGGAACACACCGAACAAACTTCTTTCTCCTGAGGATTACCAAAAAATGCAGCCACCGAACCCCATTGGGAAGTGGAGTACCCCATACCCCAGCTCCATTTCAGAAACATCTTTTCGGCAGCGAGAAAATCCGGGGGTGGGCTCATATCCCGCTCTGGGATTTCATGCATGTCTCTAGAACAAGGCTTGACGACCACAGGCTTGACACGGATGCAAGATCTTCATCGGCTGGTGGTGTGAGCCGGCTATATATTGAGGATTCTTCCACCCTCTCACGCCTCAAAAAGCTCGAGTCTCCGATGTCTCACTTCGTCTCAACTTCATGAAGAGTTGGCTCATCGTCCCTCGTCCGAAGCAATCATCATATTCCTCGTTATACGTTTCTCTCTCACAAATTTCATTGGCTTTAGTCCTTAGAGGAAGTCCCTCGGTTTAACGCCAATCCCCTCCGCGACGGCGGCGCGTAATATGCAATGGGGTATACCACGATCTGGAAGGGCTGGTCGCCCAAACAACTCAATCTTGCGATCCAGATCTTTTCCCTTGTTAGTATCTTCTTCGAAGGTTACGACCAGGGTGTCATGGGGGGTGTCAACGCCGCTCCTTACTATGTCACCGAAGTAGGCATTGGCGACCCTGATGGTACTGTGACCGATACAGTCCATCAAGGAGGTATTGTCTCCGTCTACTATCTTGGATGTATATTCGGATCCTTTGCTGGCGGTTGGGCCGCTGACAGAATCGGTCGTGTCAATGGGTGGGTCTTCTCGCCCTACGTCCTGTCCACCTAGAAATGACCACTTCTTCTAACCCGCCTTACTACCCAGTCTCTTCATCGGAACTCTGTTCGCAATGGTTGGTGGTGCTCTCCAGGCTGCTGCTCAGTCTAGTGACTTCATCATTGTCGCTCGTGTTGTGACCGGTATTGGTACTGGTGCGTTGACAGGTATCACACCTGTTCTAATCTCGGAAACGTCTACAGCGAATCATCGAGGTATGTGCATAGAATTTTTCCCACTCACATCGACTCGGTTTATATCTAGAGCTAACCTCAAATCTTCAGGTGGCTATCTGGGTTACGTCTTCATCGCCAACTACCTCGGTATTTCCGTCGCCTACTGGCTCTCATTCGGCCTTGCCTTCGTTAACAACGGATACTCCGATGTGAGGTGGCGGTTCCTCCTCGCTTTCCAGTGTTTCCCTGCTATCCTCCTCTTCCTTGGCATCAAGATGCTTCCCGATACCCCTCGCTACCTCGCCTCTGTCGGTAGGTACGACGAGGCCCGCGAGGTCCTTGAGCATGTCCGAGGCCGCTACGATGAGGAAGTCGAGCGCGAGTTCCTCGAAATCAAGGCTGTCGCCGAGAATAGTAGCCTCAGTAGCCCTCTCGAGTTCGTCAAGATCCTGATCGGTCGCGGTGGTAAGGCGGGGGAGAACTTGGGCCAGCGTGCCTGGCTCTGCCTTTTCCTTCAGATTATGGCTTCCTGGACCGGAATTACCGCCGTCACTGCATACTCGCCTGTTCTCCTCTCTGCTGCAGGGTATCCCGCGCTTACCCAAAACGGTTTGGCCGGCGGTCTCAACACCGTAGGAATCATTGGAACCATTATCAGTGCTCAGATCGTCGACCGGCTCGGTCGTCGCAAGTGCTTGATGGGCGGATCGCTGGCTCTTTTTGCGGTCAACCTGATTGCTGGTGCCGTTTACGAGGCATCCCGCAGTCAGCCGGAGAAGGCCACACAGTATGCTCCTGCCGCGGTCACCATGCTCTTCCTATTCAACATTTGCTACGCAGCTACATGGGGAACGGTCGCCTTTTTGATTCCTACCGAGATTTGGTCGTCGGAGATGCGTGCCCAGGGAAATGGCTTCGGTATCACCGGGTGGGCCATCGGTGTAGGTATGACAGTGCTGGTTAACCCCATCATGTTTGATGTGCTGGAGAACCGAACGTACTTCCTCTTTGCCGGCCTAAACCTGCTCTGGATTCCTGTCGTGTTTTTGTGTAAGTTAATACCTTTCAACGCTCACCGCGTATAGCAGCACTCTAACCAATTTGGATATTAGTCTATCCCGAAACCGCAAACCGTTCCCTCGAGTCCATCGATGCCCTGTTTAGCGCCAACAGCTTCTTCAACTGGAACATGGAGCACAACTACAGGGAGCACGGTGATGTTTTGGCTGAGCATGCGCATAGCCAGATGGGCGTGGCTCCGAAGGTGTCGTCTAGCGACGACATTTCTAACCAGGGTGCCTTTCCTACGCAGTCCGAAAAGTTGTCAGTCTGAGATTACAATCCACTTCGCAGAAGCTGCAGGGTATGATCGATTGATAGCTGCTAATTAAGCAGCAGTCCTGCGACACGCGCGCTGGAGCCAGTTGATACCACCTCGGGTATCGATGTATGCCAGCCACATACGCAATATAATAACAGTTAATACCCTTCTTCCAATGATCTGAGCGAAGAGTAGCTCGAACCGCTCCATGGAATATATATGTATATACTATATCTGCCTACGACGGTTCCTCGTAGTCTCGTAAACTAGAACACTAGATAATAGGATAAGAACCTCCCGTCATGGCTTCAATCAAGTAATCAAGTACCGCTGGTCGCGGCACTTAACGCATCTTTTGCTGCCGGATCACCCGGCCGTACGCCGGCCAACCCTGACAGCACGTAAACTGCAATTGCTTCGATTAATTCATGCTCATGGTTCGGGGCGAATAGGCTCTCCAATCTATCGAGCCTAACCCTGCTGATATAGAAACTAGCCTCGACGCCAGGGACATCTCGCCTCCCACGTCGGTCCGCGTCGACACAAGAGAGCTCCAGCCATCTGCCGCCTCACCAGCGGCCTCCTTCACAGAGTCAGCTCTCGGAACGGCTTTGATGGATTTTGTCGATACCATCGTTGCAGCGGACCAGGAAGACGATGCAAATAAATCCAACCGTAGTTCAAGGGAAGGACTTGCCAACATAACCTAGACCGAACTTTCTATCCATCAATGTTACCACGAACCAATATGCCACCGCCGAGTACTAATCTCAGCATAATCAATGCACATATCACAACCCTCTTTAAAAACAGCTGTGAGATACGTTCCAACATATGGCCTGCCCTTTATAGAGCAGATTTAGAACCCGCACTGATACATACGACCATAGCTCGCAGAATATTGAGGGTCCCGTCCGCTCCCCTGTACACAAGCTGCGAAGCGCCAGACTAGTAGTTGGGTCGGTGACGACCAGCGAATCCCTGGTGTTGTATGTTTTCTTTTAGCTCCTTTAGTCCTTCTTTTTTGTTCCTTCTTCTTCTGCTCTACATTGTTACCAGACGTATGGGGATAGCTGGAGAAGATTGAGAGTTTAACGAAGCGTGCTAGAGTCTAGGGTTAAGCAAGACTAAGAAAACTCAGGAGGGAGTTGTCAAGGAGTAAAGCTGTCTGTCGTAGGTCGTTGTCAGGGCCGCTTAGACGCGAGAGATTGCATCCATTTATTCATTCATGTTGATCTCGGGCTTCAGATGTCGTCACATTGATCTCCTTTTTATCAAGTCAGCGACAAGAGGAACTATCCAAGGTTCCCCAGGCTAATCCTTCATTCATATAATTTGGGAATACCACCCATCAGAACGCCGGGTCGAGCGGATGTTCTGCGGTGTCCAGTAACACCACCCCGAGGGCTAAGGTTTAGCCTCCACGCAGACGTAGATGAAAAGTGAGAGGGCCTTGCTCCTATGATTAGAACTTGTTGGAGAAGAGCAAGACACACATGGATGGCGGGATTGTTCATGTCAAACTGCATGACCCGTCAGAGCCGGATGAGAGACGGAGAGCCTTCATGTCACACACGACTAGGGACGGCGTGATCCGGGCCGCGACGAGGGTGTAGAAAGAAATGGAATATCAACTGCATCCCACCTTTATATAAAGAGATCGCGATAATACCCAGATTTACTCTCAGTACAGAGTAATGTGAGACATAGCTTACATTCTTTTACTATTATAATACATCCCAAGAGACTCTGACACCTGCCAACCTCTACAACTAGAAGAGAGATAATCTAGCCGGACCTCGCTGGCCAGAGACTTATGGTTTACACAATCTCCCTACTCTTCGCGTAGGGTTCGTTGTCTGAAGGTACGAGGTTTCGTTCACTTCCTTCACGGCTATTGATATTCTTTCCGTCGTTGTCCTCCCTGACCTCGAAGGTGTGCTCCACGTAAATACCCTTGTTACCTCGGATTGCCGAGCTGGTGACTGCTGATGCATGCGTCGCGGTATTGGCATGTCGTTTGAACGACTCCAGGGCGTGGCTATCTTGATGCTGGGCATATCCAGTGCCGGATCGGTTACCAGAACGGCCAGTTAAGCCAAGTAGCTTAGGGAAGATCTTAGACACGAGCGGCTTCAGGGCCGGAACAGATGCGCAGATAATAGCGAGATTGATCTCGATGTTCTGGAACCACCCGTCAGAAAACATACGCACACGCGCGCGCGGGGCACAAATCCAAGATTGGGTGAGCCTCTTGTCAGAAGGAAAGGAAACTCACACTCCATAGGGCGATATCGACTCCGTCAACTATTCGATACATTATGGTCAGCCTGGCACGGCGAAAGACACTTAAACGGGGAGAACCGCTACGGACTAACATACAGGAGGTATCTGGCGACGTTGAAATATCGAGTAGCGAGCGCAGCCGGACGATCGAGGTAATGCAGACGCTAGACGCAGACCATTAGCCAATGCTCTTTAAGAGAAATTAAATCTTGATGGTGGAATAAGGCAATAGCCTAGGCATACAAGGCGCCAAATGCGAAAACAACCATGAGTATGATCTTTTGTCGAAGTGGGATCTGGAGCCTCTTGATGAGAGGCATGGGTATTGCAATGATAATGATGTCGGTGGTGATGTTTAGCGCGGCGTTGGAAAACCAGAAGGCCAGCCTATTCATGCACGAACCCTCTCCTTCTCCCCAAAAGAACTTGACGGGCACACACATGAATACAGAGCCTAAGACGGTCCACATTCCGTACACGACCAAAACAGGTAGCAAGACCCTGCAAATCTTCTTGACCGTGGGCACGTCGAATACTCGCTTGTACTGGAAGACGATGGACAATTTGCACAACACCAACGATAAGTTGTACACCGGGATTGTCGCCCAAAGACACTGGAACGACGTTCTATTATTAGTTCGTTGACTCGATCTCGATGTTTGTCTTCGGCGGCGTGGTCAATACCTGGAAGAACTTGACCTGGAACTCAGGGGCGATATCTGCAAGGTGCAATCCCAAACCGTACTTAATTTCTGCGCGCCAGTTAGATGCCGTCGTCAGCAAGAATACCTTCCAAGCGGGTGTCGTTCGGGGACTTCGTACGAAGCATCTCGACGATTAGAAATCCGATCGAAGCTGCCTGTCAAAATAAGCTATGTTAACCTTGTCGATCGTCATCAAAACTTGCCAATTCTGGACGCTTTAGGGCAGCAACATCCTGGAGGTAAAAGGTTTCACAGTCTTATCTTAACCTCTCCCGGACATACCATTGAGCCAATGATCAGGTAATCCTCAGCGCCGATGATTCGAACGATCATGATTCTCGCGCAAAGCCGTGCTATCACCGTGAGGAAAGCGAGGCCCACGAAAAAGCTGCTCAAGACGAGCACGAGCTGGACTTCCGGGGGGCCGAACATGATGCCTTGAATTTGTCGCCGTGCTCAGTCGGTTGGTTCCGCAGGATGAAGTAATAAGTTCTGGGAGAGGACAGTTCGAGCCCGATTCTCTTCTTCACAGAACAGATTGACGTGTAACGAGCCATGGGCCTATGATATCAAATCGAAAAAGCTTGGAGGACGTGATAGAAACCTACTAAACGGGACATTGTGCGGAAAAGGAATTCAACCCTGCACAAGTAAAACAAGCCACTGGACTGGGTTGCGACAAAAGGTCGCGCTCCATCACGCTCAGTGCTTACCGGAAAAGTAGCCGAAAAAGGAGGTCCCGAAGCTCTGGAACGGAGCCCAATGCAATTCATGCTATGTAAAAGGTTCCTATTAAATTCGTTTTTCAAGGGGTTCTTTCGGACCCGATGTGGTCGATCAACCTCTCAGTTACGACTAAGAAAGTTTCCATGAGGCCCCCTACCGTCGCAAGATGTTCTGGGTCACGGCTGAGGATACCCTGGAGGCTGGGTACGCCAAACCAAGCTGAACGACCGTGTGGGGGGAAATCGGTGGCATCTGCGCTACCCTCCTTGATTTCTTTCCTCCCCTTTTTCATATTCATTCCACGCAACCTGCAGGAACCCCCACTGAAGGGCAATCTTGAGCTTCGAGCACAGCAATGTATAATTCTCATTGCCAGGGCCAACCCCGGCACGACACCCCCTGTGGCAAGCGGCGCGCACGTCAGTGCAAAGATTTTGGCTCAGTCGCTGGGGAACCAACTGGACAGAGGAAGCCAGTCCTACTGATACATAGGATCAATACAAACTAGCCACAGCCAACTTCGTAAGCTCACTCGTATTCATAATGTCACATTACCAATAGCATATTCCTCATTTAGTCCCCACGTTGGGATGTTCGTCTGCGTGGTACTGTCCACCCATCCCGAATCCCGATGCTCGGAGACAATTTACAGGCTCCCGACACGCCAGAGAAATAACTACAAAGTCCTTGCCGAAATGCCATCGTCGATCGGCCAATGATAACGCACGGGGGAAATGGTTTATTTTCCGGGTTTCTGTACTAGTACAAGTACGATACGTGTATGCAAGACCCATGGTCTGGACGTATCGCATAATAATGTCCTCATCCAACCTACAAGTACTAAGTGCATGCGGCTGAACAAAACCCGGGGTTCCAGACAAGGGGAGCCGGCCGAAGGATCAACACAGAGCCGCCACCAACCCACCAGCATGCCTACTCTCATCTAGGTTACACCACCGGGATCCTTCCGATTCTACCGAGGTACACTACGAAGTACAATACTTGTATCCTCTTCCCCGGATTGAGAAAGTTTACTATTGCCAGTAACACGTTCCCCAACAGAGTAGCATTAATCTGAGAAAATAGCAGTCTTTTTGACACCTACCCGTCTGGTGGGTTAAGGGGTATGTACAAGCGGCGAGCGCGGGCTCCGGCACCTTGGAATGTGCGCCAAGTTTGCGATGTACCCTCGGATGATGCCACTAGTCCGATTTGCCCACACACCACCCATGTCAAAATAGGTTGGAAAAAGATTTAATTGTACTTCGTACGTTTCTCGTACTTCGTACTTCGTCTAAATAAAGAAGAACAAAAAAGAAAAAGAAAGAAAAAACTGATGTCAAAATTAAGATCGAAATTACGTCGAATAAAAGGTGCAAGGAGTAATTAGAGCCAATAATTGACGGATAATTATGACCTCCTATGCTACCATTCATGCTTATGCTACTCGTAGATTGGTTGAGTATTAACTCGGTTGTCTATGTATGTATGCACTCGACGAGAGCTCCGCAAGATGATGGCCAGCCTGACTGCTATAATTCCCAGCTTAGTTCCTGTACAGCTCCTCCTCTTTCTCGGCGGGGGCGTCGATGTGGTTGTTGAACTCCTTTTTGGGGTCGACTAAGAACACGGCACCTAATATGGAAGGCAACGGAGAACAAAAGGTTAGCCTCGCTGCCAGACACGAGAGAGATGGATCTGATAATGCTCCTTACCAACGGCTGCAACGACCGTAAACGCTCCCGCAGCCGTCCACACCCATCGGAAGGCGACGCTGTACGTTTGTAGAAGAGCTCCAGCTCCAGCCTGGATGATGGACGGTGAGACACCGGGGACAGCCATCAGGGCGGTGTTGTCCTGAGTCGAGAGGGCCGCTATAAACGATCCGAGAGAGGATTCGGGCAGACCAAGTGGAACTACAGCCGAGGCGATGTTAGGTCCCAGATGGTTGCTCAACTCGCCCGTAAGGATAGCATTATCTATTATTATTGCCACAGGCAGATACGCGTGCAAGGTTAGCCAACATAATATTTAGGGGAGAGAAAATAATAAAAGGAGTGATATCTTACAGATGGCGAGACCGACGGAACCGCCAAGCGACCGCATGCCGATCATCAATCCGCTGGTGATGGCGATAAGCTCGCGCGGGGTGGAAAGCTGCGCCACCGTAACTAGCGCGCAGAGACAGATACCAAGCCCGAGACCGAGGAAGACGGGGTAGCCCCAGACATTCCGAGAGCTGGTTGCGGACGGCGTAGCGGTGGCCATCAAGACGAAAAATATGATCATCGAGACGAAGGCGACAACGGTGGGCCAGCGTACGTTCTTGGTGGTGGAACAGTATAGACCTGCGAGGACGGCGCTTAGGCCGTAGACGATCATGTTGATGCCATAGCGCAGGCCGGTGCGCAGCGAGTCGGTTTCATAGAGGACGCTAACCTCGAAAGCGAAGTAGTTGTTGGCGGCGAAGAAGACGAGCCCCTCGACGAAGACGCACAGCAGCGCTAGCGGAAAGTTGCGGTTGCCGAACAAGCCGTGGTGGAGCATGCCATCGCGCTTGAACCAAGTCTCGTAGACGATCAAGCCAACTATCAGGGCTACGCCGATCGCGAAGGTGGCGGATGGGTGCGGGTCTGACCACGAGTACGGGTTTTGCGACCACGAAAGACCCATGCAAAAGAGCACGAGACCGGAGGAAAGCAAAAAGTAGCCGGCCCAGTCCAGCTTGGCTAGCTTCTCGGCGTTGCTAAAGTTGAGTTGATTGGGCGTCTTTGGGGGGTTGTACAGAATGGTGGTGAATGCGGTGGCGACGAAATAGATGGCCGTCGTCATGTACCAGTAGTTCCTGAAGCCCGAAACATTGTGGTTTCTGGTCATGGCGCCACCGACGAGGAGACCAACGAGACCGCCAAGGGCTGCCGACAGATTGGTCACGGCCTGCGCCCATGGGCGGTACCTTCGAGGCAGGACCTCAGACGCGACGGCATGGAGGAGCGGTTGGGCGCCGTACGAGATGCCCGTGACGGTGAAGCCAGCGATGGCCATACCGATGCTATTGGCGCGTGCCACCACTATGGACCCGATAACGCCGCATTGGGTGAGCAGGATCAGGAACCATCTGCGACCCCAGTAGTCGGCAGCCTGCGACACGATTGGTGATAGGACTACGGTCAGAATGGCGATGGTCGATGTCAGCCATACGCTCTCGGAGCTGCCCCCTATGGCGGCAATAATATTCTGTGTTTGCTGTATCGTATCCCACCACGCGTTAGTCCCGAGAAGAGTGCCCCCAAATCCGAGGATGTAGCAGTAACAGTAGTATATTGGGACAGTGATTATCACTTACAGCACCGGCGCCGACGACATTGACAAGCTGAGCGAAGTAGATGAAGCACACCGCAAAGACAGTCAGGAACGTCTTGGCGTGTAGATGGGGGACTGGCTCGTCATCGATCGAGTCGGTTGCCTGCTTGTTGTTTCCCTCATCGCTCGCGGATGATGTTATAGGCTTGGTCGCGTCTACAACTTTCTCCTCATCTGATCGAGGCATTCCAACAGATCCCATGTTGTCGATGGCCGAATGTGCAGCGTCAATGGTGATGGTGATATGTGAAGGACTATCTCCAGAGACAAACACACTACAGCAAGGTAACGAAGGAAGGAAAGTAAGCCAGACCAGCAAATTTGAACCTCTCAGTTGCTGCTAGGGTGGTAGTCAAGAGGCTGGTTGGACGCACAGTGGCTATCCTGTCCTCAGGCCATCCAGGCCTAGTCTAGGGACGATTAGAGTCGATGCACGAAGTACTGGTAGCTGATGCGTCCATGGTCGCCCGAATGATCCTGAGTAAATGTGCAATCTTAGGCTCCGTCAGGGGAGCCCCGGACGTTCTCCTCTTCGGACCCATCCCTGCAGGCGGTAATACTATGCACTTGTAGAATCCTGAAAGCATCCGCTTCTGTCAGTCCCAAGTTGCTAGCCAACGGGTCGCAACCGGTACCAACCCCAGGCAGGCGCAGAAAAGAAATAAAAGGTAGGTGGGGGCCGCGGCTGTTATGGAGACCAGCTCGATCCTACCCTACAACCCTGGTTTCCGCGTAAAAGCAAGATTTCTCCCCGTGCTTGAAGCCCCCTCTTCTTATCACCCTGGCAGTTGTGGCAGCGCCAAGCGATGACAGCCCCTGCTTCCTAGTTGGATCTAGACCACTGCCAGGGTATACACGTACACTACTTCTTCCCCTCCTTCCTCCGGCATACGTCCCCCGGGCCGAGCCCTCCAAACTTTGTTGATTTAGTCCCTTGGCGAGTACCACCCACTTCCCGACCCGTGCGAAGTAGTTTGTACAGTCTGCAACGTGGTTCGAGAAGGCCGTTCACCCACTGACGGCTTAATGCGCGTCCATGTGAAAGTATTCCTGCCTTCTTCGCATACGATTTCACCAACCAGGGCGTTATCCAGTGACAGCTTTAACTCGACCGGGGCGGTGGGGCTATTACTTAGCGTCCGCGACCTCCATGCATCAACTTCAAACGTCAGGTCGCAGCGGACGCCGGTGGCGTCAATAGTTCCCTCGACCTGCATTTGCCCCTGGAGCGATATTGGCTCACAGTCGCACTCAGCGAATCGCTTCACAGAGTGCTTCGTACTTACGCAACATGGCCAGGGGTTTCTAACCACTTCCCGGAATAAGCCCCCGAGCAATGTCGTATTTTGCAATATTTACCTTGGTACCACGAGAGGAACGGAGGATTCAGCCATCTCTGTAGCTTGTCAGTCCACGTCCACTTCCAGAGAGAAATTTTTGTTGGTCTGTCAAGGGTTGGGAATACCATGCTTTGAGCATTACAATACCTGATTGGGTCTCCGTATTCTCTGTTTATATCACCAACTTTAACAGAAGTAGCAATACCCTTGACATACCTTGAGAAGTTGTGATCTCTCTGATGAACGGTTAACAAAGAATACCCTGATGGGGGTGCATAAGTAGTTACAAGAAGGAAGTAGGTATGGTTGGACGAGGTGAATTCGCAACACCCGTTTTGGCTCCTACACCCAGTCCGAAATTTCGTCCCCTCTTTCTCCGTTTCGCGGTCTCGGAATCCTTCCACGCATCCACACACACTTTCCTTCACCTAATCATTGTTGCCACTGTACTAACGAAACAAGCAAACCTACATCGCGGCAACACACACCCATGGCGTTGAATATCTTGATAGCCGGCGGAGGTATCGCAGGCTTTTCGGCGGCGATTGCACTGCGCCGCGCCGGTCACGCCGTTCGGGTTTACGAACGGTCTTCTCTGAACAACGAAGTCGGGGCCGCCATCCACGTTCCCCCGAATGCATCACGGGCCCTCTTGGCCTGGGGCTTGGACCCTGTGGGCGCAAAGTTCGTCACGACCAAGTCGAGCTACCGCGCCTACGCAAAGACTTTGGAGCGATTCCACGAGGGCACGACTGAAGCTGAGATTCCTATCCAGTGCGGTGCCCCTTGGTATTTGGCACACCGTGTCGATCTTCATGAAGAGCTCAAACGGCTGGCAACCGAGCCCGACGGACAAGGTAGCCCTGTTACCGTGCTCCTAAAGTCCGAGGTGGTGAAATATGTCAGTGAAAGAAGTAGCACAAGAAATAAAAAAAGAATTAAATATAAAATAAAGAACCAGTCGATTAACAGCTAACTTGTTGGAATTGGATTTTAGAATCCTGATGAACCTTCGATAACACTCGCAAATGGCGACAATATAAAGGGCGATATCGTCATCGCGGCAGATGGCGTCCATACCGTCGCCGTTGAGGCGGTATTGGGAAGACCGAACCCCCCAGAGCCGTCCAAGGACATGTACAACTTCTGCTACCGGTTCCTCATCCCGGTCTCAGATGTCGAGTCGGACCCCTCAACCAGGTTCTTCAACGAAGGAGACGACGGTCGTATGAAATTCTTCGTCGGCGATTTGAAGAGGATAGTGTCCTACCCTTGCCGGAAGTGAGTCCTGCTCTGCCTCCCTCTTCACCCTCGGAGCGGGGGGATCCCATAAGAACGTACTGACGTAGACCCAGCAACGAGGTACACAATTTTGTCGCCATATTCCACCAGGAAGATGTGGAAATGATGAAGAAAGAGGGTTGGTGATGCAGGCTCACGCGTACATAGCCGGGCTGTACGTGCATATGGTTCTAATGTTGACCTCTTTGTAGACTGGCAAGCTTCAGTGGACAAGTCGAAGCTTCTGGAGAGATATTCAGACGTCCACCCTGACCTTTTTGCCGTCATTAGGTAGGCAAGACACCACCAGCCTTCATCTTTCTTCAACCCTCTTCTCTTGCGCGCTGCAGGCATCTTACCGGTTTTTTACAGCAAGGCAACTGAAGTGAAGCAGTGGGCGCTTCTGTTCCGGCAGCCGATCCCTAGCTGGACGAAGGGTAATTTGGCGCTGGCCGGCGACGCGGCACATCCTATGCTTCCTCGTGAGTACTCGTTGATAAAGTCGTTTCCGGACACGATCTAACCTCGCGCAGATCAGGGGCAAGGTGGTGCTCAAGGCATTGAAGATGGGGTCGTTCTTGGCATGGTTCTCGTGGGCGCCAGCCGTGAGAACGTGGCCGAGAGGCTGAAGCTCTACGAGAAGATCAGAAAGAACAGAGCTAGCCTCATGCAGATTTTCAGCAATGCTGGACAGGACGAGCCTGAGTTGATCCGGAAAGACGCATCTAGATTTATGCCCATCGAAAAGGTCCCAAGTAAGTCGAGGCCAGAAAGACGGATAAACCCGAACATGGCATTGCGCTCTTTACTAATGCCAATTCAAGCAAACCCCGAAGAATATTTCAATCACAATTTCGGATACGATGTGGTCCAGGACACTCTCAACCATCTGAAAGATCTCGACCCATCGTTCGAACTACCTGAGATGTTCTTTCAAAAGAAGCCGGGAAGGGGCATGTACCCTTAGGTCCATTCTTCAAGTAGTCTCGCTTCTTCAGAGTTTTGGCAGGGCCGTTTAGTTGCTGTGCGTAACGCGAGTATTTCCGAATTCGATGGCGAACATGGACGGAATGCCCGCCAGTGAGAACGGCCACACGCACGCTGGGGCACTCCCGAACGGCTGGGATATTTGCAAATGTGGCCACGAAGCAGAAACCTGTATATTCATGGGTACGTGTCTACCGTTTGGGACATGGCCGTGGCGGTCCAGATTCTGGCGCTGCAGTTGCATGTGCACTCCTGTAATTAAGATAGGGGAGGCATGGGTGAGCGTTTGTTATAATAAATCTTTTTAAAATGTGAGATTTGGGCCAAGATCCGGGATGACCTGCTTGACCATCCTACAGCTAGAGTTTCTAGTCGCTGCCTACGACCATATTATGCTGATCGAGTGTGCCGACTACGAAAAGTGGAAAACTAGAGACACCGCCAAGCCCAAAACGACAGACAAAAACGGAAGGCGGATGCTAATATCGATATCTATGATACCGTCCAGTGGGAGCGTTTTAGTGGAGTTAGCCTAGAAAGGGCCGGACATTAAGACGCGATGTCTCCATGGGTTGAATACCATTGCGTTATTGGGATCGTCATCACATCCAGAACTACAAATGGGGCTCCAAGGGCGCCAAGTACTGTAAGGTTCTTTGCTTGGCCGCCCATGCTGTTCATGACTGGGTCAAGGCAGTAACTAAGCTGTGCTAGATAATACTGTAACGGTTGAAGTATCCTGGCTCACGTAATGTTCGGTTCTCTGTAAACACCATCAACTAAATAGACTTGATTAGCCTCAAGGTATAGCCGCATGAAGGGCCTTTCGTCAACCTAAGACATCCTGACGAAGAACCCCTACCCTTTAAATCCTTAACCATGGTCGATCTTCTGATGGCTCTATCGATGTTGAATTGGAGCTGAGAGTAGCCTGTCGACTGGCAGCGAGCCTACTGGCTATCACAAACGGGAAAGAAGGGGGCAGCCGTTCTGACGGAGGAGCGCCTATATCTTTCTCCTCTTTCCTCCTCGTATCTACCTTATATCGGGATCGTTGCCAGAAGAAGTTTGGGGACATGTGTGACCATGACAAATTCGCATCAGCAGGCCGAAACATGAGCTCTCTGGCTCTCTTCTTGCTCTCTCCTCAAAAACTTCACCATGCTGGTTGGCACATCTTAGTTGAGTTGTGGTGTGCGAGATCCGCTTCCCGTCAAATAAATGGCTGTTCCGTGTCAGCCAGTATCATTAAAGGCCAGTTCCAGTCCTGCAAGAGCTCGTCCGGCAGCTGGAACAGTGGAGATAAATTGTCAATGACGTCTCCATCAACGTTGGCAGCCGGAAGCTCTCCAGGGTCGGCTTCCTGCGTGGTGGCCGAGGTTGGAATCTCTCTTCGGGATGCCATATACACGTCGATTCTCTCAACAAGCTCCCTCAGATGTTTCCCCGCTCCTGTGCGTCTTCGAAGGAACGCTTCCAGGCTTTCAAGGAGCGAGGCCATGGAGAGGAGAATACCACGGACCCGTTGATAGGATGTTTCAGAGAGGGGGCCTTCCATGACCGAGCCGAGAATATTGCCGATACTGGCAATATGGTAGATAAGTGGGGTGCTGATAGCCCGCTGGAATGACTTGGGCACATGGTGAAAGATGGTCAGGATGTCTTCGGCAACGGCGCACTTCTTTTCCATGTCGGCATCTATTTCGAGAGAAAATAGGACCATGCGGAGCAGTGCAAGTGTCGCTTGGATATTAGCAGCTTGAAAGCCGTAGATGTCTGTGCTTATATTCCCCGTGGCCGGTCGGAGTTCCTTAAATATCGATGGCAGAGATAGGTAGAGGCCATCGACCCTTTCAAGAATATTCCCATTGCCTGAACCTACGATTCCAGCAGGGGAGCTTCCACTAATACCATCTCGAACACAAAATAGGTTAAACTTGGAATTCCGCGTGCGTAATCGGGTTAGAGCGTGCTCTAGGATTCGATACAGGTCTGTAGTAAAGTTCCAACCGACAATCCAGTCAGAGTCTCCAGTCTGGGGAGTGCTGGAGATACCTTGGGGATAGTCCACGTGAGCGTGAGCTTCTTGGAAATGGAAGCACCCTCCCCAAACAGTAGACAAGTAAATGTCAAGCGTGTATATGGACCAGTACTGCACCCGAGAAAAGCGTGAGTCAACAAAAAGAGCTCCATACAATAGGGAGATTACCTACCAATCGCCTCATTTCCTCCATAGCCAGGGCAGAAAGGCCCTCGGGCCAATGTGTCTCATCATGCCACTGTCGAATAGCCATGATTGTGAAGTAAGTACCAATATACTTGCGCATTTGGTCAATCTTCCCATCCTGGATACTCGTCAAAGCTAGCAACGCGGCACCGCGCACGTAGTTGAAGTCATGGGCATCGATAGGATCGCTGGGAAGAGCTTCCTCCGCCGCCGCAAAGAAATCTTCAGAAGGAAGAACGAGCAGATCGGGGGAGTGGCGACCGGGGGAGACGAGGGCACCATCCCTCACACGGGAGGATGCGAGGGCGCACGCGGCCATGACCGAGCAGAAAAAGGCGCGATTACGTGTGTGTTCGCCGGCGGCCACGGCTAATTCGAGGGATTCTCGATCGAATAAGGGAAATCTAGAAACCTGAGTTAGGGTTGAAAAGGATAAAAGGGTTCACGGATAGAGTTACAATAACTAACATTGGATACACTGTTTCGAAATATACACTCAAGACGGGCGCCAGCAAAGGTGTTGATGCCCTCGCAAAGGACTTCCACCCACGACCTAATGAAAGGGTGTTGTCTGCACCGTTCCACACACCACCGAAGCTTCCACGACGGGACTGGACGGGTGGGATGGCGGCAGGGGTTGGCCTGGGCACATCATTGTTGGTAGATGGGAGGCTAGAATGGTTGGCGGTGCTGGGTTGCTGGTGGTGTCCAGGCCAAACATGGGAGCTCCTCGATAAGCCAAGACGTGAAACTGATTGGCCAGCCAAGGTACGGCCGCGTCTTAATGGTCGCTCATAGACGCAGGCCAGGTCGAAATCTACGCAGTTTTGACACCTATCAGGCTCCCGATCGCTCGGCCGGCACTTTATCCTACGCTTGTGGCAGTAGTCACCTGCAAGGCAAGGCGGAATAGTTAGCACTATGGACCAGGCCACTACATAAGGCGGGAGAAGAATGGACAGGGTGGAACGCGACATGCAGGTGAGCGGGGAAGGGGAAGGGGATGCCGGATGAGCAACATTTTAAGTGGCTACACGGTACCGAGCGGGTCGGGAGTCAGGAACAGATGTGGGGGATACATACAAGCCCGGGAGGCTCGGAGACGACGGGGGCGGGAACCGGACATGGGGCAGCGGACAAGGGTACTTCGCCGGCGTCACCTCCAATCGTGGCCCGGCCGGACTCTGAAGATGGACAAGTCTGATGTTTGCCAGCAATATCGAGTCATTCCATTTTCCAGGGTGTCCGCTGTTGGCGAGGAGCCGAGAAGCAACCCAAATGAAACAGTCACTCGACTAAACTAGGGCAGAATGAGGGATAGCGTTATGAGATATTTTTCCTGAGTATTTCCGGTCTCGGCAGACCCGCAACATCGCTAGGTTCGCGGGAATCGCGGCCCAGCAGTCTGCTCCTCAGTTCCCACACCCATTCACTTCGAAGGCTTCCATATTCGCTCTGTCTGTCATGGGGCTGGCCAATTTCCAATTCGGGAAGAATGGGCTAGATTTGAGAAATCATATCCGAAAGCTAACTCTCCGAACCCTAACTTGTAAGCCTAAAAAATGACCACAGATGACGAGGCAGAATATTATAGGGCATGGGTAATACTCCCCTCTAGGAGATGGATGGAAATGGGTAAAATTGCCAACGCTGCAAGTTAGAGGATGTCCCTGCCGAGTGTCGACACAAGTTGATGAAGTTCTACTAGATTCGAGTGATGACGGACGGAATGGACATCGTACTTCACCACCCATTTTTTGTCACCCTCATCGAACATATAGATATATTAAATCGGGCGCATGTAGTTAACTAACCCACTGTAGCTGGACTCCGCCGAGCTTCCGAATGCGTGAACATCGCATCAGGTCATTTCATCAAACAATTAACCTCCTTCGGAAGAATTGACACGCGAAGACAGGCTAGAGAAGAAAATCAGTCAACATCGAGAGAGACCTATCAAGACAGGGAAAAAAGAAAAGAAGGAAAAGAAAAAAAAACATACAACACCAGGGATTCGCTGGTCGTCACCGACCCAACTACTAGTCTGGCGCTTCGCAGCTTGTGTATAGGGGAGCGGACGGGACCCTCAATATTCTGCGAGCTATGGTCGTATGTATTAGTGTGAGTTCTGGATCTGCTCTATTAAGGCTAGGGAAAACAGCGACCAAGATTTTGAAGGTTTTAGCATTGGCTCTTGAGGTGTGTGCAACATCACCCTTCCTGGGCAGATTACCGCAAAACGCCCGGAATATATATCGAGATTGAAATCATGAGCCTAAGTAACTAGGAGCTTGGAGGAGGGGAAAAATGGGGAAAAAACAAAATAAGATATCTGAGCGAGTTATTTCCACCTTCGTATGAAGGACTTCCGCAGGACCCTCTTAGCCGCCAGTGTCTGGAATGAGCTTACAAGCCTTTCTGCCTTACATATTGGGCACGAAAAGTAACAGCGATTTGGGCGATGTCAGACGGCACCGTCGTGGTCATGTCTTTGACCTGCACGACGTCAACCCACACTGCATTTTTACGCGACGGGCCCAAGGATTCTGAGCATATGGGGCGCCTTAGCCGTGGATGTTTGCGTTGCCGGCAGCGCCGTGTTCGCTGCGATGAGGGACGGCCATCCTGTCGCCGCTGCATCCACCGTAACGAGGTCTGTGAGGGGTATCGCGACGAATCGTCCCTCATCTTCCGCCATGAGACGGCCAAGGTGGTCGAGCATTGGGAAGCAACAAACACGACGGCGGTCACTCTTTCAAGTTCGCCGGATTCCTCGCATCCTTCAGTTCGGAAGCGCAGCAAATCTGTCGGTGAGAGCCGGGCTCCTCGAGGGGAGCTGTCTTCCATCATGAAGCCAAGCGCGAACCACCATCCTCCTCTAGGTCTTGGGGAAGCTTCAGAAATTAAGCTAAGGAATTGCCATCCCTGGCTAAAAGGGCGGCTACCGGTGCGATTCCAACCGCCAGTGGAAGAGCAGTGCGTAGAACAATTCATGGAAAAGTATATCATCTACCCTCGTAATCAGGCGCCCTCTCCTGGTTTCCTTGAGCATCTGCCTTCCATGTTTAAGGAGGTCAATGTTGAGGGCCGATGTGCTTTACGCTGGGCAGTCCTGGCTGCGGCGTATGCAGACGTGTCGAGAGATCAAGACGGCAATGCAGTTGCGTGCAAGGCACTGCAATGTTATGGGAGGGCACTCAGCGCCTTAGGAGAGTCGCTCTCGGCACCGGGTAAAGTGCCAGATGATTACGATCTCATGACGGTGGTTGTGCTAGATATTTTCGAGGTCAGTGTCTACGATTCGAGATACTTCCATGACTCGTTCACACTGATACATTCTTCAGACATTATATGCACCCGAAGATATCAGAAAAGGATCCCACGTACAAGGAATGGTTCAGATACTGCGTTTGCGGGGCAGTGATTTATTCTACAGCTCTCGCGGGTGGAGTCTATTTCGGCTTGCACATCACAGAATCGTAAGAACTCAAACTTTCCTATTTACCTGTCACCTCGTACTAACATCGTGAAGCAAAAGCAACGTCTAGCGTTTAATCTACCGCAAACCGATGAGACATCAGACTGGCTCGGTCAGTTAAATGATAGCGAGGCTTATGTCCGCCTTGAAAAGAATACCCACGACATTAGTGAGACGTGCAAGCGTGCGAGGTCCTTGCTGGCGCTTGTCAGTGCAGGAGGGCTGCCAACATCAATCCTTGTGGACATGATCAAGGAATTGCATTCCTTGGACCAGGCAGCCGTGAGTTGGCGGCAGACATCTCAGTGGTCTTTCACCACCTTGGAGGTTTCGGAACGACAGGATCTTTCGCCGGCTGCACGGGGTATTACGGATAGGATCCAGCTTCACTCGGATGTGTGGATGGCCTACGAGTGGAACTACCATAGGACAGCGCGTATCATCTTCCTTCAGCAACTCCTTCAATGCTCAAAAGCCGCTCTAGAGACCCTAGACTTAGCCGAGGTCGAAAAGCAGACGCTAAATAATACAGTGACCGAGTGTATTTTAACGATTCAATGGTTAGCCGACGAGTTCCTGGCAACCGTTCCTCAGTCTTTTGGCGATGTCAATCACATAGGTCAACCCCATGATGGCAAAGACGGCCCGCCTCGTTGCCGCGCCATTGGGGGATACTTGCTTCTCTGGCCAACTCGTACCGCCAAGGATGAAAAGTCTGCTACAAGTATGGAACAAAAGGAACGCGCGCAGAGGGTGTTTGAAAGGATTCGCGAATATACTGGAATGAAAGACCTTCTAGGCGACAAGAGCGCTATCTGAGAGAGTGAGAGAGAGAGAGAGAAATACGCAGAAGTAATTGTTCAAACATTGAAACGTGCATATCTGGGTCCAGAAGACAAGATCGGAAATGAACGGTTCTGCGCAGATCATCCTATCCTATCTTCTCGGTGCAATTTCATCCAGCTTCGTGCCGTCCGCCAGCTTAACCTTCTCCGCACCAACCGTTACAAACCCGATCCGGCATGTCTCATCCGTCCTGTTAATCCACTGATGATTCACACCGCCCTGGACGATGAACTCGCCTGCTTTGACCGTCTTCTCCTCACCGCTATCTAGTTTTATGACGATCTCGCCGCTGATCACGATGGCGTAGTCCAGACTCAGCGTCCGGTGCATAGGGACGGTGAAGTTGGGTGCGATGTTGCTGATGCAGAAGGTGATGCCATTAGGCGGGCAACGGGGTATCGTGTTCGGGTAGTTCTGCGCACGCTCGGTGTTGTTGACTGGTACCATGTTGCGCCTGTCGAATACCGCGAAGGACGAGCCTGTTGGGCCCATGGGGTGGAACAGTGGTACTTCGCTGTCAGAGGCGAAGATGGCTGTTCCAGCTGCGTTGTGTGTCGTGACAACTACACGCGGGTTGGAATTGGGTGAGGGCATGGCGAGAGTGGTAGGAACGACAGTGTTAGGGGTGTTGGAAGGCATTCAAGAAGCCGGGCGTAAAGACTTAATAAGGCAGTGGTAGAAGTGCTTGAAGAGGATGATGATGACTTTCTGTGAGAGTTGTTAGTTTTCCTGAGTGGAAATCATCATCTCTCCATCGAGAATTTAATCACCCTTATATACACGAAAACTGAATCTATGCAATAAGAAATCCGCAGCTCGCGCAACCTACCGAAAGGAGATTTCATGGCGAAGGTCGCGGTGTCATCTGAATCGGGAAACTTGGACGAAGCATCGGGGTGGGGGCTTCTCAAATCCCAATCCAGTCAGACACGGCATGCCAGTCCTGCGTGTCAGAGTCTCGCGCCACTAACTAAAAATGGAAACTTGCACGATGTTGTATTGCAGACTGTCAATGGTTTCGGTCTTGGGGCGGAGCGTCATAACTACCAATGTCCACTCTATCCCGTTCGGTCTCAACATAAATGGACTGGTCTCGAAGCACTCCGTTAACGGCTCCGGTTCAGACGCATCTGGACGCTCCAAAAACTCTCCTACCATACCTTGCTATGTAGGCCTTGAGTCGTCAGAGTCATTCTTCGAAATTCCACTGAGCACTGTCCAGGTGCTTCGACAGTGTTTATCATCTTATGCCGTTGGTGAGTAGCTCCTTGAAGGCAGATACAATGTAGTTTGAGGGCATGATGGGAATATCCAGTAAACTGCATTGGTGCAACATAACTTAAACTCTATTTTTACCTGTTTAATATCATCCTGTCAATCTCAAACTATACGCTCGTGGTGACATCTTCTAAGATCTAGAAGAAGGCAGACCAGATTCTAAGCGCCTTTCTTTCCTTTCCCCTAAGCACCGCTGAAGACCAAGAGGCTTTGAATGCTGATTCCACCAAACCCTCGCTGGCGTAGCAATTCCCGGCCACGGTGAGCAGGGAACTCGGCTACGACCATGACGCTGATATCTGCGGCACGGACGCCGGCCTTTTTGAGGAGCTCCAGAACCCCGCACAGAGTCTCCCCTGTAGAAAGGACATCGTCCACCACGACCACCGAATCACCCCCATGGAGCAAATCCTGCTCGATCTCGATCCGCTTCTCTCCCGCACCGTTTAATGTCAAGGATGAGATATACGACGGTGATTTTCCGACAGAAATGGTGGGTGGGGGGAGCTTGCCGGCTTCGCGAATTATCGCCAAGGGCACACCGACTTTCAGGGACAACGCGGACGCATAGACAAGGCCGCCAGTCTCGGGACATGGTATTGCGCTGACTTTGGCCCAGTTACCGATGAAATGCTTTTGCAGGAGAGACGTGCATAGGTCCAACCCGCCCGGCTGCTGGGAGATGCCGAGTACGTGGCGGAACTCGACGCCTTGGCGTGGGAAGTCGGATACGCGGCGCGCCATGTTGGCAAGTTGCTGCAGGTCTTCGTGGCAGAAGGGAAGCAGATGGTGTTCAGCGAATTTTTTGGCTGCTTCATTTCCGGTCGTATCGTTATTGAAGACGAGGCTGGGACGGTAGTCAAAATCGGTTGAGTCCGTCTTGCCATTGTTGCTCTCCTTGTTGCCATCATCTCCGTGGACACCGCCGCTGGGGCATCCTCGGCGAACCCGCAGTGTACCTTCGCTTGCTTGGACGCGAACCTCGAGTAACCTGAAGGCCGGCACTGAAGGCGACAAGGTTGCGATCGGTGCCTCGTCCCTCATCCCAGTGATGAACAGAACATCCACATCTTCGGCGCTAGACACAACCTTCAAAAAGTGCTCCTCGGGCAGCCGAGGTCGCTGTTTCACCTGGTTCTGGAAAAATGTTGTCAATGCTGGCCGGTGCTGCTCCTTGTAGGCGCGATCCCAAATCAGACGGTTGAAGTCGGCGCCAGTGGCCGCTGCGTATTCTCGCTTGGCCACATCGCTAATTCTGACTGAACGTGCCGCGAGGTTGTGGTTGGTAAACTCGGAGACCCAGATATCGGCAGAGTAGTCCTTGCCAACGCCGCTATCCCCCGTAACGAGAACGATGAGTTTGTGTTCCGTCGCCCTTTTTGTCAGCGGGCAGGCATAAGCCAGCACATTGCACGGATCCAAGCTTTGTTTAAGATAGGAAAGCCGTGGCAAATTGGGTCCGAAAGCCTTGGTCGCCAGCACAGTGTCCCTCGGGTCGGGCCCAAGATCGGCGCCGTAAGCCCCGGTACTTAAGGGTAACAACTTCGCGACAACATCGTAAACCCACTGGACAGCGGCGCGTGCGGTTTCGGTACCATCTCTGTCGCGGGGCCAGACGCCAGTTATCACACAGGCAAACTCCCAATCTCGACAGCCAAAGGCAGTGGCATCGGCTACAACGTCGCCGATGGCTCCGCCACCATGTAGGAGGTGGAGGTAACAGAGCGGTGAAGGGCGAGACTCGACGGCTGCCACCAATCGATCCGCGACGCCAACCCCTCCGATGTTCTTCAGGAATAAACATCGCTTAAACGAGGAGGTTTTACCGCCAGCATGACCGCCGTGCATTCCGGACACATACATCTCGGCCTCGAATACACCGATACTGTCCACAATCTTAGAGTCGTGTTCTGGACCCAAAATTGCGGCGTCTATAGACGTGGGAGCTGCGAAGGTCTGGTTGGTCGTGGACGATTCGAACATGGTCACGCCAAGCTGCAGCTGGCCAGCCTCCCAGTATAGATACGCATCTGCAGAACAGTTGCGAGGGAGCCTCCGAGCGAAGCGTTCGGAAAAGTCGCGAAGCTTGAGCCGCGCCTCGAGGTGTCCACTCAATGGGACAACCCAATTTCGAGTCAAATAAGACGGAACCGGGTAGGCCCTGAAAGTGACGCTAATCACGATGCCGAAGTTGGTGCCGGCTCCTTTCATCGCCCAGAGGAAATCTTCTTCGTTTTCTGGGCGAAAGGAGCCGGCCGGCTGGTATTGGCTTGGTACTTGGCCAATGCAGAGGACCTGGCCGGACTTTACGCTGACCATAACAGCGCCAACGACGGCATCACAAGCGAGTCCATGTTGCCTAGCGAGATGGCCGATACCGCCTTGCAAATACAGTCCGGCGCCGACACTTGGGCGAGCCCCCAAAGGCACCGTCAAGTTAGCCTCCATGGCCTTGCGGATGATATCCCCAGTTTTGCAGCCGGCCTCAGCAACGACCCAAGCAGCAGAATCTCCTCCGTCTACCTCATCTGCTGTGAGAATATGTACTTTGTCAAAGACTTCCATGTCGATCGCGGTCACGTTGGGCCAGAGGCAGTGGCCGCTGTGACCCCCGCCAATGACAGTCAGGCCAAACCCGTGCTTCAGAGCCCACTGAACGCACTGCTGGACATGTCCGATCTCTGAGGGTCGAATAATCGAGGCGGGGCGGTGGAGGCGAGCCTCCCGGTTTTTAATCGCCCTGTCTCCGTTCGCGAATGGAACCCGCGCTGCCAGCTTCGGCAACGCAGTCGCATCTCGCGTGAACGCGACCATGATGTCGGGCGAGCTGAAAAAGAGACGGTCTGGGTTGGCTTCCTCGCGGCGGCCCAAGGTGCGGCACACCTTGCGCCACTTGGCTCGGATAGCGTTGCCCTCGTCCTCATCCTGCACGGAGAACCCCGCGATGAAAGGAGCAAAACTGTCCAGTACGTCATCTTGATCTCGCACGCGAAGAACTCCGGTAGGGAAAGAAGCTGTTCGATGGCAGACCAAGCCCTCGAGGTTTAGGGTCCCACCACGATGGAAAACCACCACTATCCCGCCTTGTGGCTGTTCAACAAGCATTTCCAACGCGCGTTCGATGAACTTGCGTTTGGGCTTCATACCGTACATGCTGTGGCAGAAGAGGATGACGTTGTACTTTTCATCATCATCACTTAAACATGCGTTGGAACCGCTGTTGTCCAGATCGAAGGGAGTTCGACGGATGTTGGGGGGGATTTCAAGACAAGGCAGTGGGGATTCCGTTTCGGAGGTAGAAGAGAACGATTCTTCCAATCTCGTCGCAAACAAGCCATTAGGCTCGAACGCAGTGTATCTCTTGACTTTTTGTCTCAGGTGATGAGGTAAATGTCCAAGTACACTCTTGGGACCAGGTCCGATTTCGAGTGCGGAGATTTGCGACTTGAGAAGAAGGGCAAACAGCCCAGAGAGCTGAGATGTGATGAAGCCTTCGTACACGGAACCCCGCACCAAGATGTCAAAGCCAGCGCTATATTGCATATCAGACAAGGGCTGCTGGATGGATGGCCCTGTCGCTGTGACGATCTGCCTGAGGGCACACTTGAGGGAGTCTAGGGTGGCCATTTTAGTTCGGCGTGAAAGAGCGAGAGAGAGGGAGCATTGCGTTTGGTGTAGCGACAATGCTTATGTAG